TTGTTAAATTTTAACGGCGCACCCTTCGCACTTTGCTCACTGAATCATTACACTGATTAAACACGTATTTACAACTATCATTTATGCAATCTATATAAAATATTGTCTTTGGTCACGAGAGTAACATTTAAATAAAATGCTGTGGCGTGGTTGTTGACCACGATTGCTAAAAAGCACTCCACGTCGAGTTATGGTCATAAATTACACCATTAAAGTTCATTTAAATTTTAGGTATAAATTTAACTTACTTTAGATAATTTCCACCAATACTTTTATTAGTTCTATACCTTTCCTATGGTGCAAGCACAGCTCCACAAGTGACTCAAGTAATAATTACATACAATATATTTTAATACAATATAACAAATATATACACCTGATTGCGCATTACGAATGAATGCCTATACTAACACGAATGCCGAGAATAACAAAAGATCATTGTAAATTCATAGATAATACTTCTTTTAAAAATAACCAACAATATCGAAGGAGGTTTTATTTCATCTATAGACGAATCCAGCTGCTTCTTATTGTGTTCATTCCTCTTTTCCCTCTATATCACAATTCAAATAACGAACATTATTATCATATACTTTTAAGTGTATTTTAAACATATAATTTTTAAAATTGGAATTAATTAAAATTACAGATAATGAGAAAAAACTATGACGTCACACATTATCTGCGGTATAGCTGTAACGGGTCGGGCAAGAGCGTTATATAAGCAAATTTAAAGTTCTGTATTAGTATAATGAAGAGAAACCCTATAGTATCAGTAAACAAGAACTTTAGAGTTAATTCGTAGCGAGGAAATAAGTACCTGTGGCTTTGTTAAGCAAGCTCACATTAAACAATGTTTGAGAGGGATTATGTCTTCATAAACTAACTAACCGCCACCTGATCAACTAAAATTGACGTTATGCCTTACATAACTTACTTACTGTGATTGTTTATCAAACAATAACTTTGAAACTATCTAAGTAATCCTTGTTAATAGTAATTTAACTATGACGAGGGATATATGTGATTGAAATAGGATTTTTCTATCTATATGTGGGATTGATAACTTATAGGAAGACATCGTGAGATGATCCCCAAAGCGATGGCTATATCAAGCACAGTAGTTCTTCACCTATAAACAGAAGCAACCAATGAACCGATACTGACTGAATGGCCAAAACCTGGGATCTAGCGCCATCTTTGTTTCGTCTTGGCGACTAAACATTAATAGCACAGACTAGTTTTTAAATCAGTTCTCTTTTTCTTCTAAGAAATATAAGGAAGAATAATAAGGCCCAGTAACTTTTAAGTTAATGGTATACGATTGAGTTTTGTTATCCATGTTTATTGTCAATGCCTATAAAATTATAAATCAATCATTACTATAAAGCTTTGTCTTACATGAAAGTCAATTACCAAGCTAATACGTTGATATTATTTGCAGCTATTTATTCGAGGGAATGCAGATCACGTCACAGTAGTAAAATAATATAACTTTATCCTTCACATCAACGTTTTGAATAAAATGCAAAACGTGCTTGGGCTGCAGCCAAACCATTTCTGCGCACCTCCAGCTCTTAACTCGTTGTCCACGGTATTTTCGAGTTACAACTTGTACGAAAGTCTTAAATAGGTTATTGTTATTATTAAATTGTTATAATTTGATTGAAGAGCAGTGTTGGTCTTGTGGCTTCAGCTTGCGATTCTCATCCCTGAGGTGGTTGGCTCGATCCGCGGCTGTGCACCAATGGACTTTCTATATGCGCAATTAACATTCGCTTGAACGGTGAAGGAAAACATTGTGAGGAAACCGGTTTGCCTTAGACCCAAAAAGTCGACGGTGTGTGTCAAACACAGGGCCCTTGAGACCCAGACCTAAAATAGATTGTAGCGCCACTATTTTTTTTTTTGATAATTTGATTAACAAGGCTCTATTGACATATTACCTTTCTTGTAGTATGCGTGGGGTATTTTCTATTAATGCAACTCGTTTTAATAATTGCATCAAACCTACATTTTTTCTTTAAAATATGTAATAAAACTCTGGTTAGAAAGAAACATGTAACTATGAGTTTAAAAACCCCACAAATACGCGATTTAGGAAGCCTGAAAACAATGTCAGGTAAGTTCAGGTCGCTGTCAAAACTGACGTTATCGTACGCTTGACAAAGCTTAACAAAATTGCTGACAAAACAAAAGAGCTTGATAATTTTCATTAGAAGTAAAATGCTGACGCTCAAAACTATATTCGTTAGGAATGCTAGAACATTTACAATATGAATAGACAGTACCACAAACATCACCGCGTTCATCTCAGTCGCAAACACTTTACACCCTTCCTTTACCGTACTTTGATGACGTCCTCTCGTTTTTTATATCATTTTGTGTTAGCAAAGGCAAACCCTTCGCCTTTTGAAAGATCATTTTAATTTTAAATCACGAATCTTGCGAGGACGTTAACCTCTTCTGAATTTTACAGCCAATTGAGTGATCATGTGTAAATAGCAAGGGGTCTGCGCTTTTATTTTAATTTATGGCGCATGGAAATAATTTTCTGTCTTACCACCGTTCACCTATTTGATACTTTAATTGCGTATTAATAAATAATTCTTAATTCAAATTTAAATCCACAAAGGTTGTTATCGATAGCCGGATGTTATATTAGCTGTACAACAGCGTTCTATATTTAAAAAAAAAATATAATAATGTACTACTTCTTGCTGCTTACGGCCCGTATATATAGAAAGGCTTTAATCAAAAGTAAACTACCGTTAGCTAGTATATTCAAATGACGGGTGCTTACGATTGGAACTTAGGGTGCATTCAAATGGTTTGAATGCAGTCTGCTAGACTAGCGACTGGACTGGAGCACAATAGATGCCAATTTGCACAGGAATTTGGTTCAGATGCCTCCGCTCTGACACAGCCAGCATACTGACGCATATCTTCGGGCGGTTCAATTACTGTATAATATATACAGTGGAATATAAAACGTACAGCCCTGCGATTCTGTAACTCACTTTTCGAACTCACTCACTCGAACTGTGTGAGTTCGAAAAGTGAGTTACAGAATCGCAGGGCAGTTTTGAACGTATTTGATCAACATGATTTTAATTACCGTCAGAAAAACATAAATGTTTTTATTCAATTCGAACGAAAGTCCGTCTGCAGTCCAATCTCAATTAATGCGGTTTCAAATATGTTTAAAAAGTGTTTTTATATTAAGGTAATTTTAGATTAAACTAATTCAAATAGGAATTATGTTTTGTCGGCTATATTTGCTTACATAATGTTGAATATGAATATGCCGAAGCTCGAAGACGCTTACGGAGCTTTGATAACTCACTTTACCCTTGTTTTAATACTATTATAAATGCGTGCTAAGGAAGGAAGCTTATTAAAATTAAATCAATTTTACGAATTTAAGTAGTCAAATTTAGCCCTTCATGTCAAGATTTAAAATAAACATATATTTTCAATATATAATTTAACTTATAACATATACTTTTAATCTCATACCAAGCCATAAAATATCTAGGCCTCTATTGAATGGAATTTAATCATCCTATAGGAATAGATCGGTCCTATTTAAGACATTTCGTAGTGCACTGCAAATTCCAGAGCTAACCTATCCGACCTTAAATCCTCCGTGCCTTCAAATGCCAACCCCACAATGGATGCCAATCGTGAATTACCAAATGTAATCAGTCGATCAACATAAGTAATACTACTACTTTAATACCTATTATTTATTACCGTTTCATTCTTTGGTGTATTCGGTTAAATTAATACAATTGCATTGTTTTTTATTCAAACAATACCAACGATGTCTAACTGTGTAGTCCTCGGTTTACTTAATATAAAGTATTGTATTCATTTTAATACATTGATGAAACAAAGCCTTGTGCTTTTTCAGACTGTGAGCATAGTACTCGTACAAACAACTAGACACACTGTTCAGTTTCTAAACATCAAATGAAAAATTATAACATTTGTCAGCCTATTATATTTGCCCCTTGTGAGCAGTGTTGGCATAGTGGCTTCAACGTGCGACTCTCATCCCTGAGGTCGTAGATTCGCTCGAACGTAGAAGGAAAACATCGTGTGGAAACCGGCTTGCTTTAGACCCAAAAAGTCGATGACGTGTCAAGCACAGGAGGCTGATCACCGACTTGCCTATTAGATTAACAAATGATCATGAAACAGATACAGAAATCTGAGGCCCAGACCTAAAAAGATTGTAGCGCCACTGTTTCGTTTATTTTTTATCATATGCAACAATATATAACCTTATTTGTTATATTTTGTAACATAGTTCTAACGTATACTGATATCGGATAGCGTAAACAAGTAAACTTGTTTATATTAAAAGCTATATTGGTTTTGTGCGATGGATTGGGATGCCAATGAAATGAGAGGGTGAGGCCGCTTCAACGATTTGCATGTTGAGTGATTATTTTGTCCGTCGATGCGTGAGTGTATGGAGAATCGTTTTATAACCGTTTATTCGTTTTATTTACAACATGAAGCTAATGAAGTGAACTTATTAAATGATTGAATTTTGCGTAATGCGGAAATGTTCGTTTTAGAAGGAAAAACTCTTCTCATGACTGCGCGTTTGATAACGGCCTACTAAGTGTATACGAACCCAATTTTTTCAGGCATCAAGGCGCCGTTTATTTAAGACATAGACATATTTTAGAAATAGGTAAATTTTGTAGTCTGAATTTTAAATTGCAGAAAGTCTAACGTTTAATTTTTTTGTGGAGGAAGGACCTAATATCCATAATATTATTTGTTGCGCCGAGTCGCATGTTTGAGCTAAGTCTAGCTTAGAATTTAATCACGACAAAACTTCGGTTTATAAGTCTAATAGTTTACTCAATTATTCTATTTTCTATTACAGGTCCTGCTTGTTCAGACAATATGGGTATTCATCACTGTTTAAGCTGATAAACAAGATTTTTACTAGTTAAACTCTGAGCATCAAGATGAGAATCATGGATCCGAGGGTATTCTTGCTCCTAGCAGTTTCTGCTGCACTATGTAAGTAAAACAGTTTATGTATCGAAAAACGATTTTCGGGTTTTTAATCGTTGAATATTTGAGTATTATACGAGAGTTTATTAATTTACCTGACTTAGTTAGCCTTGACTACTCGGGTGCATTTTCTATTAGAAACGTATACGTAGTCTTGAATAAAAACATCAATTTCCAATACATAAATATAATATTGCACCTAATAAGCAATTCTCAGCACAGCCTTGCGATTCTGTAACTCACTTTTCGAACTCACACAGCGGTTTTCGCATCAGCGGTCGCTCTCAAATCAGTCGTGAAGCAGTCATTTTATGATTTGGCATTCTAAAAAGGTGGGAGCTTGTAGTTTATTGTTTATATAGGGCAGGGCTGTTATAAATATTGTGTATTTGAGTTTATAACACTTGTCCGTGACTTGAAAACCTAAAGGTTACGAACCTTAAATCAAAGGACTCATTATAATACAAAAGCCAAAATATTTCACAATGTGTTTTGCAAAACACGCAAAGCAATTACAGAGAAGCTAATGAGGACGTATGCAGTAAATTTTATATAATATAGCTACTTAATTGACAATAGTTTAATATAACAGAAATTGTATTGTCTTATCTATTGTAATATGAAGATAGCCATATACGTAAGTCTCTTAGTCAGCAAGGTTTGTTTACGTTTAATGTTAATTACTTAAATATATAAAGGAAAAATTACGTTTAGAACGGGCAATGCATCAAGTAGTGAATCGAAGGAAACCTCACGAAATGCGAAGTAGGTTAGGTAGTAGGCACAAAGTTTCAAAAACTTATTTATTCAGAAGATTCACAGCACAATACAGAAATAGATGTATATATATATAACATTATGGGCCAATTACAAATCTTCACATATAGTTTTTTTTTTTAACAAGATGGTAAACATGCCAAATATTTTAGTGTAAACTTGATAAATAAAGCCTTGTCTAGGCCGGTGTAATAATAAATTCTTAAAATTTATTTATTTATTAGTTATCATCTAACATACATTTTATAAACAAAACACTTGACAATATACAAAGCCAATACAGATTACATAGATAAACAATATACGTATATATGAAACAGAAAACATAAGTATATAAATAGACAAAAATGAAAGAAAACTGAAATTTATCATTAAACAAACGACAAAAAGAATTAATATTTCAATTCTTCTAAGAATTTTCATGTTAATATATAGACGGGGTGAAAATAATTTAAAGCATAGATTACTAGGCGTCCCTAAACCTTATCAATGGTGGACTATCTCAATCCACTTGCCAGCAAATTGTGCGGAAGTAACAAGAATATAGAGCAACGATGCTTGAATTTTGTTACCTACTTTCGAAAGCGAAAATGCAATATAAATTCGATTTTGGCACGGATTGTGAGGCAATAAATTTGTGACATACCAAAGTTTTTAAATTTATAAGATGCAGTTTTAAATTAAATTGCGTTTTGTGTTCAACCAAACGCATTTTGGACAAAATATAAAGAAGTACTTAATCTTTTTCATTGTATAATAAAAATTTAATAATATTTTCTGAACTAGTTTTTCACAACCATTGTTAATCTCGAAGTAAGCAAAGCTATATTTGTCTGTAAATCTTGAAAGCATGAACAAAAATATTTCTTTTTGGAGATATTCTTTAGGTTAACGACATTACACATCATTAATTCAAAGATACGCATGTCTTGAATGGCGTTGTTTGTATCCAATCCCTTTTTTAGCCTCACGATGGTACTAATACAGACCATTAACCATTCAATGATATTGAAGTAACACATTCAATGACTCTTTATTATCTTTATTTTCTTTATATAAATATTCTTGTGCCAAAAAGTGTATTGTTATTTAATCATAAATGATTCGATTGATTAAGGCAAGATTCTTCACAATTTACAGGCGGCGTGTCTTCAGCGAATCCAGCCAACTTTCTTACTCAAACTGTTTATGGCTTCCTGGACTTTACAACAACAATAGGAAATACTGTAATGGTGTTTTCGCCAAATTCCGCTCCACCTCCAGGTAATAATTTGCAAGAAAAAATTCTTATAAAAAAATTAAAAAAAGCTATGAACTAAAAAAAATGTTTACTTTCCAGAACCTGTGACCGAGAAATCAGTTCAAGAAAATGTTATAGAAACCAAACCACCGCCTATAACGAGTATAAAGCCAGAAGCCATAAAACCAAGTAAAACAACTAGTAAAGAAAAAACAAACAAAGCGCCAACCCCGATCGTGGCATCTAGTGCTATTTCTGTTGTAACGTCTCCACCAAAAGTTGCAGAGAAGCATGCTAATGCTCCAAAACCTATTATTAAAGAACAAAAGCAAATAATTACTAAAGTTGAAGTTTATGCGGGACCTTCTAAAATCGTGGAAAATAACTCTATGAAACAAACTTCTTCAAAACCCAATAAACAAGCAACTCAACCAAATAAAAAAGAAACAAAGAAAAGTCAAACAATAAAAAGTGTTTCAAATGTTGTAAGCAGCAAGGTTGAAGGAAAACAAAATTTAGCACCATCAATTGTGATGAACACAAAGGTAAATAAAATTGTGGAAATAAAATCCAGTCAAGAAGAACCGGCAATATTAGTTACAAACAATAACATTGGCGAGCCTGAGTACGATTATTTATCGCGACAACCCTCAGAGTTTGTAGAAGAAACTTATAGAGTTATAAACTTACGCCCGTCTAAACCCCTTGGCCAAAAACCTAAAGGACCTAAAACGCGAGTTCACCCACCGACGCCTTCACAAGACGACGAAGAACACCCTCTTGGCCTGGTTACTACCCTGGGAGGAACAATTGTCAAAGATGGACTTACAACCGTACACGAAACGAGTGTTATCGGAACTTATATATCTGGAAAATATGCTCAAGTTTTAAACAGTAATTCAAAAATATTACAAACTGGCCATAAAGGAAAAATTTCACCAAGCCCTACTCATAGAATACTAAAAACGGCAGCGCCTGCAATTGCAAAAAATCATAGACACAATCTAGAACCAACACCATCAATTAGCGATGAAGAAAATCACACTAAGGCTGCTAGAAGACAACCCAGTAGTGGTACCTCCTTTAAAAACAGACATAGGATTCAAAATAATGAAAACGATAGCACAGAGCCAATCAATCAGTCTAAAAAATTTAAAAACAGAAATTTACCTTCTGGGCAAAAAACATTAAGGTAACGTAGTAACATTTACATAACCTTTCCTCTTCTTAGCACTACCTAATTATTATTAACGATGCACCTTCACATATTCTATTTTCAGTACACGATATGGCCGACCCACAAACACTCCTCAACTGGCAACCGTCTCTGTTTTCAGTGAACCACCAGCACCACCAGCGTTTTCAAATAGAAGAAAGAACAATCGAAACTCTGGGCATAAGACCACTGTTACTCCACCCAGTAGTAATGATAGTCAATCACGACGCGGCTTCAAACCTCGAGTACAGCCATCAGCAGTTGAGCAAGTCTCGGCTTCTTCAACAAGTGTGTACAAATTCAAATTGAATCGCTCGCCAGGTTCAGGACGTTGGCAATACAAAACAAGTCCTAAGCCTAAAGTGACAATTCGAAAAATGAGTGGTGATGAAGAGCCAACAACTCCAAATACAAATCCACTTTTTGACGACGTGCAATCGAATGATGTTACACCATTAGCGCGTTCAGATAACGACCTTGAGTTATCCGGATCACAAACTGGTCCTGGCACTCTTTTAGATAACGAATCTGATGACAATTCTATTGAAAAACCTCCTCCAGTCGAAACCATTAAGGTAGAAATCTCAACTCCAGCAGATTTTCGCGATGTCTACTACGAAATTGCCACTCTTAAGTCTCCATACACATTCCAGGTTTGCTTTTTTACTTAAGGAATATGAATATATACACATATAAAACTTATAATCATTATACTAACCCGTACTTATTTCCTTGCAGGTTGGACGCGTTAAAAATACTCGTATTATTACGGTAACATCGACAATTGAAAAGCGCATAGAACCGACATTATCCTACAATTCGCAAAGTTCTCTCAACGAACCGTTGACAGAAAATATATTAGCGACAGCGTCTCCATATGGAAAAGATCACCTATTGGATTCCAGCATAGTCACGTTGCCAGCTATTACTCTGTCGTCTGATATTGAAACACCACCATTAGAAACGGTGACAGAAACATTTAGTACTACACAACATATGCTTAAGACTCATATATTACCAATTGTAAGAGATTCTAACGTTACAAACAGTTTAACCTTCATTCAAACCTATCAAGTGACTCGCTTAGTTACTGCAACGAAAACATTACCACCGTTGGACTTTTTCCAATTTATACCGAGCAAGACCCTTAAAGAATTTAACAGCAGACTCGATGAAGCTGGTTCAGAGCTACATTTAGAATTAGACTTTGGTGATAGCAACGAAGACGAAGAGGGTGTACCACGCCGCGTATTTCCATCAGACTTAGATCTTGCAAATATTGGATCAGATTTCGACCTCACAGAAATTGATAAATACAGAGACAACCATTTAAGACTCAAGAAAGCACATGGACAAAATAAAAACAATCAAGTTACAGAACCACCCCTACCATCAACACCGGCGTTGTCTCCAGAGCAAGCTCAACAACTGGCTTTACTACGTTTACTTAACCCTGCTGCGGCTGCCCAAATACCTAATGTAGTCACCACATCAAAGCCAGTGCTCAAATATGAGACGATTTACGAATCACACGTCATTCCAGTCTTCGATGGTAAGAATACGATCCAGAGTACTATATCCCGAGCAGTAGCAACAGTTACCAGGACTGAGTTTGAAGTGGGAACCAGTAGCCTTCCTGCTCTTCCATTGAACCCCCTCTTCCCTCAACAACAATTCACAGTGACGTCCACGCCAGTCGTGATAAATACAGAAGTGGTAGCCACAAACAGTCAAGTTTTGAAACTGACATTTGGTGCTAAAACAGTCTACACAACATTATTTTCGACTGCAGTCGTACCAACAGTGTTGACCTCATACGTTACATCATCTATTCCAATACAAGCTAGTGCTGCGCCTGGCTTCCCTGGATATTACCCACCCCCATATGCACCCTTTCCTTACGTTGGTTAGACATCATAGATTTTAATATATCCCGTGATAAAATCTTAGTCTAAGCCTGTAAAATAAATGAGTGAAAATTGAAAGTAGTGTTCGTGTAATTTAAAGATAGCAGATGAACTAAAATCTTTAGTGCACTTAAATATGAAATCATTTTCGAATAATGTGACGATGAACATTTTATTTGGTGTGTAATAGAAATATTTTCTAATCCTTAGATTTATCTAGAATAGAGTTTGTAAAATATAAAAACTATTAGCTCTTGTAATATTTGTAAATACTCTATTTATACTTTTTTATTGTATTTGTATATAGGTAATGTTTCTTTAAGGTATTACGAAATTGTGTAGCTATATGTTAAGACTATTTGCTTTAAATAAACTTTTATATAGTATGACTGGTGTTTCTAGACCATTATATGAATGATAGTGATAAAGCACGAAGCAATCACTCTTCCTTGCATTAATAGTCTTTTATTTACACACTGGCACCAGACTGCATATACTGGGCTAAAATTATAGTGGCTGGCTGGCTTACTGGAACGATGAAGGAAAATCCTGAGGAAACCGGCATGCCTTAGACGTTTAAATCGACGTCGTGTACAGGCACAAAAGGCTGATCATGTTTTTAGCAATTAACTCTTACTTTTTAAAAATGTACTCTGATGTTTCTTTCTGTCAATTTATTATTATGATTTGATGAAAAGAGACAGATGAGTTCTTTAGTTGAAATAGTCCAATTACACAGATTTTTTGTTAATAAATACCTCGGGGTACGTCTCCGAGTCTTCACCCCGTTCTATAAAACGGTACCTACTCGTGAGTTTCCACACTTCAGTAAAACAAGGACAATACTCGGACATGACTTTCAGAATAAGAACCGCAAAAGATTATAAATTGCGTTTATATTAAAGACATATCTGTAGGTAGCCATTCCCCTGGGAATACTCGTTGCTCGCTGATGGAACAAGGATGAACGAAATCGGCTTATACAACCCGAGGGAAGTAATATCATAGGGAGGTTCAATACACTTGCAAATGCAGTACTTACTAAACCTATTGACGTATTTCATATTTCAAGAACCTAATATTCATATCATACCTATGGAATACCAGAACGCCTGAAAATATTAAATAACAACAAGAAGTGTAAACAAAATTCACGATGGATTTTTGAAGCTCTATCGCGAACCACAAGCCTTGGTAGTAGCTTTATACTCTACGACTTTATGAGATTTAGTTGCAAGTTTAAGTAGCGTTGTAAAAAAATTAATATATTATTATCTAAGTCGCTGACAGTGTTGCCAGTATAATAATTAAATTATTATAATGTGAACAGGAATGTTGTATTCAAAATGTTTCTAATTTAATTATGTAATCTAATAAAAACTTCTAGAAACATCGTTCTATTATGTGTGCGTAGAGACACAAATGTGCTATATTTTATCTCATACTCTAATGGAAAGGAAGTTCGACGACACATTAGGTGTTCATTTCAATCACTTTGAAAACTTACTTGATTAAAATACAGCAACACTTATTATTATGTATATAGAAATAATATATATAAGCACTTATTAAAATATACTGATGACTCAAACTAGACAGAATGTTTATCAAAATCCGTGCAATCAGTTATTGATATATCGGCAAGGAACAAAGATATTTAACTGAATATATTAATATCGTACGTAATTTAAAGATAATAATTTATCAAGATTGCTTCAAGTCTTGAACAGTGAAAACAATGTGAATGAAAACAAAAAGACTAGTAATAATTATGTGGAATATTGAAAGGATTTTATTAATAACATCAATTTTACGTAAGTAATTGTATTGAAGTAAAATGCTGCTTTGATGACTGTTATTAAGAAATTGTGTCTTAATTACCTGATATTAAAAAAAATATATATTACATTCAGCCTAAACATGTCTTACTAATAATTACACCATAGTTCATGATATTGATAAAGCCGTTTATTTGAGCGGTTCGTTAATTTAATTGTTATATTTTAGATAAAATTGTAGTTTTTAACTGTTTTAGTTTTAATTATGGAAATTTCTGGTGAAAAATCTGGTGTGGAAGGGTGGGTTCGAGTAAAATATTACTCGAACTCCAACTCGATTCCACATAGCAAATATTACTCATAGAAATGGTTTTGCGACTTAAACAGGTTCAATTTAGCGAAACAAGTATAAAATAATTAAATTTGTGTTTAGAAAAATGAAGTAATTTTTATTAACAACATTATTATTAAGCTTAAAATTCTACAATGTCCAAAATGTTCCTGTCATATTAAATCGTAAAATACGTAAAACAGACGCTTCAGCAGTAGCTCAGTCGAACCGTAATGACACACGATGCTTCCAATTCACGTGGCTTGGTCCCCGATATGACAATCAAAGTGTCTTCATGAACGCGACCTGCAATGATGCTACACGACTTGCGGATGGAATACCGTGCTATCAGCCTCTCGTTGTTTCAGGTTTGTACTTTACTTTCATGTAGCTGATTTGCCTGTACTCTATTAGTCCATTGAAATGTTACATTTACTGAACATTTGTTAGAGGACGCAATTTTATTTATGGGACAAGTAGGGAGGGTCAATACAAGCTTAAACCCAAGTTTGTGGGGTTGGCGCCTTTGTCCCCCGCCGCCTTCTTGGAAAAGGGGTGAAATCACGTTTTTGGCTATATCTTCTAAAGTCTAAACTATCCATCGTATAACAAAATTTGTAAAGACATATTTTGAAGCAAATTGCTTTGCCTATCCGTGTGACTTTTGATCATAAAGCCAAAATTCAAAAGTTATAAGTAAAAAAGTGAAGAAAAAAATCCTTTTTTACAAGGCAAAATACACGTTGCAGGATTTGCTTTATCTAGAAGCTAAGTCTGATAATATTTCATAGTTCCCGAACTCACGTTCTAATCTTTAACTGTTCAAAATACATTTTAATTACAGAGGACGGCACCTGGCCAGATATGGATTACATTTGGGCAAACCATTTCAACGCAACCACTTGTGTGCTCACACAAAATGATATCTGTGCAAAATATACTTACTATTTCAATGGACATCGTATGTATTCATTATATTAAAGTTTTTGAAAGTAATACTTAATAATAAGTAGAGTAGGTACGTAGGCAAACCTATTGGCGACAGTGGATTCGTTATTTCAGGTTTTGAACCTAAAATCCATAAATATACCAATCATGACAGTGTGCAAATATTTCTTGTTTCAAAATAGTTTACATTAATGTAATTTACGAATACTTTGCAATGTATCACTGATTAGAAATGTACTAGATTAACATTTTTTTTTACAGCGGAAAATTCAACCCACATGTGTACTAGAGCCGTAGACAATAATAATACAGCAATCACTAGTGGGTGCTATGAGCAGATGTCTGGAAGCTATCGAACAAGGGTTTGCTTCTGTCGCAGTGTTCCTGGGGGAGTGCCGTGTAACAAGGGCTTTGCTGTCATACCGTCGATATTTGCAGCATTACTAGGCTTCATAGTTTTTCATATTATTAGGAACTGAAAAAAAGAGTAATATATGATGAATAAAGACAAGCAAAAATTAATACGGCCAATCATTAATGTCCTAACCTAACCTAACCTTCAGATTCTGAGCCAAGACTTTTTGATATACTATAGTATAGAGTACTATACTACTATAGTATAGTGTAGAGTATGACTCCCATCGTCTAGTATCTGAATCTCATCCTAAGATCCTCCAAACTTGCACGATTTATCAAATCAAAATAACCTTTATTTATATCTTAAAGAAACTATTATAAAAATAAAATAAAGATTGATGTAGATTGTAGGTATTTTTCATAAGTAGTTCATTACTATTGTTATTGGAAAATATAAAATATTAGTTACGGAACCGGTTTAATGCCCTATCCAGAAGTAAAGAAGTGCCTACAACGCGATTTTTCTTCTGTACCACCTTATCCTTTTACGTGTCTTATACTCTGTTTTATTAATTATTTAGAATGACGTGTCCTCGAGGAAGTATTGTTATCTACTAACGTCAATGTCATATACAGACAACGTCAGCTAACCGAAGTGGATCGTGGCTTTAATGCTGCTTTTGAGTAGGAGAACAAAAATACAAAATCAAATATATAAAATCACATTAAAAAATTGTTTTGTTTATAAAGTATAAACATGTATTCTATATTAACAAGAGGAAATGCAATTCTCACGTATACTCTAAGTGTTCTAGCATGTTTAACTTTTTTATGTTTTCTATCCACACTGACGGTGGACTATAGAACCGCTGCTCAAATGAATACAGTGAAAGTAGTTGTGTAAGTAAACAGTAATTATTTTAACAATAACTTAAAATTGGATCTCTTTAAGACAAGTACACAAGAAAAATACAATTACTCACTAATAAAAGAAGAATTAAGACTAACGCAAATTATTGCCCTATCCTTGTAAACCTTTATATTCTTAACATTACAGAAAAAATGTTCCAGACTATGGTGCCTCAAGGGAAAAGAATGATTTGGGTTATTTAACTTTTGATCTGAAAACAGATCTTTCCAGTCTCTTTAACTGGAATGTTAAACAGTTGTTCTTATATCTAACTGCAGAGTACATTACACCATCTAATGAATTAAATCAAGTTGTGCTGTGGGATAAAATTATTTTAAGGGGAGAAAATGCTTTGCTAGATTTTAAGAATATGAACATAAAATACTATTTCTGGGATGATGGAAATGGTTTAAAGTAAGTAATTATTTGAATCATAACATTTACGCATTAAACAATATTGTGGTTGGTAACAATGTAAAAATCAACAAAGTTGTAACATTGCAATGTTGTCAAAAATGCAGTAGAGATTATGTACATAATATTGAATCTTTAGTAATTCTCAGATACTTCATTTAAATTTTTAATACAGTAAAACCGTTTACGGTGATAGTTGTTTAGAACCACATACCAGTTATATTAACCAAAATCAAAGGTCCCGGCTGAATTCTATTGTATTAGATACTTAATAACATAATTGGCTGTTACGACATTTGGTTTTTTGCATTCAAATATGAGTAGTCTCTTTGATGTTGTTATAACAGTTTTGACTGTATATACTATTCATAGACAAACATATTTTGTTTTTTAAACAAACTCTTGTATGCAAAACATCTTAACTTTCTCAGTAATTTATTCTTTAAATTGTGTTCTGTGTACATAGCCTAATTAAATTATTTTTCAGGGGTCACAACAATGTCACATTAACCTTGTCCTGGAATATAATCCCAAATGCAGGTCTGCTGCCTAACATACCAGCCATTGGTCAGCACTCTTTCAAGTTCCCTACAGAATACACACAAACAAGAGTATGATTCAAAATAAAAGAGTTTACAACTTGTTAGATTAATAAAATATGTGTGTGTTTGATAAATTATACATTCAATCTAAGTTAGCATTTTTATTACATATATCCATGTAGTTATACAAAAAATTCTTACATTTTCCAGCAAACTACCTTCATTAATTAATCAGGATGACTTTTGTAATGTTGAAAAATCTAGGTGAAGATATTAGAAAACTATAGTGAAATAAAACTACTATTTGTGATCTTTTTATTTTCTATAATATTATACAGATACAATAATTTTTGATACTCGACTCTTAAAATCAAAACTTATAATTCCATTTTAAAGAATTATACCCAAATTTTGTAATTAGGTTTTATTCTGATAAAGTGCAACATATAATCAGAATAATTATCAAACTATAATAACTCTGGTCTTTTATTTTACTGTTATAACATTAGGTAATAGTTACACTAGGTATGAAATAATATGAACAATTAGCAAAATCATATTTCATATATTAACAATTTCGCGGATAAACTATATAGACATCTATAAAAATAGAACAGGGAGGAATACTACATACTAATTGGAGAAATTCAAGTAAGCAATTACTCCAGGGTTTAATAAATTTTTTGACCACTTGGCATTAAATGGGTTCAATGAGAGTATGAAATACAATTATTTGTAGGATACAGCCTTAATATGGCTCATAATCATTAAAACATTAAAGAATTTCCTTATTATGTATATGAAAGTACCGACTTCCAGTGAGGACGGCTTATTAAGCAAGTTTGACTAATTTTTATGTTATGCAGTCCACATTATATTGCTTGCTTTTTTCTAGCATATCATTTACCAACTACAAAGAAACTACTTTAACCACTAACCCTAGCCAACTAACATCCAAAGCTGTAATATGAAAAAATATCGCATCAAGTGTTTCATTATAACTAATTTATCTTACAATACTTTAGTAAATTTTGTTAGCCTAAAAAATCAACAGATTTATATTCCAGAGTATATTTTACTATTGATCAATGGGAAGATCAAATGTGCCAATAATAATATATTTTATTCATTATTTTGGGCAATGTGATTTTTTTAAACATAATAAATCAGAATTATAGACTGAGCTTTGTTTTTACAATGACACCATTTAGAAAGTTATACATCAGTTGGCACATCTAAATTGAAGTATTGAAAAATACTAACAATCTTGAAAATACTGTTATCCATAAGTTCTGTTTAAGTTTTAATTAATTGGCTAAAATTTTCTTAGAAAGGTTTTTAGTTCGGGGTATTTACGAGATTATGAGTCTGCAAAATCTATTAATTGTGCCCATATTGTTCCATAGATCCAGGTTTAATTATTGAAAGCTAATCACATGTTATATAATATTATATAAAATTGTGCTTTGTACGATTCTAAGTTTTAGTTCTATAAAAACGATAATTTGATGTTTTAAGAAAAAAATACTGATATTGCTTGCTTTGTGCCTCTACTTGAATGTTGAACCAGCACTGCTTATGTGGCTAAAAACTATCTTAACCTTATTTTCTACATTTGTTACAGCTACATTACATTTGATAACCATCTACAATAGGAATAGTCTATATTGAAATATCTACTGAACAGAAGAAAAGAGTTGGGAGTTATTTTTGCAATAAAATTTTACAATTTAATAAGTATCATATTGTCTAAATAGCACATTACATCTAATACATGGTAATTTTCTAGGTATATTTGAATAGCTTGTAGATCATTTTTGCACATACACAAACTGTTAAATATATATATGTATAAAAATTGATCAATGACTTCTCTGTCATCATTCTTAAAGTGCTTCTTCAAACTGTTTGTATAATGAAACTTCATAACAGAAATTTAAACTATAGAAATACAAACTTATTCAAATGTTATATTATTAAGTAAAAAACCTTATAGTTGTTTTTAGTCATAATTATGTATAACAATAAAACTAAGAAAAATAGAAAAACAGGTAGGTCTTTGTAGCTAGCCCTCATGGTATTCATAGAATATTAATAAACATTAAGTAGATTCTAAAGATCACAGTAATGCCATAAGTTTCCACACATTCAAGCAGAAAATTGATTGACAGGCTACATCTATGACAAAAATTATTGTAATTTAAAAGTAAAACCACATTCACTTCAATATTTATCCAAAAATTTGAAAATTTCTTAACATTTACTGCTTTAAAATTATCGTTAAACTTCCTGTAAATTGGGTAGTCGTATTAACAGCAACATAACATGAATAATTTCATACTAAATTAACCATCACAGATCTTTCAACTACAAACGCATCAAGCAACACAATAAACAATACAATTTCATCCTTCACCAATTTTCAGGAAGTAACCTTAACACATTTGAAATTATTATCAAAAATAGTTTACAAAATTGTGGTCTTAACTTGATATAGAGTGTTGTTAAAAACCCCTCAAATATCAACTGGTATTTTCAATGCTTACATGATTTAATATTTCAAACACTTCTATTTTACACACTTAATTGAAAATATAATTAAAGGATTTTAATCAAGTAAACATTGATAATGATAAAATTTGATGGACTGAATAATTAAAGTTGATTTAAATAATCTCATAATCCCAATAATGTCAACAATTAGGATTACTCAAACAATGTTAGAAGTACAACTTAAGAATTTTCCAAGAATTATCCTTGATCTCAGATGATCTAGGCAAGTTAAGTAATTTATGCTCACACATTTCATAAAGTGGTAATGCCAATCAAATACATACTTGAAATTAATTGTTATGAAATTTACATAATATTTTTTAGGAGATAATTAACAAGTTTTAGATGAGCATGGAAATGAAATAGACTCACACAAATGTAAAGTTATGTCACAAGAGAATGTTTGGAGCGGTGCATTTTTTATTTAGAGGTGGCACAAGTCATAGCAGGTCGTCACGCTCCAGGCAGTGGTGGCCCATCTGTCTGAACATCCTTGTCCTCCATAGGAGGGTATGACTTGTCTGAACCATAACGCCGTGATATATCAAGCATTTCTCGTAGACCCTGCAAAATAGATCATAGTTTCAAGTATCATCAAACAAGTACTTTTTCATTGAGTTCTTTGAGACAAACACGTATATAATTAATTTAAATTAGATTGTGTTTTTTATTTATTAGTATATATTATGGGTGCAATAAAATAAAAAAATAAATGTTTCCATTGTTTAATGTTCAAAAACTGTAAGCTATTATAACCTGAAAGAATGCAGTATTTTTTTATTGCTATCTTTGAAATTCTAAGTAAAAAAAAGTTTTATTTATCACATAATAATCAGCAAATGGCATAAGTGAAAAAATATTTCTTAACATACTACAAATTATCTAGTTTAGAAATATATGTATGTTTACCAAAATACCAAATAAAGATGAGAGGGATTAAACCAGTGCTTGTATTTCAAACAATAGTATTACCTTATTCTCTGTAATAAGCCTTTGGTATAGTTCTTCTTCTCTCCTAGTATCACCATGAGCATCCATGTTCACTGCTTTGTACATGATACTGGTCATTTCATTAATTCGCTCTGCTTGCTGGCGGATAAGCTGCAAAAATACATTTAATTATAAACATGTAAGCATTTCACAAATTCAGTGAAAAGATTGATTGTGATATCAAATTCAAGCTTACCTCTTGCTGTTTCTCATTAATTGCTGATGTAAAATCTATCCGAGACTCCCATATTCTCTTTTCTGTATGTTGCCTGTATTTTGACATTATTAACTCAAGAGCTCTTCTGTGATCCTCAAGTGCAGCTCTTAGTTCAACATTTTCCCTTTGCACCTCCCTCATTATTCGAGATTCTCTTTCTATACTAGCAATTAACTCCCCTCTAGGTCTCTCTCTCGATGCCTCATTAAGTGTGTCCACTTCTTCTTTGTACTAGAATAATAGGATTTAATGTTCTAAAATATAACTTAATCTGCCTTAACCAAATAGAACTACAGTTACATGAATAGGTACTACAACAATTGACAACGTCAATAACATATTGTTGCTATATTGAGATTCCTACCTGTTTCATCGTGCTTATCTGTCTATATGCTGTTTGAGTTTCAGTCAGCACCGCATCCGCTTCAGTCTCCCGCTCCTTAAGCCGACCAGCAAGTCTTTTTGCATCCAAAATTATTTGTTGTATGGTCAGTGACATCTGAAAAGCCCAACAATCTACAGTAGCATTCCTTGTCTAATACATTTGATTGTAGAGCTATAATATACTAACCCTGTACGTCGCATACAATATAAACACAAACACCGGACCATCTAATCTAAAAAATAGAGTCACAAACAAGGGAACACACAATAATTTTATGTAAAAAGCAAAAGACGCACATCAGCTGTTTTGTGGATGGACTTCGGCAGCCATTAGATGATTTAGAAGTTCCCTAAAATGTAGGAAAATTAAAATAAATCTTGCTGTTGAGATAACACGATGTGAATTAAATGCCATAGAAAGAGAAAAAATATGAGGTTCCTAGCATTCTCACAGGGTATGATAATACTAGTATGACATGACCTTGAAATACAAAAGTATAATTATATGCATAGATAACAGAAGGGTCCACAGCTTATATTTCAATTAAATGTTTTAAAACCGAACAAGAGAGACCCCACCGACACTACTATAATCCACAGACATAAAATTAGAAGTAAGTAAAAGTAAATTTGTTTGACTTGAAATATAATTAATTCCACAGGTTTAGTAAAGGTATTTCTATTGATATCTACAGTGAAAATAGATCCCTTTAACTGCAGTGTGTTCCATCATGAACAACACATGAAATCGAAATTCGAATTGCTTTCGTAATAAGTAACGGTATTTGTATGGAAAACTTAAGAACTAAGAAGCACACATAAAAAGTAATGAATCATGTATCATCATCGTTAATAAATAACAAATTTGTCTGGTTATGACAGTTTTGGACAATTCTTATGGTCTATTTCTGTGCTTGTGAAACTTCCATTCACTAAAACAAAAATGTATTAATGTATTTTATTGTTTGAAATTCCTGTTATGTTGAAGCCGATTATAAATTCTTATTTATAGCTGTAGTACGACAATTAAATCATTAAAAGGTTAAATAAAAGGTTTATCCAGTACATTTATTTTTTAATTAATAAATAAAAATATTATATTAGCTACTCGCCAGTAAAACTAAGAAAAAATATGACCTATTATACAGAATTATGACACTTCATTATTGTTTATTTGATCAAAAATGGATTTGGTTTAAATTTATTCAGCAAACATTTAAATGACAACATAATATAATCTTATTCATTTTTTTTTAAATTGTCTATTTCTAATTGTTAAAACTAATTTATAATTTTCAATTTGTTCATTCTAATGAACAAATATTTTCATAGACCAACTTAATTACAGATTTTGCTTTTGCAAAAATGTTCTAATAAGTCTGTTTACTTTTTCCGGGTCTTCTTGTTGCATAAAATGGCCACTATCTTGAACTTTAGTTGTTTCAATTGTTTTGTAGAGTTTCTTCATGGTTTCCATTATTTTTTTACCTAAGTAAATTTCATTTGTCCCATGTGCAAATAAGAAAGGAACGTTTTCATCGTGTCGCTTCAATTCAACGTCAATGTAATCAAAAGCAGCTCTGTAGTAATTGATCGGGGGTGTTAGAGCATCTGAAAAAATCCATACAACTTATATCAAATCACTAGTTCATCCAACATTATGATAAGGATACTATTCAGTGTTCGAATTTTAAAAGATAAAAGTAGATACGATTCATCCTATATGGACGGAATTGCAATAAAACATATTGAAAAAAAAAATCTCCAAGTCTGATTTTCAGTCAGGCCGTATAATATAGATAAAGGCCAAATACAATATGTGTTGATATTTTGGCTATTGCATTTACTTAATCTTAGGTTATATCATAGCCCGTAATGGAAAGCAAAACGCGTTAGTGTGCGCATCGTAATAGTACGAGATGTTTACTTAACACTTACATTGTTTGCCGAACCAATATTTGTAGCATTCCAAATCTTCTTTATCAACACTCGGCTTTCCTTCAACAATCATCACCTTGTGCAGCAATTCTAAATTATTCATTTGTATCATTAGTTCTGGAATCACTCTCATACGGTACAAGAAAACATACCTGAAATACATTAATTTATATTGTACACTGTTTTATTTCCAATTTCTATATATTATATTCTTGGGACATGAAATTATTAGGTAATACATGCTTGCTGGGGTAAGATCTACCCGTATACAGGTTCCCCCATTTCAAACTTTACGACTCGGAGCGCTAAAACTAAAACCTTATTTGATACGAAACAGGATTCTTAATTTAAATAAATTCTTAATTCAATTATTCTAGAGAATCTTACCATGACAACTTTCGTTGTTCATCATCATTCCATATAGCATCAAGCCATGCCTCATGCGCTGTACTACTCAATACAATGAGTGCTTGTAGGGTTTCAGGGTAGTTATCCCGAAATCTGGTTGCTATTATGCCACCCCAGTCGTGAGAAACCAAAATGAACTTCTCTCGACCTGAAACATTTTTATTTTATATTTAGCGGAGACGCGATCTAAAGATCACGCAGCAGAGCACATCATCGTAAGTATTAAAACCTCGTATTTGATTGGCTAGTCTAATACAGCTGAGTTCCACGAACTTTAGAAGACCCTTAAAATCCAATTATTAATTAATATTACGTGATTCGGGAAATAAATGAAAATTCTATCACCATTGCTATGAAAAGTTAATATTTTAATAATGCTTAGTATGGTTACTTTTTATAACACATAGTTCCTAATATCGCTTAACCGGAAACATTTCATTGCATATTATATACATATATTTATTTTCTTCATAATCAAGTACAGAATGAAAATATTTTTTTATCTTGACTTTATCACCGACCCTGAAGTACAAGGATAAATTATGTTATTTTAAGTAACATATTAAATTAATTGCGGACTCGAAAGTACAAATGGCAATGGAACCAATTATCAATTAAGGTTAATTAAGAATATGCGTTTAACATTTATATTTAAACGAGTTTTGGACTGATGTTCGTAGACTCGCATTATAATTAGGTATAGTAATCTACTTATATTTTGACTTCTCGTAAATAACTTCAAAAGCAATTAGAGTTAATTAAATTTACATTAAAAAACAAAACCAATAACTACGTTAACAATGATTCTTATTATTATCAATAACAAACGTAATTAAGTTATCTTGTTTGACCTTTAAAAATGTTAGTTCGTTTCGACAATGTATACGGTAATTAAGTCAACTTTAAAGTCTAGTTTTTATAAGTTCAATGTGGCAAGTCAATTAAAAGTATCAAATCTTTAATATACATATTTTAGTTTGTAGTTTTGTTTAAATAGCTATATGTATTATGTATTTTTGCACTTCCTGCTTACCTTACCTAATTTAAATTTTTTTTTCACAGTGGTTGCCTGGAAGAGATCGCTCGAAAGCGATAAGGCCGCCAGTTGCTCTCTTTTTCATGCAATTATGTTCAATTTTTATTATGTTAATGCAACGAAGTGTTAATAAGTAAATAAATAATAATATTTTAAATACTATACAATTCGAATAAAAGGCTTTATTATAATTATTATGTGTGCCCTATGCCGTACTTACTTCATACAGATTATATTTTTATTTAATAAAACCATACCTAATTGGCGAAGGAGATCCCGTATATCTTCCGCCATTGTCTGGATATTATAAAAAGAGACACCTTCTGGTCTTTCAGAGTCCCCGTAGCCTCTCATGTCAACTGCTATACACCTGAAATTGTGTTAATAGATAATAAAGGAATTTAAAATAAATCAAGGCGCTGTTTAGTAACTGAAGACAAATCAAGCCAGATGGTACTCACCAATAATCTTTTTTAAATTCGAGCAATTGATACCGCCATGAATACCAAAATTCAGGGAATCCATGCAAGAATACCATTAAAGGTTTGGACGGATCTCCGTTTTCCACATAATGAAGCTTCACATTCTGAAAAAAATAATGTCACATTACAATTCAGAATGTAGATAATAAATGGTGTATTTTAAATTACCAGCGCTTTTTATGGGAATTCGATCTTTAGGAATGGGCCTCAGAATTATGTACCTGTTTCGTTATAATTGGTTTTCTAATAGGCAAGTATGGTTACTCGCTGCTGCTTTTTGGTTAAGCCATGCCTGTTTCTTCACAATGATTTCTTTCACCGTCCGAACTGCGCTCACAGACAGAAAGTCAGGGATGAGAGAGGCTCATGCTGAAGCCAACCCTGCTCACTTATAATGTGTATTGTTTTATATACGTTATAATTTGTAATCTATCATCAAATAGTTAAGTTTTTAGTATGAAGTAAATTTAATAAAGCTTTTAAATCTTGTTTTGTTTGCCGGACTGCTGATGTTGTATTTATAGAATATACGAAAATATATTATCATCACATTTTCCCATTTTATATCAAAGTCCTTTGCTGTTTGCCAGTCTGTTAGGTAAGGTACATTATACAATTTGTCAAGTTTTTTTGGTTGTAATATAACAATGATTGGAAATATTGTTCATGTCAAGAAAATCTTTATATTTTAGAGCAGTGTTTCCCGACGGGGGATCCACGCCCCAGAGGGGGGGCAATTTGATTGTTAATGGGGGCTATACCAAAATTATTTGGAATTCAATTTCAGTTTCATTATGTTTTGAAAATTTACTTACTGTGTTAAATAATTTCTTGCAATTTCTCCGTAGAACCTATCATTTAAGATTCTTAAGTGAACAATTCAATTTGTTAATATTCAAAATTTTATATTACTTAGGGTCTGTTTAAGAGTCAAATTTTCACGTGTACCAGAACCCACAGAGCAAAACAGTCTTGTCAATATTTTAAAAAGCGTTGTCATTTATATTCCTTATTAGATATTCCTCGTTTTAAAGTATTTGTTAGTAAATATTAAGGTAATTTAATGCATGCTATGTTTGCCTGTTAATGCTAATTAGTTAAATCTAGTTTTTTATTAACACTTCGTTGCATTACAATATAAAAATTGAACATAATTAAATGAAAAGGAGGGCAACTGGCGGCCTTATCGCTTTCGAGCGATCTCTTCCAGGCAACCACGGTGTGGAAAAAAATGTACTAACTTACATAAGGTAGGCAAGGTGCAAAAATACATATTACATATAGTCATTAAGAAAATACTAAACAAACTAAACTAATAAAGGTTACATGAAAAATAAAAAGTAAAAAAAAAAATGTTTTTTGTTTGTTTCTAAATGTAGAATTTTGCATAGGCTTTTTCCATATAATAACATAATTGCTACTAGTGCTTAGCCGGTCGATAATTTAAATAGCGCCTTTATAATTTAATTAAATACATACAAATAACTATGCGCCGGTACATCGGGACTTTTATGACAAAGTAATATATTAACGAAATCCCACTAAGGTTTTATGATAATGAAAAGCTGTAAAATCCACGTTTGCTATCACACAGTCGTGCAACGACGTAACACTAAAATGTTACGCACGATCGTTCCGCTTTCTAAGGTTTAATCTTCTTCATGCGATTGAATAAAAACAAACTATTTAACACCTTCTGAGGTACTTTTAAAAACAAATAAATAATTTATATAAATACTTATTGTTGTAAAGTATTTCTGCAATGAATGGGGCTTGCACATATTTATTTATTTATTCACACTTCGTTGCAATATAAATAAAAGAAACACAAATAACACAATGCATAAAAATTACAAAGGCATCCTTTGTGCGGGCGGCCTTATCGTTAATAAGCGATCTCTTCCAGGCAACCCTAGTAAGAGAAAAACTAAAAAAATAAAAATGATGAGTGCAGGAAGTGCAGCACCAAATGTTATAAAAAATATTTAGAACCTTAATCTAAAGTAATACAAAAAAAATATTAATAACAAACTAAAAACTAAAAAGCTAATCTTATAGATTCATGAATAGCGATGCAATACAAAAGAAAAGGAAACACAATAATTACAATTAATGATTGAACAGGATAGAATAAGGTTAAGAGCTGTTTATACAAGAGTTTTAAAAGATGATGGAGAAATACATATTGAACGATGGAGATGTCCCAACATTCACTTCTTTTAGAAGCATCCGAAATCGGAGTTACCACAAGGAAAGCCGTCTGGCAAAAGTTCATAGAAATGTTGCAGAAAAGTTTAGAAGAAATGTTTTGTTGGAAATTTTTCTTTTTTGCTGGAAATCGCATCTAACTTTAAACTTTAATAAGTTATAAAGTGACTCATTGACACCTGGAACTCTATCGAAACCAGTGATTGCTAACAAGCTCAGGTTAAATAACTACAGCATACATTCATATAACACAAACAATTGCAATACGATTTTGTAATTATTGTTGTGGCAATTATTAAATTAAAAATCATTTGTACATTACACAATTACAGTCTCTATTTTTTAGATTTTTTATAAATTTTTATAAGAGCAGTGTTGGCCTAGTGGTTTCAGCGTGCGACTCTCATCCCGGAGGTCGTAGGTTCGATCCCCGGCTGTGCCCCAAGAGACTTTCTTTCTATGTGCGCATTTTAACATTTGCTCGAACGGTGAAGGAAAACATCGTGATCCGGTGCCTTGGCCGAAAACGACGGCGTGTCAGGCACAGGAGGCTGATCACCAACTTGCTTATTGGATTAATAAACGATCATGAAACAGATACAGAAATCTGAGACCTAAAAAGGTTGTAGCGTCACTGATTTATTTTATTTTTATAATTTTCTTATTCTATCATATCCATTTGATTGAGACAACTGGTCAATATTTTTGTTTGCATGGGAATTTATTATTATTTATACATATATACATTTCTTGCAGTAGGTAGAGTGACCGAAGTAGTTAACGAAATTCCGCGCGATAATAATATAACTGGTTTTAAATGTAAATTTCAAGTACTCTAAAGAATTAAGCAGTGTTAGCTGTGGGATCGCTGAGATCGTGCGAACAAAAAGATTTTTCCGCGGTAATGAAGGAAGCTATCGCTATGCTAAAATTATCAGTAAAATAGATATAAAAATGTGTCTACCATGCGTCATACAGTATATAGATAGATATAAAATGATTAGATAGATAAAAAAAGAAACTTAATCGGAATATGTAGTAAAATAGCTAACATCATGCTTATATAAATTTTCTATAGAAAAAAAATCTTATCTATCATCAATCAAATAGATGCTGGAAATGTGTCTACCATGCGTCATACAGTATTTAGATAGATATAAAATGATTAGATAGATAAAAAAAGAACCTTAATCGAAATAGGTAGTAAAATAGCTAACATCATGCATATATAATTTTTCTATAGAAAAAAAATGTATAGAAAAATTATCAAAGAAATAGATGTGGAAATGTGTCTAATATAACACTAGCTGTTCCCTACCACGCTTCGTTGTGGCACATTGTGATTGAATGGTTGAGAAATGAGAAACAAAACAAAGAAAACATTTCATATAAGTTTAATTTTGCAATACTTGTGGAAAAAAAATAAAAAAAACAAAAAAATTAAAAAAATAGATAAAAACAATCCTTGATGCGGATTATATATCATGCTAAATTTTCAGCTCGATCGGTGCAGAACTTTTTGAGTTTTTGGAGCGTACACAAACCAACATAACATTTTTATATATATAGAAGATAGATAGATACATAGTAAAATATATAGTAAAAATTGCTTAGTTTAGGGTCACTCATGTAGAAGGCAACCGGCAGCGCATTCGCGAGCCCTCTGGCATTGAGTGTCCATGAGCGGCGGAATCATTTAACATCAGGTGAGCCTCCTGACCGTTTTCTCTTCTATAAAAAAGGCAAACTGTACCTGTAATAAATTAAAATGTATACTCACGTTGACTTTAATATATTTATGAACACCGTACTTCGGATCAGACAATCTAGCCGGTGGTACCAGCCTTTGCTTATTAGCCCACGGATTTCTGAAGGGGTTCTTCAAATACGTCACCAACATATAGAAAATAATAGCTGCAGTATAATACAGCGTCAATGCGTTTGCTATTGCAAGTCGTTTTATATACGTTATCACACCCATGTTTAAAAAAACACAGCAGATTACACGTACGCCACCAACGGCTGTCAGTAGCCGACTGAGATTTATCATATAAACTTTGAGGTAGCTACTAATTGTTAATACCAAGGATTATAATAGGTTCATTTATTATTCTGAGCTCGGACATCGTCGTAGAGGTCAGATGGCTATTTTTTTTTAATTCAGGAATCTTTTTGTTATAAGTCTGACTGCATATTTGTATCTGAATAAAAATTCAATATGTTTTCGTTGTAACTGAGGTTTCATTTAGAAATTATATAGCCAAGTACATAATTCTCAGTGAATTTAAATACTGTGAATAAAGGTGAGGGCGCCCACTAGACCTGGGTAGATGAAATAAAAGAGATAGCGTACCCCCGCACCCTAATATTGGAAAATAGTAGCGAAGATTAGAGACAAAAGAATTTGGGGGCCTTTACTCCGTCGAAGGTCGTGTTACGTGTACTAATAATAAATATAATAATATAATCCTTATTAGAGTAAACGATTTTTTATTTATTTTTTATTGGACAGTTCACACCAATTGACCTAGTCCCATGCTAAGCTGGTGAAGCTTGTGTTATGGGTACTAGGCAACGGATATACATACATATTATAGATAGATAGACATATAAATACATATTAAAACACCCAAGACCTAAGCACAACACCAAATGCTCATCACATCGATGTTTGTCTCAGCTGGGGAACGAACCCGGGACCCATGGATTCGCAGTCAGGGGTACTAACCACTAGACCAATGAGCCGTCAATGAGTGAATATAGGTCATTTTTATTTATAGTGCACTTAAAACAGTTATCTCTATGAGATGCGCAATATAATGCTATTATCACATATCATGTTATAACAATAAAGTTAATGATTCAAGACCCACTTTTACTATGTAGAAATTGTAATCACTACTATCAATAGATGAAGATAAAATTACAAAATGTCAGCATAGACTACAAAGTACAAAGATTAGAATATTATTAAACGGTTCAATGAACATAGACTTACAATTTAATTCCCCAGCTTTAGGTAATTTTTATATTCTGATTCGCTTCCAAACAATATTTGTTTCGGTTCGAACGGCACAAAAAGCTGAATACTCACTTGCCTAACAATCAAGAAGTAAAAAGTCAAAACTCTAACTCTTTTTATTCATACAGGTAACACAATGTCAAAAAAGAAATATACATTAAATGTTTCTAATTTAACATTTACTGCCAGTTCTCAAATCAAGGGCGTAGAACGGAAGAGAAGAACTGGCAATAAACTCTCCGCCACTCTTTTTAATCGCCAAGTTTTTATTTTACACAACGTTTGTAAGGAGCTGCAACCATTACACATCTTAAGTAATAAATAATAATAAAATAAATTAAAAACAAAGATTTGTCCTCTATCAGCAGGAGGCATGGTGAAATAGGAGCACGCACTTACATTCTCGTGGAAACAATACACAAATACATAGAAAAAATAACCAACATCACCGCATACACGAATTCAAGTACGACCAGTCACCACCAATACTACCAAAATACAAATTTGGCTTCCATTGCGGGGCTGCGGAACATAAAAATCTCTATTTCAAATATTTATTCTTTTAGGTAAATGAAACAATAAAAACGAATGATAAAATGTATTAAACAAAACAATCTTCAATTAACAATAAATAACACAATTCTTTGTGTTGAAATAAATAAACTCTCTAAATACACAAAAATGTGTTTAGAACTATGGTAATAGTTGCTTGCTCTATCTCTCGTTATGTCAGAGACAGAGAACAACCATAGCAGTATATCAAACAGCTATATTAAAATAGATATGTTATTGTGTATATATAATGAATTTTTTAAATAAAGTATTGATGATATCATTGAAGTTAGAAAATAGCTAGAGAATTCCGTGCGTGGAGGGCTCGCCTCTTCAATACTTTTAGCTCTTCACGCCACTATTCAGGGCACATATAGAGTCGCTGTATAACATCAAAGTTTTGCATACATTTTACGATAACCAGGTCCACAAAACCACAGATATATATTCTTTAGCTGACAAATTCGTACTTGATTTATCCAATTCTTATAAAAACACTACACAATTTCTACAAATGAAATTTAATTTCAGACGCAACGTGACTATTTCATACAAATTATTATATTCCCAGTTTCAAAATGTAAACGACAAATGGTTTATGGCGAGATTGGAGTAGAATTAAGTCAGTCAAAAAGTTAACGCTAGTAACTCAAATGAATTAATATCTTAAAGGCGGGAAGATACACATGTATACAAAAGCTTTTAAAGATTTTAAATTTCGCAACAGCTTTCATTTCACCGATACTCGTGACACTAAATATTCATCAAGATCCTATAAATTAATAAACCAATCAATGTTGTAAATTTCCCGTATACTCCGTATCGGGCAATGCCAGATCTTCGATTCCCCTCCACAATTCATCATTTAGGCCACTTGAGAATATTCTAGCGGGATCCGAAGCAAAGTTATACACGTTGCGTGAGAAACTCGAGTCAGGGTTTTCGTTGTTCAATCGTTCCATTGTTTCTTTCTCGATTTGTTCTAAACGTTCAATGGCTTTGTTGGGATCTGCGTCTTTTGGTCTTTCATTGAAGTCTATATCGATTTCAATTCTGAATAAAAATATATATTTATCAAATCACATAATTTTTAAATAAAAAAGTGCGTGCGTAAAAAGTACACATGTCAGAAGTGAAACTTCTTTGGCAAACTAATTTTTAAGTCTTGTGCGTACAAATCTTAATCTTTAGATTTCCGAGACTTCGAGGGAGGGAAAAAGGAAGATATGTTAGGAATTTAATGAATTTAATTGTCATTAAAATATTAAAAGTGTCGAAAATCAATACAAATTATAATTTTTTTTTAAATATATGTAAAGAGAATGATCTCTTTAATTTGAATATTCGCGCGCACTGCTAGTTCGTGAGTGAGCCGCGTCGTGTCACGTCAAGCTAGCTGACATTGTCAAAGATGTAAAGGACAAATATGCTGAGATCGTTGAATTGTATTTTAATCTTATTTGTTAATTAATTTCATACTTAGTTAAGCTATATGCATCGAGAGGTGATAACAATAAACTTTTATTGTCGTTTCTTTACTTACAGGTGAGATTGTGCTAGTCTTGTAAGGATTGTATCAGTGTGTAACCTACTCGATAAATAAAATTGCATTCTTTACTTACAGAGAAACAAATAGAAGTTTTATTTAGCCTCTTGCAATTGTCGTCGTCATTTGAAATTTCAATAAACTATTCTGCATAAATTATAAAATACTAATATTTCATAAATTCTCTTTTGGAAATTTTAATTTTAAAAATAGAATTTCTATAAGGCAATTCACCCTTCTCACTCTCTCTCAATCGGTCTCAATCGGTCTCAATCGGTCTCAATCGGTCTCTCCCTTTTTTTCGACAAAAACGCTGCACATATTCGTGACATTCCGTAAAATTTTTAACCTCATGCGCTTAAAGAAGTTTCACTTCAAAACCGCGAAAGAAAAAAAAGTGACAGCAATTTGCCTTTTACATGAGAACTTACTCATGTCATTTTCACATTTGTACATCCTTTTTCTAACATATTTTCATGTATGCTTTAAACATGTGTGATGTTTGAATTAGAATAAACTGAGTTGGGCCCATTTTTGGTTTATGTCATTGTACTTGTATTTTTTGTGTATTACTTAAATCAATTTTTTTTAAATAGTATTTAAAACAGTACCGAGATTCATGAACTCTAGCTAAGAATACGTTTAAGAACAACAGTTTTATCCGTTTAGAAACGTGTCAGCGCGGGTCCACTTCGCAACAAGAGTCGTGATTATTCCACGCAAACATTGCCCAAGTAAGACAAATTAGTACATAAAAGATTGAAGAATTATTTCCTGTTGGATTCCAACTAGAATCTGTGTAGGCATATTTGTCATTTGTCAATTTTTTTTTGCCCGGGCGTCATCTTTTATATGGAAATAGAACGACAAAAACATCTAATGATTCACAAATAATAAGCTCTTATATCCACAGAAAAACGAATTTTAAATATCGTATGTATAAAATATTCAAATTCAGAACTCAGTAGTTTGCAATTACTGTAGCCCGCCATTACTGCTTATCAAACTTTCACTTTATAATATTTATAGTTGTCTCACCCAGTGTCTTCTTTGAATTTATCCCATAGTTCTGAAGTGAGAGCTCGCGGTATTTCTGCGGCAACAGCGCGACAGGCCACGTCCAGTGTTTGTTCAACAAATATATCGGAATCTGTTTACAAGTTAAATCTAACAACCATTTGCAAATTTTCTTAACTAAGTATTTAAAATGTGAAAGTGTGTTTGTACATATAGAGCTAAACTATGTATTGTACAACGTAAATCGATAAAGTTTGATCCTATAAATGTTATGTGATATTTTAGGAACCTTGCAAACATAGAGAGGATCTAAGAAAACTTAGAACAAAACAGAATAACCTAGTTAAAATATTCGATGCCGATATAGAATTGAAATGATGTTCTATGTTTGAAGAGTGTACGAGACCATAGACCACAGACGATTAGAGTAGTTTGTTGTCTTCGGATAAACTAAAAACGAAATTCTTCTTTTATATAGGATAATTTATTATATTCACATAACACTTGAAACTTTTCAACATAGAACATCAATTATATAAAAAAACAATAACAAAATATTTAAAAGATTACACGGTGACAAGAAATACTCAATCGAGAAATCTTTCTGTTGTAACTGATACAACACAATGGGATTAGTAAATATGTGGTTACGGGTCATATTTATTAACTAAATATCACGTCACATCCGCAATCACATGACTTTCTAAATCATACTGTTTCTGGTAGCAATTGGCGTGAGATGCATTTGAATTTTAGGGCCGTATAATAGAAATTTGATACAAAAAGTACATTTATAGTAAATTTTTTCAAAACATAGAATAACTCAATTGTACTTCTATTGTTATCTAATTTTATTAAAGCCAAATATTATTTACGTTTGCGAAGACTCTACTAATAAAGATGGTATACACAACATAAAAATAATATAATGAATTTAAATAAATCGTCTAAAACAGATATTAACGACCTAATAAATTTTATATCCTATAAAGAGTATTTTTAAGTAAATCTGTATAGGATATTAAAAAAAATCTATTAAATAAACTCTCTTGCAAAAAAACGTTTTTTTTTTTTTTTTTTTTTTTATGTAATAGGAGGCAAACGGGCAGGAGGCTCACCTGATGTTAAGTGAAACCGCCGCCCATGGACACTCACAATGCCAGAAGGCTCGCAAGTGCGTTGCCGGCCTTTCAGGAATTGGTACGCTCTTTTCTTGAAGGACCCTAAGTCGAATTGGTTCGGAAATACTTCTGTGGGCAGCTGGTTCCACATAGTGGTGGTGCGCGGCAAAAACTGCCTTAGAAAACGCTCTGTTGTGGAACGACGGACGTCGAGGTGATACGGATGGTATTTTGTATTTTGCCTTGACGTCCGATGATGAAACTCAGCTGCAGGTATTAGACCGAACAACTCCTCTGAACACTCTCCATGGTAAATGCGGTAGAAGATGCAGAGAGATCCCACATCTCTACGCAACGCCAAGGGATCAAGCCGCACGGAAAGTGACTGGTCGTCGACGATTCGAACCGCTCTTCGTTGAATACGGTCAAGTGGAAGGAGCTGGTACTGGGGAGCTCCCGCCCAGAGGTGAGAGCAGTACTCCATATGGGGCCGAATTTGCGCTTTATAAAGTTGCAAGCGGTGGCCCGGAGTGAAGTACCGTCTCGCCTTGCTGAGCACACCAAGCTTTTTGGAGGCTAATTTAGCCTTTCCTTCCAGATGACCGCGAAACTGAACGTTATTCGATATGTCAACGCCCAGTATTCCGATGCTAGCTGAGGCTTTAAGGAGAGTGTCTTCAAAGAGGGGAGTAGTGACAAAGGGAGTTTTTTAGCGGAAAACGCGCATACTTGTGTCTTCTTGGGGTTAAATTGGACTAGATTTAGTCTACCCCAGTCCGAGACTCCACGTAGAAGAGTTTCGACTTCAGACACAAGTTTGTTCCGGTACTCATCGACAACAGCCCGAGAAATACCTGCCCGGCCAGTGTAAAAAGTATCCCCAGTGCTGTCGTCCGCATAGCAATGAATGTTGCTAAGCTGCAACATATCATTGATATGCAGAATAAACAGGGTCGGGGATAGGACACAGCCTTGTGGGACACCAGCATTCACAGGTTTCAGGTCGGAGCATGCTCCGTCGATGACGACTTTGATGCTCCGATCAGCCTGAAAGCTGGAAATCCAGTTGCATAATTTCTCAGGGAGCCCATAGGCTGGAAGCTTCGAGAGCAGTGCTCTGTGCCACACCCGATCGAAGGCTTTCGCTATGTCCAAACTTACCGCCAGCGCCTCCCCCTTGGACTCAATTGCCTCTGCCCACCTATGTGTAAGGTATACAAGGAGGTCACCAGCCGAGCGACCACGACGGAAGCCGTACTGAGAATCGCTAATCAGCTGGTGGCCCTCTAGATACCTCAAGAGCTGGCTGTTAATAATGGTTTCCATTATTTTGGAGAACAAGGAGGTTATAGCTATTGGGCGATAGTTGGACGGATCAGAGCGATCGCCTTTTTTAGGGATCGGATGTATCGAAGCGATCTTCCAGCACTTCGGAACAGTGCCGAGCGTGTAAAGGTACCGGAAAAGGCGCGTTAGGACCGGAGCCAACTCAGGAGCACAAGTACGCAGCACAATTGGAGGGATGCCATCAGGCCCGCTCGACTTATGGATGTCCAAGGAAGACAAAGCTTTACGGATAGCACGTTGCCGGAATATAACTTCGGGCATCGTAGTATCACACCGCAATAATGTCGGTGGTTCCTTCCCTTGATCATCCAAAGTGGAGTTCGACGCAAAGAGACAGCCTAGAAGATCGGCCTTCTCTTTCGCGGTATGGGCAAGTGAGTCATCCTCCCTATGCAGTGGTGGAATTGAGGGCTGACAGAAATTCCCTTGGACAGCTTTGGCAAGAGACCAGAAGGCTCGAGTTCCCGAAGGGAGGTGGGCCAATTTCTCACCAAATCTGGCAATGTGCTCTGACTTTGCTTTAGCGATTTCTCGCTTGAAGGACCTGGAGGCTGAATTGTATGCTTTTTTACGTTCGCCGATAGTCACATCACAGGATGTCACCGCTTCTGCCCAGGCTTTAAAGCATTCACGCTTACGGCGCAAAGCCGCTTTGCAAGAACGCCTAAACCAAGGCTGGGACTTGCCACCGACCGGCACCGCAGAGAATGGAATAAAGAGTTCCATACCCTGCAGGACCACCTCGGCGACAGAGTCAGCGACGGCATCTGGAGTACTCGACGAAAAGCAAATGGGCCCCCAAGGGTAGGACGCAAAAAAAGACCGCATCCCATCCCAATCTGCTGACTTATAGTGCCACACGCGGCGACAGCCCGTGAAGCTAGGCCGAAGAGTGCGCGTGAACGGCACAATGCTCCGGACCACACAATGATCTGATGAACCCAATGGCGGTTCAACAGAGACTTGGTAGTTCTCCGGATGTGAAGTCAGCAGAAGGTCCAACAAAGAGGGTTTATGACCAGCCACATCTGGTATTCGCGTAATCGCAGGAACCATTTGCGTCAAGTCATAAGCCAAAGCAAAGTCGTGAAAGGATCTTCCCGCATGATCGGTGGTTTCTGTGGCGAGCCAATCGGCATGGTGGGCGTTAAAATCGCCAAGTATCACGATTTCAGCGGTAGGAACCCTTTCGAGCAGGGAGTCTGTAGCCATTTGGATGTGCTCAATGAGTCGGTCAGTTTCGGTATTTCCGCTATGGGACCTATACAGGCATGCATAGAATCGCGGATGGTCATCGCAGTCTACGCGCAGCCAGAGGTTAGATAGGTCCCTTCCTTCAAGCGTCCCGAGGCGACGAGAACAGATATCCTCTCTGACGTACACGCAAACTCCCGCCCGCGGCACAAATGAATGTTCCAATTTGTACCCCGGGTAGGAGAGGTAGGAAGTATCAGCCGGGGAGGAAATCTGAGTCTCGGTAAGAAAGAGCAAGGCCGGCTTCGCAGTCTCTAAATGGTAGTGGACTGCGTTGATATTAGAATTGAGCCCCCTAACATTTGTGAAGTCCACAGCGAGCGTGGACGGGGGTGCCTTTGTTGAGTTGCTCCGTTTGCCCCGAGAACGATAACTGTTTTTGATGTTGAGCGCAGAATTGCCCCCCCCAGAATACGAAGGGCAGCCTGTGCGTCCAACACCGGGTGCTGAATGTCCCGATGTTGGACGCCCAGAGGGGGATTCTCCACCGCGAGCGCGTGTGGTACCCCCCTGGGGTAGATTCTCTTTTTTCTGCACCTTCATATTTCATGGGGGGGGTGGGCTCCGGGAGTCTCTCTCACCGCACGAAACGCGAGTACAATAAGGTGAACTTATTGCATCACTTCACGCCGGTTTTCTGAGAGACAGTGGTACTGCCCCGGTCGTGCCTGCCCATTTGGCTGAAGCCCGAAGACAACAGCATGGCACTCCCACTAGGAAGGGGTTGACTGATTGCGCTGATGAAATAACCTCTGTCACAGGTTATTTCACCAGTGGGCGATGGGGTCGTCACGTCCCGACGCCTAAATGTTTAGGTGCTTAAAGAAAATTTCATTGAAAACAATGTTCGCCGGCACCGTTTTGGCGACGTACAACCATACAAGAAGTAGATGGTTTAGATTAGCCAGCTCAAAGTCCTGACCTGAATCTAATTAAGCATGTCTGGAATGATCTAAAGAGACAAGTAAAATCACTGCAACGTGCTCCACAAAACATTAGGAAGGAATAAAAACATTGTGGAAAGCATCCCCAGAAGGATTCAAGCTGTGAATTTGTCAAGACGAAGTCACACTCTTTATTAGTAAAACACTTTTTAACGGATTTGAAGTTATGTTTTATTATAAATTTATAATTATTTTACACGGTGGTCACGGTGACCACGCACGCTGTAAAGTACGCGAAACGTCGGTTAAATTTAAAATTATGTAAAATAATAGTAAATTTATAATAAAACATAACTTCAAATCCGTTAAAAAAGTGTTTTTCTACGTCTAAAAGTTATGTCAATAAAAGACAATACTCGCTATTACTTTTTCTGCATTCGTAACTTTATTTAATTAAATCAAAAAAAAGGTTCTTGTCTTTATTGCCGACCACGTTTGGCCGTGCACATCAGTTTTAAGAATTTATCAAAAATTAATTTAAAAATCACCAGAATTCACTTCACGCGTAATTATTTACATAATATAGTTACAGACTCGTGAGGAAATCAAATTTCATTCAATAAAATTTCTTAGGTGCCAGTTTTTTCTGCAAAGAGTTTAAAATAAAATAATATTTACTTGAACTATCGCGGCTGTTTCTCGATCTTCGTAAAGCCCTTGCTAAATTCCCATAAACTGGTCCACTCGAAGTCAACTTACTGCCGCTACAGTGCCACTCATTGTCTAAAAAATTTAGATCGAATCAATTGGGTTTTTAACCTTAGAGATCTCAGAACTTTGTTTAATTATAATCTAACCTATAACCCAAAAGCAAAAAAAAATTACAATTGACATCAAGTATTTTCTTTCAAATGTATGTTTAGTGACCCTACAATTAATACGATGACGTCATGCTGAACCGCGCTATCAAAATGTTTTCTATGTATAACATCTCGACATCATCTACTGCGGCCTTCTCCCTTCCTCCATATATGAATAGATCATGGGACTGGAGACAAAATCTGGGAATTACGTTATTATTAGGGTCACGCTTTGTCACGTGACCATTTTCATACAAATTCGTTTGGCGTTAGTTAGCCCGTCGAAAAGTGATTTTGTCTCAAGCCCCTGTGAGGTACAGATACCTTGGTGTACACTTCTCCATTAAATTTTGACGCTTTAGGCTGAGATATGCCATGGTTTTGTTTTATGTTACCTAGTAATTGTTATTTTTAACGGACAGTTGACAGAATACAGTTACATGTCAAGAATTTAATGTCATACTATTAATATACCGTAAACCACCAAAGTACTTAATAGATCCATGACACACCGTTGTGTCAAAAATAAAATATAGGCTCGTCGACATCACAATAATTTCTGACTCCGATCTTTGAATTGATGTAATTCCCGATTTTATAAATTTCTGTAGAAAACATACCGCTACCACCTTAACGGAAAGAAAAAAAGTGTGTTGAGTTACACTTACTGGTCCAATGTGATATGGACTTTAGTCTGGCTTAGTGTTGCCCAAATGCAAGACCAAGACGAGACTTAGGTCAGTCTTGGTATTGGTCTTGCGACAATACACCTGGTCTTGATCTTGGTCTTGGTATTGCGCTCTCAGTCTTGGTCTTGGTCTTGATCTTGCAGCAAGAGTCTCGCAAGTCTCGCAAGACTTGCAAATACCTATTAGCCTATTGCTATTTATTGAACACGTTAGTTTAGATTTTAGATTATGATTCGCTGTAAGACGCGCGAATAATATTTTAATCAACAATCTAGCACTAGCCTGCAAATTGCAAAAAAAAAATTGAGTTTGGCGGGCTATCCTATGCTACCTATGCGGCTAAAATAAGGAAGTGCGTGTGTGTTGAGATTAGCAGATTTCATTACAGTGTGCGTAGGTACATTTTTTAGGCAATTTGTCGTACTCGTGACTGGCGCGCTTTGCTACGTAGGTACAGTCGTTAAAGTATGTGTAAGTAAGAAACGATGAAGGTACCTACTTCAACAAAATTGTATTCTTTAGAAAAATAACGACGATTATTTTTATTTATTTAGTAAATCATCGCTGAAGACAATAGTCGCTACTAGAGTAGGTACGATAGGAGTTGATAAATCGACACTGCAAATCTCGATTTTTGGAAGTGTGTGATTTTAAAACAAAATGCGTAAAGCAATATGACGTCGCTCATATTTGGAGCTTTTCCACGTTTTAAGTTTGTTAAAATCACCCACTTCCAATTTTGCAGTGCAATGTCCTTTAAAAAGGTATAATAGGTAATAATAATATAAACTAGGTATATTTTTATTACTTACAAAAATTTTTATAAAATCTACCTATCCTTAGGACTACATTCTTCCTTGCGAGGACAACATAATCTATTTGCGTCCGTTCTGAGCACCCGGAAACTTATTTTATTCTTTAGAACATGGGCAGTGGCGGCGACCTTTGACATGAAAGCGACGGCGGCAACACAAAGTCTAGAAGCGGACTAAATTTTTACCTATTTTGGTGGGGTTGTCAATGTTGGCATTAGCACAGAAAAATAAAATTAAGTAAACACAACGTTTATCCACTTTTTAATAACTAGGTATCCACGATAGAATATTTTTTCTACTAATTTCCTAAGTACTCAGTCTAAATATCTTTTTCATAATTTTTGTTTTTCAATAATTTGTTGTGTGTAATTGAATGGTAAACTCTAAATCTTACTTAATAGCTTTTTTTTAAAATAAACTTATGGAAAGCACTGACATGGCATAAACACTTTTCAATTATGCTGCTCACATTTTAGTACCTAGGTTTATCACTCACTATCTATCATTTACCGATATTAACAATTCAATTCAAAAGATGCAATACCTACTTAGTTATTAATTATCATCTCGCCCGACAGCTTTAAACGCTGTAGTGTTTCAATTTATACCTACCTACTGCTGAGACATCTTCAAGGTCATTTAATTTTATCCTCCTGTACCAACTCTACCAAAATAGGTAACAATTTTGTGTGCCTCTGTCCGGACTCTTTGTCGGCGAATGCGGCGCTCAAACAGTGTCAAATGCTGTGATACACTCGTTGCAAACCGCGGCCTCTTTGTCGTAAAATTATCAAATAAGTAGGTATATAATACACCGACCGACCAACAGTTTATTCGCAGAACGTCACATTTTCCCAATCAACCTTGAACCTTAATTCTTTAGCGATAAAGTTGAAAATCTGTTAAAGAAATTTGACCGATTGTAGTACCTTGATGTGCTGGCGTCTGTACCATAATATTGGCTGCCGTAGAAACTGTTACTAGACCTACTCGACTCGCAGTTAGTTTTAAATTTTGCTAAATAGAAGAATAATATAAACTTTGAAACATAAGTAGGTACTTACATAATGTTTATATAATTTTGTTGGCTATAATTTTAAGCACATACCAACCTACGAGTTCTAACGTTAGATCTGCACATTAGACATAAACAAGCATAATACATTATTATAGGTAAGTTGATACCTACAAGGTATAATCTTTGCTAGAAAGTTATTCTGGGTAAATTTTATCACATGGGATGATGGTAACAGATTTGTGAGTATTAACACGCTACCTACTTAATAAATTGTTGAAATATAATAAGTACTTACCTACCTAATCAATACAATACCTTTCAGGGTTCTTTCAGACGAGCGGCACGTTTAGTGTTATGACGATACCAACGGTTTTGATACTGGGGAACGTCTCTCAAAATCGGGAATGAAACCAAATACCTACTTAATAACGCCCAAATCTCAGTTTGTCTTAACTGCAAGACGCAAGAGTCTTGCAGGCTTAAGTATTGTCTTGCTCAATTCTTGCAGGCTTCAGTCTTGGTCTTGGTATTGCTAAAATAAGGCGGTCTTGGTATTGGTCTTGGTCTTGCGAAAATGCAAGAACAAGACCAAGACTGCAAGACCAAGACCGATTTTGGGCAACACTAGTCTGGCTGGAAGGCGAATGGTTGTAACTATCAGGCCTTCTTAAACTTAAACTAAAATAATGTTTTTACCTGTTTATTACACTTTCTAATTACCTTTTATTAATAATTTAATTCTACTATTTAATTAATTGTGTTCTGTTTCATTAGCCCTTTTTATATTCATCATCATTTCCGCCGATTGCTATTTTTTAAATTAAAAAAATATTTTATGATGTTACCAGAATAATTTAAAGGAGATACCTAAAAGTGTGTTAACCACATGCAATTTTGATGGTGTATTTCGTTCCACTGCTGTCTTTGGTCTTGCGGGGACATTTATTCTCGGCCGAAGACCAACGCATTCTGTTGTCGCTGGTCGTTTACGAACTGTTGGTTGAATGGGTTCTATGCAGACGTCTGGTACGTGTCCTTTGGTCTGTAAATACCAAAGGAGAAATATGGCTTTCTACTGTGGAAGTCCAAGAGTTGGATACATTTTGTGTTTTCTAAATTCTTGCCTAACAAAAATACTAAAATTCCAAACCGATTTAACTATTATTGTTTTCCAGTAATCACTGCCATACAAAGAGCTATCGTTTGATTGTAATTGGTCAACAGCATGTAGTCCAATAGAAAAAAACCATATTATTATTTTATATTAACTCTTCATATTTCCACCATAACAATCAATCGAAACGTAACATCGTTTTATATTTTCATTTTCCTTTGTTAACACAAATTTAAAATTGTAATATAATAATCGGATAGTTTTTATTTATAGGGGTACATATAACATAGTGGCCTATGCAGGCATGCAATTAGACAGATATGTTCCCGAGAAGCTATGCAGCAGGAGTGTCAAATCTCCCTTTTACTAAAAAGGGACTTTACTTGCTTAGAATCGCCTAGTTGGTAAAGCACTTGCTTTTCCTCACAGATTGTTTTCCGGCTTTGATTCCCGGAGACCTAAGCAGTACTAAGTCCTTCTAAGGTAGAAGCTTGAGGGGGGAGATAAAGCATGATTTAGTTCCTGAAATCTACAACGTATGAGGCACTGGAGGATGATCACCTACTTGTAAGAAATTGATTTAAAAAATGATGGAATCTAAGACTAAGGCCCATATAGAGTTGTAGCCTCACTGAGTTATTAATTCAACGGCGGATCCAGGGGGGGGGTCATGGGGGTCATGACCCCCCCCTGAGCAGGACTTAGGTGGACCACTAATTGAACATAATGATTTTATATATAAATTTGTCACCATACAGATTATATGTAACTACATACCTTCAATATTTAATTAATTTAATATAATATAATAACTTTGTATGATGGCAAACGTTTGGGAATGAACGCATCGAAAATTTGAATTTTCCGCGCCACACTTGCGCGCGCTTGTCGCTATGAAACGTCTAGCTAGACCTTACCTCAATCGGAATCGGAACGACTAACTTCAACATATCATAACATAGTCTTATTTTAAAGTGTGACATCAATATGTATCCTAATATAGGAAAATTGGATATACTACCCTGTCAGCGAAGCGACAGCAGAAAGGTCTTTCTCTACGTTGCGCAGAATTAAATCGTGGCTAAGATCTTCAATGGTTGAAGATCGCCTAACCGGACTGGCACTTCTCCACGTTCATGAAAACGTACCCGTTGACGTTAATGACGTAATAACGCGTTTCGGGAAAACACGTTAAAGAAAAATTGATTTAGTTATTAAAATATATGTATTTTGTCTGTTTCTATTTTGTTTGATGGAATCCCTTGTCGTACCATCTCTTCACTTTTGCGAAGTTTAGCGTAATACCCCTCGACATACCTCTAGCTGTTATGACAAATCATTCACCACGGTTATGTAATATAAATAGGCTGCCTCATTCCGTACGTGATAGTCGGGCCGAGCTAAGCTCCCCAAAACAGCCCGAGCTCACCTGACTAAAGGCCAACAGCGAGATTCCACTTTAAAAAAAAATACGTGATAGTGTTTCTCTGGATGTCTTCAAGAGAAGATGGTAATATGTACGTGTATACAGGTTGGTCCAACTAGTGACGTCAATAATTTTTTTTAGATTCCTCATACCTGGGGGTATACGATAATACCCCATGTATGTTCCGCGATTTTTTGTAGTTTTCGAGTTATACATTTTTTTGTGTTTTTTGAATGTTTTCTGCCAGCGAGGTTTCAAAAATTCATGTCGTTTTTTGTTGTAGGTATTTTGCAGTTTTTTTTTCTGTTAAATGATTGCCTTAAATGATGTTCAAGTAAAAAAAATCCCAGCTTCCTAAAATTAGTTAAAGCTACTCAAAAAAGGTTTTAAAGTTAGAAGTTTAGTTTTTAGCTGGATTCGCCCAAACATTCGACTTCAATTTAAAAATACAAAAAGAAGTTTCCATAGCTTCTGGCTAAGTTTAAAAACTCCACAGGGTTCTAAGCTACCAAAATCATAGTTTTTTTTTCTAATGGTACTTAATTAACTAAAAAAAAATTATTGACGTCACTAGTTGGACCAACCTGTATGTACACAATATTATGTGTTAAGTTGTTCAAGTGTACAATAAAGAATAAATATTTTTAAGTGCAATACTTACGTACATTAATAAAATACCTACTTTTTACTTGTATCTATTGGTATCAAAATTAAATTATAAGTTCTTGACTTGACCACGACTATGTGACCCCCTCCTGGCGCCAAAGCTGGATCCGCCCTTGGTTATTATATATATATTAAATACATACCTCATGAGATGGACCAGGTTGTGGATCAGATCGCACATTAGATGGTTTATCTAGTTCAATATCGCTGACGTCAGCATCGGACTCCGAAGAGGCTTCAATAGCCTCATCGATAACACCTATCAAAACACTTTCTACTTATAACTCAAAAAACTTATAATTATTATTCCTCTCCTTTTAATTAATAACAAAAAGGGACTCCTGCGCATTAGATTTTATTATAAGTTAAATGCGAGAAGTGTTAGTGTAGTGGCCTAGTGGCTTCAGCGTGCGACTCTCATCCCTGAGGTCGTAGGTTCGATCCCCGGCTGTGCACGAATGGACTTTCTTTCTATGTGCGCATTTAACATTCGCTCGAACGGTGAAGGAAAACATCGTGAGGAAAGCGGCTTACCTAAGCGGAAACAGACCTAAAAAGGTTGTAGCGCCACTGATCATTATTTAAATGCGCAGGAGTTCCAATCGATTACTATTTTAAAAATACTTCAAATTTAGATTTCTTTTGATAAAAGTCATAATTATTGGAATCAGAATTGTGTCGATCGTTAGAAATCGATATTTATCTCTAAAAGAGTCCATGTCAAACTTACTATCATCTTGAAGAGGAAAATCATCTAGATGCGTCAGCATTGGCAGAGCTGAGGCCACCAATGTTCTGTACTCCATGAGGTTGGCCAAAGGAGTACCCCTCAATGTTATATGTCGCAATGCACCACATACGCCCAGAGTCCAAAGGCGGCTTGTTTCCTCCAGAGGATTGCTAACAAAATAAACAATGTTTTTATAGTATAGATGAACGCGCTGAAAGAACGATGTCACAAGTTCTATAGATCCACGAAGTCAAAGTCAAAATCATTTATTCATATAGGTAACACGATGTACACTTATGAACGTCAAAAAAAATGCTTCTAATTTTACATTTACTGCCAGTTCTCAAATCAAGGGCGTAAAACGGAAGAGAAGAACTGGCAATAAACTCTCCGCCACTCTTTTTAATCGCCAAGTTTTTGTTTTACACAACCTTTTCAAGGAGCTCAGGATGGCAGGATCACAACATTTTATTTGTTTGTTTAAGGGTCCATTTCACAATGTACGGATAAGTTCTACATGGGTTCCAAATTAGCTATTTATTACGTATTAGGTAGGATAAACACTATTGTTGCGTTTCACGACTGTCAGATAGCGCTTTTCGTCACATAAAGTCCATCATAAGTTATGAGTCCGATGAAGTGTCAAATAGCAAAATTTATCTTCCAAATAATTTGTGTTGCATAGCTATTTGGTACTTTATCCATACATTGTGAAACAGACCCCTAGTATGTCAAAGCAAGATTTTGCTTGTTAATTTGATACGTAATTGTATTTGGGTTAGTAAAACATTTGTATTAATCTTTAGCAAAATAACAATACTGCAAATGCGTTTGAATCGCGGGTGCAATCTAGTAGAGGAAACCTACGGAGACAAACACGATAGTAACTGAGGGCCCACATGAGATAATACATAAAGAGTAGAAAAGATGCGCACAACCACAGGTTATAACTATTTAAATGTGTAAATATTACAGATATAAAAATTACTTGTTTAGTAGCAAATGGCAGCCAAATAAGAATATCAATTTCCGGGGTCTGTACTGTACTTAGGCTTTGGTGAAAGTTTGAGTAATAAAGTCAAATTAATTATTTACAGAAAAAAGAGTAATATCTGTAAATACGAGTTCTTGAACGACTTTAAAAGTTATTCAGAAGTAACACTTTTTATGAATTAAATTGAGATAATACCTAAGCGTAAAAAATTTAACCTTTGATTTATTTAAGGTTAAGAGTACTTACCGAAAAATTGTAATTGTGCAAAAAAATATTTTTACATTATTCGTAATACTTTATATGGTAATTTAAAGTTAGTAGTTTCTTTGGTATTTCATTGATAGAAAAGAACATTTTTAATTAGTGGGGTACGCGTTCCATATTAATATATTAACTAAGTTTTTTTAAAATTTTTGCGAATTCACGCGGTCAAGATTACTCCGAATAATAATAAAAAATCAATATTAACTCAGCCAGATTTAGTGTATGCAGCTTCTGTAACACAGCCAAAGGATGAAGATCACGCAATCGATTTCCTGCTGCGTGGAGTTCTCGTAACGTTCCAAGACCCCAGATTCCGTCCAACGATGTAAGCCCACAACGATTGACGCTAAGCACCTGAAATTAACCTGTCCTGTGTTAACGGATACGAATGATTTTTTTTTTAAGTAAGAACATTTTCATGTTGATAACAAGTTGCATACACAGTGGGTGCAGTGACAACAACTGACAGCTCAGCTATGAGCTACTCGTACATATTATATTACTATAGCCCAAGGGGGGGAATACGGGATTTATTACAGCGTGGCAGATTAATATACAGGGGGATATCTTGTACCCGGTTAAGGACCTCTACCAAATACGAGCCCCATATATATGGCCGCCCATCAAGGCTAAAGGATAAAATTAGAAGTAAAAATAATAATCCGAAATTCACGAGCGCGTCAGATTAAGGTAGGGTGAATTAAACACATGCTAAAAAGTGTAAATTTCACAAATCTGACAATTTGCAGTGACGTAAAGGCTGCAAAAAAAAACGTCGTCTCGACATTCTTAGCGTGGCTGAATTTTTGTAGTTATACTTCTTATGGCGCGATGGACAAAAATGATGAGAGTGAATTTTTACGATGCGCGCGCACACCGACACCTAAATTCTACATCGTAAAGTTAGTTCTAGGTGGCATGAAAATCGATATTAACTATGTTCAAGTTGTATATTCCAGTATTTTTATATTTAGAACACGTGTTTCGTAACAGTACAATTAAACAGTGTGAATAAATAAATATTATTTTGGTGTTTTTATTAAATCAATTTCATATACGACGGTGATAGTATTTACTTATTATTTATTAGTATATCTATATATATTGAATATTAGTGATAAAATTAATTTGAATAAACTGTTTTGAGTGCATTTATAGATTTGAGGTTAATTGTCGGTATGTATTTACATCGTTAATTAAAAAATATTACATTATTATCTAAACATTTTTTTTTCGTTTTGTTTTATTTCTGGTATATTAACAAATTTTATCTATAAATAAAAAAATAAAAAATTTTCTATACTTGTTTTTCATACGCCAAAGAAGTATAACTTCTAACGCGTGTACATAAGTAGGTACACACACTCTTTTGTCCCTATGACGCTCGAGTAAATCCCCATTTAGCATGGACTACTTACTACTTACTAAGTAGTAGGAGAGTTTTTATGTAATCATATTTCATGTTGTTGAAACAGTTACTATTTTATATACCTTCATTGCTAAGCCACGGAGGCTGGTTTATTTGTTGTAATTACCTTTAAATGGATAAGGCCAATGCCCAGGTCTCGTAGAGAGGATATTGCACTGCCATCGAGCGTCAATTTTCTCAAGTGTGGAGCTAAAACATGGAGACGTCGTAGGCCTACACGCTCAGCCACAACTTTTAACTTTGCTTCGCGTATTCTCAAGACTTCGTCGTCAGCTGAAACACCGCTACTCTGCTTCTAAATAAAAAAAAATATCTATTTGATAAGACTGTTAAATCACATGCATATATATATATATATGTTCCAAGTCTCAGCGAGGTATGTAAAATATGAACTGAACAACGCCCTAAAACACGGTTCCTTTGAAGTTCAATAATTCTATAAAATAAAAATGTGTTTATTCGTTATAACATTGAATATCAATGTGTAAGTTTTGATTTGGAACTGTTTAAGTAAATATACATATGTCAGGGTTCCCAGCTCTTCAATAACAAAAATAATAGTTAAATTAAAAATAAAATACAATTTCGATTTTTTTATGTCTATTGTAATGTGTAAGAAGTTCAGAAGCCAGTCATTTAGCCGTTATTTTTTTTATTTTTGGGCGGTGAGCGAGTACATATTTCTAATCACGATAATTCTAAGAATATCTAGAATAATACTATGAGGGTTAGTGTGAAAATATGTTAAAACAACCTCTGCGTGGGTACGCTGTATCCGTAGAGGTGCGCCACCATAGACATTGAAGAGTACCAACGACATTGTCTTTGCGTTTTGCGGATAATTTAAATAAATTACAAGGGCACTTACAAGCAATTCAATAAGAGTTAACTCCCGGGGTATAACGATTCTCCTGTAGCCTGGCAAGCGTCGCTCCAATTCATCTTGTCCTGGAGGTTGTTCTGGTTCTGGGGGCCGCAATGCCAGGGCCCTATAAGTGTATATAAACATTTAAATAAAACTTAGTAGGTACTAATTTAACTTGAACTAATAGCAACCAATTCGAAACCACTACCGCTTGGAGTTTTAACACAAAATTAAGTGTTAATTGTATATCAAAAGGTTTAATACTAAGATGGAAATATTTTACGTTAGGACATTAAAACGTATTAAAAGTGCCTAATCAGCACTAAAATTAAGTTTCGCTTTTTTACAGTTTATTAAATTATAAAGGAGTACAAATAAGTTCCCGCCGTTTTAATGTAGATGGTGAGGCACGGAGTGTCCGTTAGCTTTCGCAGATGATAACCGATTTAAAAGATAGTTTGGACATTCAAGAACAACATAACCTATCAATATTATTGATTTCATATTGGTAAAATATAATTTTTATTAGCTGAAAATGTCGAAACCTTTTAAACAAATAAAAGAGTTTTAATTATATTTTCAAAGAAATTTAGCAATGCTTTTTCACAAAGACCTATTATTACAGTTAAAAGGTTATGAAACATACCAAGTTATTAAATTGAATGAATAATATACTGCTCAAAACAATTAGCGGAACAAGATTTTTCTCTTTTCTATTGCTTAAACTAAAATTAGATTTAAATTAACTTGTACGCTATTTTTTACCTTGTTAATTTGTTAATTACTACAATTAATAAAAAAAATCAATTTGTATTTTTTTTATTAAAAAAAAATTAAAATGTGCATTGTAGACGAAAAACAAAGTGACGTCTTTGAATTTTCATAACTTTCTAATCACAGAAAACACATTTTAAGTAGTTTTTTTCAATCTTTTGAGTATTAATAGAAATTGAAGTGAGCCTTTTGAGTATTGTTATTCATTGAAGCGAGTGAGTTTAGGTCATGATGCCAGATCTGACTGAATTGCATGTCTCCCGAGCTATCGCTTTGCTTGAAGTGGGTCGAACTATGCGTTATGTAGGAAATGATCTAGGAGTAGCCCCTTCTGTTATCTACAGACTTTGGAAGCGATACCGTGAGACGGGAGAATACTCACGAAGGCGTGGTCAAGGTCGAAAGAGAAAAACTACACGTTTGCAAGATCGCTACATCGTCAACTGTGCTTTACGTAACCGCACCACAACTGCAAGAGATCTACAAAATACACTAAGGACGGCTACTGGTGTAGAAATTTCCGACCAGACGGTAAGAAATAGGTTGTTGGAAGCCAATTTGAGATCACGCCGACCAGTTCGGGCTGTGCGTCTAACAATTCAACATAGACAAGCTCGCCGACAGTTCGCGCAAAATCACGCTAATTGGCAACTTCGACATTGGAGGCCAGTGCTTTTTACTGACGAATCACGATTCCGTCTAACACGTTGCGATGGTCGTCTCCGTGTTTACAGACGCCCAGGCGGGCGATACAGTGCAGCAGCAGTCCAGGAATATGACAAATTTGGATGTGGCTCTGTAATGGTTTGGGGTGGAGTTAGTTTGGACGAGCGCACAGATCTCGTCGTTGTTCCCGGGCGCTTGTGTGCTAAAACTTACATTGAAAATGTGCTCGAAGATCATGTTTGGCCCGCAGCATATGGTATGGGCCCAGATTTTCTTTTAATGCAAGATAATGCCAGGCCGCATACTGCAGCCATCACGTCAGATTACTTACGACAGCAGGAAATCCGTGTAATGGAGTGGCCTTCCATGAGCCCTGACCTAAATCCAATTGAACACATTTGGGACTTGCTTGACAGGCGCATCCGGAAGCGTCCGATTGCACCTCAAACACTGCAGCAGCTCACTGAAGCGTTGATTGAAGAATGGGAGCGAATTCCACAAGAAGATATTCGGAGGATCATACAAAGCATGCCGCGTCGTTGTCAAGCCGTGATTAGGGCTCATGGAGGCCACACACGTTACTGAAAGTCACTAAAGACGAATATTCAAACGATATAAGAATATTTCTTTGATGGACCTTTTTTATCACCAATTAGTTTTTCGTCTACAATGCACATTTTAATTTTTTTTTAATAAAAAAAATCAATTTGTGTTTATTAATATTTATTAATTGTAGTAATTAACAAATTAACAAGGTAAAAAATAGCGTACAAGTTAATTTAAATCTAATTTTAGTTTAAGCAATAGAAAGGAGAAAAATCTTGTTCCGCTAATTGTTTTGAGCAGTATATAATAAAATATAATTGTTATATTTTATTATAATTGTTATTAATATTAATTAATAATTGAATAATATACTAAATATTAAATATTATTAAATTGTTTACGTTAAATATTAATTATTAATTAATTATATTTAAAAAAAATAAAGAAAGCCAAAGAAGTATAACTTCTTACGCGCGTACATAAGTACACGCACCCTTTATTTTTGTTTATTTTATTTTAATTAAGAGCAACGTATAAAATGTACGTTTCGTTACACGAATTTCAATACATTATACTCAAAATTTTATTTCATTTTTGTTATACTTTAGACGCAACTCCGGCAGTCAAAATTACTTGGCCCCTCCAATCAAGGTCCCCAGAGGTATCTACATATTAATAAGTATCATCAAATTCAGGTCACGTATTTCTAAATCCTATTAAGCGTATTTTTATACACCTTACGTGAAAAGTTTTGTATAATGTACCAAATCTAGTTTTTGCCACTACATTTATAGAAGGCACTTAAATTTACCATGAACAATAATATTGTTCATGGCTCTATTAAAGCTGTTATTTTTTATGAAAACAGATCATAAAATTATTGAATAATGACTTATCACATACGGAAGGTCATATCAACGGGACGAGTTCAAGCAAACCGCGGCCAGTTTATCTTTAAAAAAATAATATTTTACCTGAATAACGGCGTTGCTCGAACGTTGTGTGGTTCCGATGAGCTTGCACTAGAAACCTCTGAAGGTGATGGTGAGGCAATAATACTTGGTGTTCTTGGTGCTGATCCCAGCTCAACACTGGGTGCTTCATGAAATGGCATAATACTGAAAATCTTTATTTACCGTCTACTCCATTTAGCTTTCACGGATTATTAATTAATCTCTTATAAAACCAATATTTATTGATTATACGTTATTACAATAATGTCGTCAAAAAGTTTTGAAAACATCATGATTTATGTTGATCTTAGTAACAATATCGTTTCCATGTCAACCTTAAAGAATATATTAACCACTACCCAAAGACAATTAGTTCTGTAATGGTCTTAAAGCGGACTATTTTAACGAGGTTCATGTCACAGGACAGGATGCAGATTAGACTTATAGGTCGGTTATCGAAAGCTGGCGCATTCACAGTACTCACACTAACACAATTTCACTATACAGTATATTTAAATTAATATGACTTTTTTGCCAAGCTATTTATTTTAGTCTACTCTGGTTTTAGTAAGGTTGGGTGGGTTGTAAATAAATAAAAATGTGTCAAATACTTATAAATATTATGTGCATACGAGGGTGGATCCAAAAGTTCTAAGCCCGACCAAGATCGTAAAAGAGTAGTTTGTGTAAATAATTTTTCGACATAAGCTCCATCTAGCTCAACACACTTCACTTTTACTTCACTAACAATTCTTTCAATACTCCTCTTAGAAACACCAGTCGCATCTGATGTCAAATTAAAATTTGAATTTTTTCATTCAACTGTTTTTATTAAGATGCTTAAAATAATTAAAAACATTGTGCACCATTTCACGAGATTGTCCTGGTAATGTATAGACGGAATATATGTCATAAGACATTTTTTTCAAAGTATTCTAACCTCCAACCAAATAAGTAAACAATCACAGACAAAATAATAATGAGAAAAAAAATCAACATGTACAGTAAAGATCAACATAAACAGTAGCAAAAGCAAAACAATAACTGTCTCTTTTATACTCATAACTTATGAGTATAAAAGAGCTTATGAGTCATAAGCTTGAGCGCGAGAGAGACGGACAGTCTTTTCATGATGCATATTCAGTGTGACATCACGCCTCGCGCTTATTCACAGACACTACACAAGCACAAATTGTAAATGTGTTGAAGCCGCCAGCTTTAGATAACATACCAATACTAACGTTGTTTTATAAGAAATTAGAAATAGAAATCAACTGTTCTGTAAACCTAAAATTCACTCATTCAGGCGTGTTATTGTGAAATTATAATATTGTCTGTGGGTTATTATTTCACTTCTAATGATTGCAGTTTTTGACGTGACAACGTCTTATAATTCGATGGAGCCGGCTGCACGCACGAAAAAACATGACTCATGCGGCGTTACCTCGCTTTGAGGCGTTCCATTTAAGGCTTGAAGTGCAAGCGAGAGCGCGGAACGAGCGACAAAGAGCGTTCGCTCGTTAAAAAATTGAGATAATTGTATTATTATTGCGTACAAATAAATGTAACTTGATCAATTCAATTGTGATTTCCATTTACCTCCTTTTCTATATCCATACAAAATATCTATCAAACAAATAAAATAAACATTAATTTCTTTTAAAAATGCAACCATTCCATCAGTATTTTCTTATGACGTTGTCACGTTCAACTATCGTGAGTAAACCGACTTTACAGACAACAAAGTTTATTTTTTTTCTCTTTATGGTTCATGATTGCAGTTAGAATCTTTACTTAATCTATGGTAGTCTGGTACGTCAAACTATCTCGTCAACTTACAACCTAGGCGTAATGCAACTTACCGTGCGAGTACCGGTAGTCTTCCTCTTAATGGACTTAAGCATCTTAATGCCAAACAATTTATGACATGACAACAAGATACAATTTCTTTAATTACTGTGTATTATGTACAATAATCATCCATGTTTATGACTATGTTTCCTTGTTGTTGAGGACCTCGCACTGACTTTAATATTTATACTATAAGTTATAACCATAGTTTGACATGGCTAGATTTTTTATCTGTTTTCACTTTTGGCGCCAAACGCCTAAAAAAACGATTACAAGGCAAACGTTGATTGCAGCGTGTTTTAAGTTGTTTCAGCGTTTTAATTTAACAAGTTCTATCAAAATGAATCAATTAAGTAATGGCGTGTCTAAATTAAGTAATGGTTATGGAAATCACGATGAATATCAATACTTAAATTTGGTGAAACAAATTATAGATACAGGTAACTGTCGGTTTTCTTGCTAATATTATGAATATATGGAATACGTGTCTATCCTAGTATTTCTTTTAAAGAATGTAGAGAAATGTAATACTCTGAACTTTCGTTATTTCTAGGTGATAAGCGCGTCGATAGGACAGGTGTAGGCACTCTGTCTATATTTGGAGCAATGCAAAGATATTCCTTGAAACATAACGTACTGCCTCTACTTACCACCAAGCGTGTCTTCACTAGAGGAGTGATTGAGGAACTACTTTGGATGATCTCTGGTTCTACAGACAGCAAAAAATTAGCACAGAAGAAAGTTCATATTTGGGATGCTAATGGGTCCAAAGCTTTCCTTGATAACTTAGGTTTTACAGAACGAGAAGAAGGTTGTTCTTGTATTTACAAAAATTACTTTATGGATACAATTTGTTGCTTTCCTTTTATTAACCCCACATTATGTTGTAGGCGATCTTGGCCCTGTCTATGGCTTTCAATGGAGACACAGTGGTGCCAATTACATAGATTGTAAAACTAATTATACTGGACAAGGAATAGATCAATTGCAGAGTGTTATAAATACAATAAAGTAATAAAAAATATTTTTACAAACTAGATATCATAAGTTACCAATTATATATTATGATTAATAAATATTTCAGAAACAAACCAGCAGACAGAAGAATATTAATGTGTTCCTGGAACCCAACAGATCTTGATAAAATGGCATTACCACCTTGCCATTGTCTTGCTCAGTTTCATGTTGCTAATGGTAGACTCTCCTGTCTATTGTATCAAAGAAGTGCTGATATGGGACTTGGTGTACCTTTTAATATTGCCAGTTATGCCATATTAACTCATATGATAGCTCACATAACTGGACTTGAGGTAAGTGGTACAATTTCAAAAATGCTATAAAAGTATTTTTTAATATTGCTGCACAATGCTTTATATAATTTAAAAAAAAATCACTTCCTTCTGTGGATCTTGATTAGTGACAAAATAGTTTTTTTTTAATAATCTAACTTAAATCAAAATCATTTCAGGCAGGAGAATTTGTACATACTACAGGTGATACTCATGTGTACCTCAATCACATAGAACCTCTTAAAAAACAATTAGAAAGACACCCAAAGCCATTTCCAACTTTAGAATTTACCAGGAAAATTGAATCAATAGATGATTTCAAATATGAAGATTTTATAATTAAGGGTTATGAACCACATCCTAAGATTGAAATGGACATGGCAGTATGAAATTTAACCTTATGGACATCATATTATCATATATTTAATATAGTGTCCTGCTTTGGTAAGACAAATTTTATATGGAAAAGACATTACTGAATATGTCCTTAAATTAAAGTAATTAACTAAATTATGAAGCCAAAAATGTAAAAAAAATACAACTATAAGTAATAGTGACTAAATTTTGTGAAGCTTACTAAATCATACCCTATTTGTATTTTAGCCAGTATTATAATATAAGATTACTGATCAAATAATAATTGTATATAAATTAAATCATTGTTTTATTAAAATAAAAACCCTATATTAAGATACTAAAACACCAAAAATATATTTCTAATTCTTAAAATAAAAAGTTGAAAATTTTTATGAATTAAAATATAAAAATTATTTTTGTGTAATATCATGATAGACTAATATTGTGATACCTTATAATCTAGACAACATTCTTAATATAGGTACTTACTATTTGTACATTCATTGGATTTTACATTTCTTACATTATTGTTATTTTAATTAGCAATATGCTAACATAAGGAGCCAATTGTTAAAAATTATTCAAAAACTATATATGGGCCGTTTATAAAATTTCCACAACTCAATAAATTGTATGGCAAATATAGTAAGAGAACAAAAAAGCATTCAAATTATCAACACATTTGATCATCTGGTGGAGATGCCTGAAAAAAAATTTATTATTAATCTAGCAGTTTTAGCCAGCCTTTGTCAACCTCTTCTATTTGAGACACTTTCTTATCGAATAAAAGGACCAGATTTTTCACATAACAAATATATATGTGCCAGAATAAACCACATGTTTAACCTACTTAGATGTAGACAATCCCTCCCACAGTATATTAGACCCTATAATTATTTTGAGTTTTAAGGTTTATTACTATATATACAATTTAAGGAACTAGAAACTGAGTTAATTTAATAATGTTTACCTGTGATTGTTCTTCTAGCCTACTACTAGGTATTGGCAGTGCAGCTAATTGTTCTGCTAGTGCCATGGTTTCCTCAGATTCTACCTTAATTATTGCCCAAAGTGGATCTGAAACAATATATTCTGAATAATGGTAATGTAAGGCCTATACATTCTTAATGCTCCAGTTAATTTATTACAATTACTTTAAAAAATTGTGTTGAATTGTTCATTTACAATGGTAGGTAGGTACAACAAATAAAATTATTAGGATAGTTTTAAACTTTTCAACTTTGCTTATTAAAATAGTGAATCTTCTATCATAAAAGAACAATTTCTTTAAATGAGATATGATCAAGTAAATAGAAGATAATTTTAAATTACCTCCTATTTGTTCTCCTTTATCAGAAACCAAATGGAAATAGCCCCTAAAAGTGCCAGGTGTACTAGGTGCCACTAACTTCATAGTAACTGTTGTACTATGCCCTGGGAGCAATGGTGGCACATACAAGGATGTTGCTCCTAATGGGTCACCACCAGCCTGTATCAATCTACAACTCCCAGGCCAACCTTCTGTCCCTGTATTTGCAATACTCCAACTTTGTTCAAAACTGCAACAATATTAATATTTCAAGAATGTATAATTTTGAAAAAAAATTGTGTTAGTGCTAAATTTTTGGCCTTTACCAAAAATAGAGTATGTATTACAATGTCTTTTGCCATATTAGTTTCTATTAATCCTTCACAAGAAAAGTATTACCTTAAAATATGTAAATATTATATTAATTGTAATAAATTGTTTTACCTCGTTCCTGGACTAACTGCTGATTCCTGTGTTTGAGCAGCTTTTAAAGACATAGATGGAAGTTTTGGTGGTAAATTATAATCTAAATAACAACATATTGCAGCCTGTAAGTTCCTGCAATTAAATTTTTTTATTTTAATAATATCTTATGTATTTCAATTAATGCCCAGTGAAATTGTATTACCAATTACTCATGTCAAGGAAAAAGCTTGCAGTGTTATAATTTAAACTAGGCCCCAAAAGCCTTTGCATTTGGCTTATAAGCTCATCCCTATCAGTGGTATTCATACAACTAAATTGCAAGAGAAGATTTTGATCTATTTCCCCAGGAACAGCTGAACCGTCCACATCCATTGTTGTAAGTTATTGCACCACTACGTCTCAAGACTACAGTTTTGACATTCCTTTGTTTATATTAGTCAGCTGACAAAATAATTGTAAATATACATCAACTAAATATTAAGAATTATTGAGCACGATACTTTTGAGCTCTTAACCTATGTGAAATTGTGAAACGCTTATTTATATTCCATTAATTCAAAGTTTTTAAGTACATTGTATTCACTATCCGGATTTTAGAAAAATAAAAACTTCAAGATTTTCATAGCACAATATTCCACAGAGGTAAGATCCACTCTGCACAGATATATAAATTATAAAATGACTACGCTAGTCGTAGATTTAAAAAAATAAAATAACTTATAGTTTTAAATCTATCTTATGATCAGCGCGTAAAGGAACATTTTAACGAGAAGATCACTTTCACTTACATGAAAAAATTACTTATTTACTTATAAAAAACACAATCCTATCCTAACAGGTAACTCTTGATTGACAAGAATGCATAACCGATGAACAAAGTGTATACACGAAACAAAAAATAAAACAATCCTAAAGTAACTTTATTTATATTTAATTTACATCTACTGCTATATAGGAAGAAATTAGAAGTTACTACACTTTATTATGTAGCGAATCGTAGATACGCACTAAAAATGTACATACTCTTTTGTGTAGTATTTTCTCTAGGATTTTGATGTATGTGTTAACATAAAGATAGGACGCTAAGGAAAGAAGAAAACAGACGTCACTCAGACGGACTTTGAAGACAAGTGAATATGTATATGTTTTTCTTCCTTGAGCGTTTCTATGTGAATATAAATTAATTACTCTTGTTTGTGAAGAATAAACCAATTAACAAAGATAAAAATGGGTTGTGATTTATTTCAAGATAGCACATCCCTTAATTGGTGACCCCGACGTGATGTGAAGTTTCCGATGTGATTTGAAGTTTCCGACGTGTTTTTTTTTTCGCGACTATATACATCCCATAATTCAAAACAGCTCGGACACCACTTTTTGGACTCGCACTCCCAGTTGAGCACGAGCGACGAGGGCGCAACGACGAGGTGCGGCCCCCAATCGTGTCGCTCCAGGGCCAGGTGCGCCAGCAGCGCGATCGTCTGGATGGTTTTTCCTTTCACGAGTCATTTGTCGCATTTACAAAACGCTTCAACTATATTATTGTGCATATATTGTTATTTGTTATATTTATATCTATTTGATATGACAACTTATATGTTTACAGTTTAGCTTACCTGTATACTAACCGTGTGATCTGCCACTGCACCTCTCTCACAGCTACCAAATTTTTTTGACTTAGCTTTTATTTTTTATTTTATTTATTATTTCATCTTGCTTGGTCGTGTGGTATAATGGCTGATAGGGAATTAGAACAGCGATTACAACAGCTGATACTGGAGAATGCAGCTCTTCAGCAGAAACTGACTGATATAGGATCTACATCAGAATCAACACCCAAGTCTGAAGCGCAAGCAAGGTGTGCAAGGTAGCTGTCAAGTTACCACTTTTCTGGCCTGACAAACCAGCAGTATGGTTTGGGCAGGTAGAAGCTCAGTTTGATATAGCGGGTATTGTTGGTGATAATACCAAATATAATTATGTAATAGGTAGATTAGACCAAAAGTTAGCTGGGGAGATTGAGGATATCATTACCAGACCCCCACCCATAGGCCAACGGTATAAAAAGGTAAAAGATGAGTTAGTACGGCGTCTTTCAATGTCAGAGGAACAGCGGGTACGCCAGCTTATTAGTGTAGAGGAGCTTGGAGACAGGCGACCATCGCAGTTTCTGCGTCATCTGCGTTCGTTAGCGGGTAACCTTACAGATGAAAATATTTTGCGCCAGCTTTGGATGCGCCTCACCTAGAAATCCAGATATGTGTTGGTACCATAGAAGGTTCAATAGCAGGGCAACCAAATGTACCAAACCCTGCAACTGGCAACCCGACACCTCGCCGTCGGAAAACAGGAAACACAGTCAGTAGACACGGCGACTGATTGTTCTCATCAAAGCCGCCGTATTTTTGTTACAGATAAACATTCGAAACTCCAGTATCTAGTGGATACTGGCTCGGATCTCTGTTGTTTTCCTAAGCGTCTTGCAAAAAACCGTCGTGCTTCTGCAGATTTTGATCTAAGCGCTGCGAATGGGAGTTCTATTAAAACCTATGGCAACATATCTTTGCATCTTAACCTAGGTTTACGCAGGGATTTCCACTGGAATTTCGTTATTGCGGATGTTGACACACCGATTATCGGCTCCGATTTTTTAAGTCATTACAATTTATTACCGGACTGCCGAAGCAAACGTCTCTTAGATGGTAGCACTGGGTTATCTATCCCCACTTCCATTGCATCCTCCAGTCAATCCAGTGTCAAGACCGTTATTTCTAATAACTCTAGTTTAACACACATACTTACTGAGTTTCCTGATGTCACGCGTCCACCTGGTCTACCTAGAATCATCAAGCACAGCACCGTGCATTATATTAAAACTATTGATGGTCCTCCTGTGTCGTGTCGTCCCCGTCGCCTGGCACCTCAAAAATTTACTGCTGCCAAAAAAAGAATTTGAAGACATGGTTCAATGCGGCACAGCAAGACCCTCTAAAAGCGCTTGGTCGTCACCATTGCACATGACACCCAAAAAAGACAACACATGGCGTCCTTGTGGCGATTATCGCGCATTAAACGCTAGGACCATACCAGATAGATACCCCGTTCGTCATATCAATGATTTCGCCTGCAGCCTCGCTGGAGCTACTATTTTCAGCACTATTGACTTAGTGAAAGCGTACCATCAAATTCCCGTTTTTGAAGAAGATATCGCGAAGACCGCCATCGTTACCCCGTTTGGCCTCTTCGAGTTTCCTTTCATGACCTTTGGGCTGCGCAATGCTGGCCAAACCTTCCAGCGTTTTATCGACGAGGTCACGCGAGGTCTCGATTTCTGCTTTCCTTATATCGATGACGTGCTTGTTTTTTCAGTGGACGAGAGCAGCCACAGAGAGCATCTGCGCGTCCTTTTTAAGCGCCTACAAGATTACGGGGTGGTGATCAATCCATCTAAGTGCATTCTTGGTGCCAGCGAGGTTGTATTTCTCGGATATCTCATTAACGCTAATGGTACGCGGCCTCCTCTGGACCGCGTTCAAAAGCTATTAGATTTTCCCCTTCCTTACACCGTGCAAGGCGTGAGGCGTTTTCTCGGTATGATTAATTTTTATCGCCGTTTCATCCCTCATGCCGCCAAGTTTCAAGCGCAGTTAGTAGACGCTTTAGTCGAGATCAATGGCAAAGGCTCCAAACCGTATCCATGGACGCCCGAGCTGTTGAGAGTTTTCGAAGACTGCAAGAAAAGTTTATCAGACGCCACGCTACTTACACATCCAGAAAATGATGCACCTTTGGGTCTTTTTACAGATGCTTCTAGCATGCACATCGGCGCCTGTTTACAGCAGTTGATCAATGGGCAATGGTGCCCTCTGTCATTTTTCAGCAAGAAACTGACTCCCAATCAGTCGCAGTGGCCTGCCTACCATCGCGAACTTCTGGCGGTGTACGAAAGTGTACAGCATTTCCGTCACATTCTCGAGGTGCAACATGCAACCATTTTTACAGACCACAAACCATTGCTGTACGCTTTCGTACAGCGTCGAGAGAAATTGGCTCCCGCACAGCTCAACCAGCTTTCATTTATTTCACAATTCACGACTGATATCAGACACGTAATTGGTAAAGAAAATGTAGTAGCTGACGCTATGTCGCGCATAGAGGCAATATCGATTGAACAAGATTTTGAAGCTCTTTTAAAGTCCCAAGAGTCTGATCCAGAGCTCTCTACCATCTTAGGTTCAACTAACTCAGGTCTTCAACTTTCTAAGGTTAATATTCCTGGAACAGATATTTCTATTATTTGTGACGTCTCAACTGTAAAAACGCGTCCCTATTTAACACCTCCTTTTCGCCGTGCGGTTTTTGAAAAGTTTCACTATTTGAGTCATGCTGGCGTTAGAGCAACCACTAGGCTAGTGACTGATCGATACGTATGGCCATCAGTTAAAAAGGACTGCAGAGAGTGGACTCGTTCATTTCTGGCTTGTCAGCGAAGTAAAATTACGCGACACGTTTCGGCGCCGACAGGAGAGTTTAAGTTGCCATCGGGCCGATTTTTACATGTTTGAAACGTTCACCCGTGAATGGATTCCACGCTTCGGTGTCCCAGCTGTTTTGACAACCGACCAGGGCACGCAGTTCGAGTCGGATCTTTTCCATCGTCTGATGCTTAGGTTTGCCACAAGGCGTAAAAGAACCACTGCTTACCATCCTTGCGCAAACGGCATGATTGAGCGAGTTCACCGGCAACTTAAAGCCGCCCTAACATGCCACGATCATACGTGGACTAGAGCGTTGCCATTGGTATTGCTGGGTATGCGGTCGGCCCTAAAGGAAGACCTGAACTGCTCAGTTGCAGAAATGACATATGGAGAGCCATTACGTCTACCAGGACAACTCCTTGTACTAGATGACAAGCCAACTCCAGCAATGGAAAACCCAGCTGATTTCGTTGTACGACTTCGACAGAAAATGGCTGAAGTACAACCGACACCGACACCGACATCGCGACATGGCACCAAACGGCCCTTCGTATTTAAAGAGCTACCTGGGGCGACGCACATATTTTTGCGTGACGATACCGTCAGACGTCCTCTGCAGCCACCATACACGGGTCCATATAAAGTTTTAAAGTACGCCATTGATGGTAAAACCCTGATCATCGATTTAAAGGGGAAGGACGTAACTGTAAGTGTGGATCGCGTTAAACCAGCGTTCGTCGAGCAGTTTGTTTTTCCTTCAGCTCGCACACCTAGCCTTGTACCCGCTGGCCCTGCGTCGCCGTCATTACTCTCGCCTACTGTGGAAAATATTCCTCCCGTTTCTGCCCCTAATCCTGTTGTTACCAGGTCAGGCAGAACGGTTAGATTTAAGACTAGGTTAGATTTGTAAATCTTAAGTTTTTCTTTGTAATGTCAAATATTTTAAGTTTTTTTTTTTTTTTTATTGTTATATACTATAATTTTTCACCTTAGTTTTTCTGTCTCCGTAGGGGGGTGGTGTAGCGAATCGTAGATACGCACTAAAAATGTACATACTCTTTTGTGTAGTATTTTCTCTAGGATTTTGATGTATGTGTTAACATAAAGATAGGACACTAAGGAAAGAAGAAAACAGACGTCACTCAGACGGACTTTGAAGACAAGTGAATATATATATACTGCTCAAAACAATTAGCGGAACAAGATTTTTCTCCTTTCTATTGCTTAAACTAAAATTAGATTTAAATTAACTTGTACGCTATTTTTTACCTTGTTAATTTGTTAATTACTACAATTAATAAAAAAAATCAATTTGTATTTTTTTTATTAAAAAAAAATTAAAATGTGCATTGTAGACGAAAAACAAAGTGACGTCTTTGAATTTTCATTACTTTCTAATCACAGAAAACACATTTTAAGTAGTTTTTTTCAATCTTTTGAGTATTAATAGAAATTGAAGTGAGCCTTTTGAGTATTGTTATTCATTGAAGCGAGTGAGTTTAGGTCATAATGCCAGATCTGACTGAATTGCATGTCTCCCGAGTAGTATAAGATCCCGATATACAACGACCTTCACCGAGATGCTTATTTAATGAAACGTATTTTATATTTAATTTAATATGTCAATAAATATAATCCATATGGGTTGCCTAGCAAATTTCAGTCCAGAGTATGTTTTATTAATATTAAAAAAAAAAATATAATTTGCATGTAGTAAATTTTTTTAAATTTTTTTCAATCAATATTTTTAATCAGGGTAGTATTATATATGTATCACTATAACTTTCTTTTTTACTAAAGATGTACGATATATCTACTTTAGTGTCACATAAAAAATATACACTTAAATAAATTATTGATTAAAAACAACCTAATGTTTGCATATTCTATGGGCTTTATACTTTCGATTGGTATAGAATTTATCTAATAATCATACCGGTGAAATGTTTAAAAAAATATTTTTTTTTTAATATTAATTAAAGTACTCTGGACTGAAATTTGCTAGGCAACCCATATGGATTATATTTATTGACATATTAAATTAAATATAAAATACGTTTCATTAAATAAGCATCTCGGTGAAGGTCGTTGTATATCGGGATCTTAGACCAGAGCTATCGCTTTGCTTGAAGAGGGTCGAACTATGTGTTATGTAGGAAATGATCTAGGAGTAGCCCCTTCTGTTATCTACAGACTTTGGAAGCGATACCGTGAGACGGGAGAATACTCACGAAGGCGTGGTCAAGGTCGAAAGAGAAAAACTACACGTTTGCAAGATCGCTACATCGTCAACTGTGCTTTACGTAACCGCACCACAACTGCAAGAGATCTACAAAATACACTAAGGACGGCTACTGGTGTAGAAATTTCCGACCAGACGGTAAGAAATAGGTTGTTGGAAGCCAATTTGAGATCACGCCGACCAGTTCGGGCTTTGCGTCTAAAGCCGGTTGCAGACCGAAAACTAAGCTATGCCAAGGCTAAACTAAGCTATGCCAAGCAAGCTAGGCTAAGCTAAGCTAGAAATAAATAGCGTGCACACCAACAGCTAACCCAAAGCTCAGTCAGTGTTGCATAGTATGTGCAAAGGGTGTGCGGGGTAGCGGGAGGGGCTTAACTTAGCTCGTGTAGCTGCGCATCGGCATACACAACTAACTTAGCTTCGCATATTTTAGTTAGCTCACATAGCTTAGTTCGCATAGTTTGCGGTCTGCACACAAGTATGGAAAACTGCGTCAGCTATGCGAGCTAAGCTAAACTAACTTAGCTTAGCTCTTGGTCTGCAACCCGTATTACAATTCAACATAGACAAGCTCGCCGACAGTTCGCGCAAAATCACGCTAATTGGCAACTCCGACATTGGAGGCCAGTGCTTTTTACTGAAGAATCACGATTCCATCTAACACGTTGCGATGGTCGTCTCCGTGTTTACAGACGCCCAGGTGAGCGATACAGTGCAGCAGCAGTCCAGGAATATGACAAATTTGGATGTGGCTCTGTGATGGTTTGGGGCGGAGTTAGTTTGGACGAGCGCACAGATCTCGTCGTTGTTCCCGGGCGCTTGTGTGCTCAAACTTACATTGAAAATGTGCTCGAAGATCATGTTTGGCCCGCAGCATATGGTATGGGCCCAGATTTTCTTTTAATGCAAGATAATGCCAGGCCGCATACTGCAGCCATCACGTCAGATTACTTACGACAGCAGGAAATCCGTGTAATGGAGTGGCCTTCCATGAGCCCTGACCTAAATCCAATTGAACACATTTGGGACTTGCTTGACAGGCGCATCCGGAAGCGTCCGATTGCACCTCAAACACTGCAGCAGCTCACTGAAGCGTTGATTGAAGAATGGGAGCGAATTCCACAAGAAGATATTCGGAGGATCATACGAAGCATGCCGCGTCGTTGTCAAGCCGTGATTAGGGCTCATGGAGGCCACACACGTTACTGAAAGTCACTAAAGACGAATATTCAAACGATATAAGAATATTTCTTTGATGGACCTTTTTTATCACCAATTAGTTTTTCGTCTACAATGCACATTTTAATTTTTTTTTTTAATAAAAAAAAATCCAAATTGATTTTTTTATTAATTGTAGTAATTAACAAATTAACAAGGTAAAAAATAGCGTACAAGTTAATTTAAATCTAATTTTAGTTTAAGCAATAGAAAGGAGAAAAATCTTGTTCCGCTAATTGTTTTGAGCAGTATATGTTTTTCTTCCTTGAGCGTTTCTATGTGAATATAAATTAATTACTCTTGTTTGTGAAGAATAAACCAATTAACAAAGATAAAAATGGGTTGTGATTTATTTCAAGATATCACATCCCATAATTATTTTAATATTATGGCAATAGTTTTGACTTTACGCCAGTTTCAAGTAAAAATTACTACACTTTAATTAAACTTTGCTAAGACCCCAGAGATAAATTATTGTTAAAACCATATCAATTAATCATTAATATAGTGTATTACAGTTTGTATGGTATCAATTTTAAAGAAATGATAACTAATTATGTGGATTAGACTTTTTTACAATATTCGCAAAAAAAACCAACACAAAGAATAATTTCATTCTGTGCAATTATGGAAATGATACATCAACAATCACTAAAATAGTTTATCTCTGACTTTAATATATACTACAAAGTTCAAATACTAAAGTAATATGTAATCTGTGACTTATGAGTGGATTCGGGATTGTGGTCAGTGGAATGGATTATGGAGTTCTTTTTATTAATTCTTATTTCTTAGTATGTAATGAATGGATCCATGCTTTATTAACAGTGATACATTTTTTTAAAGAATAGAAATGTTATGTTTCTAGCTTGTAGACGGACATAAATAAATTTAATATATTTGTTGCTTATAAGTTAAAATAACATCGGTATAGATTCGTGAAACAATTCTGGGAAGTATTAAGTCCTATTCAATTATGACGGATTGTGAAGAAGCGGTGAAACCAAAGAAATTTCAATGTGAGATAGAAGGTTGTAGAGCTCAGTTTGACAGACCTAACAGGCTATTAAAACATCGACTAACACACTCAAATATTGTATGTATCTTGTATATTTAGTAGTCATCGTAACCTGACTATGTTTTGTTATTGAATATCTTAATATTTCCAGAAACCATATTCTTGTATAGAAGACGGATGTGGTAAAGCCTACACCAGCAAAAATCACTTAGAAAGGCACATAAATACTGCTCACAGATCTTACAATGATACTGAAATGTACAGGTATCTTAATATATTATTATTATCAAATCCCATCATCACATCTACCTTTATCTGAAATTAAATAAGGTCAAGAATTACTGCTAACACTTACCATAAACTCAAGAGTTGAGGCTTAGAGCTAATTATGCCTCTTTTAACATTTGATTTAGCAATAGGAGTCATAGTTTCTGCTGTCTTGTCCCTGAATAATTTCTTATCAATGAGACTAACATTTAAAAAGATTGTGTAAAATTTTTAAATAATTTTCTTCCATTATGCACATGAAATATTTTTGAAGTTATACTTCTTTAGGCGCGTTATGAAAAATTGATAAGAGTGAAATTTTAGGATGCGCGCGCACAGTGACACAAAATTAACAGAATGAAAATGCCCACGGAAGATGCTACGGCATTGGACATAATTTAAAAACAATAAGAATAATAATACAATTTATGTTATACTTAATATAAGAGAAAAATAATAAATATTTATTTATTTAATTTTTCAAATGTTAACTGAACTTTATTGACTATAATGACTCCTTTTCTAGTATTTGATTATTTAATTGTAATTAATTATTTGCATTATTTGCATCTTACACATAACGCACGTACATAAGTACATGCACCCTTTTTTTATTACTATTAATATTTTTCCTTCTTTCAGCTGTCCAACTTGCTTTAAACAATATAGCAATCGCCAAAATCTTAAAAGACACTATAAAATACATCATGTGGGTGGTGTGGAAAAGTTCTCATGTGAAATTTGTCAGTTTAGTTTTAAGCGTAACCACCAGCTAAGGACACATATGTTTAGACATACAGGAGTAAAAGACTTCAGGTAAATAAATTTCAGGTTTTATACTCTTACTACTTATATCGCACACCCAGAACAATACTGAATTAAGTCTAAAAATCCCAAAATCGACTTATTTATTTAGAACAATAGGCAATTTTTTTCCGCGCATACCACTAAGACAGCCATATCTATATTTGCAAAAACAGCCAACAGATGTCGCACTAAGTCTCTATTAGTGAATTAATAACTACCGAGTCGTACCGCGAATATGAATCTAATTCCAGTTGGGACATGTTCGTCTATGGAAGCAGCATGTAGTGACGTTACGAAACAGTGAATTATTTCGTAATAATTAAGTATTGTTAAATGCAAGTAGAAAATTACTCCGAATTATTTAGTTTTAATACAGTGTTGGTGAATTTCCTGTTTCTGCTGATTTGATAGTATTTCTAAATAATACTGTATTGATGACGAAGGTATGTTATATTTTTTTAATTATTCCAAAATAGTACAGTGTTGTTTGATAAAGGTGAAAATTAGTTCAATGATGCACTATTGTTGGTAAATCTGAATAATGTTATAATTTCTGTAAAAAGAGCAATATTTTATTTTTTAATACTAAGAATTACTACTTATTATCTAAACTAAAAGAATACTTTTGAAAATTGTTTTTTTAATTTATTTAAAAGAAGATCTAACATGTTTTTTGAGATAATGCAGTATTAATGAATGAAATTTAATATTTTATGTTATTTGGCAGATGATGAAGGGTCGGGGTCTATTGTTGCTTGAAAAAGCAATGGAAGCAACCTCAAAAGAAGCTGGGTCAACTGCTCAACAAAGAAAAATAAAAATTTGTGCTGAAAATGAAGCAAATGCATCACCATCATCACTCGTGGTATCACCAGTCACATCATCAGCTATCACGGTATCACCTATTGCAGCATCAGCTCTCGAGGTATCACCTATTGTAGCTTCAAAAAAGTCTTTAACACCTGATAAGAGTAATGAAAGTGATTTTATAGATGATTCGGATACGGATCCTACTTTTTCTATCCAAAAAAGACAAAAATCCCGGCCACCTGTAATACCTAGACGAGTATCTTCGTCTTCCTGCTCAAGTACCTCTTCAGACTCCAGCTCATCGTCATCAAGCTCTAGCAGCTCGAACAGTTCATCTGATAATGAATCCAATAGACCAGGCCCATCTGCAGCAGATACCCAAGTTGTTTCCATTGAACCTGCTCCAACAGACCCCAAGCCAAGAAGAAAACGAGTACGAAACCCTGCTGCCTGGAAATCAAAGATTGCTAAAACATTGCGCAATACAGGTAAATCTTATGTTTCTCTATCAAACCCCACAAAAAAGATCGCAGAACGTCGAATCCGTCCATCTTGTGGCGATAAATGTAAATTAAAATGCAAAACTAAAATAAACGAAGAGGCAAGGCAGGATATTTTCGAAAAATATTGGCTTCTGGGAGATCTAGAGAGGCAAAGAGAATACATTGTCAGGCACACGCAAGAAATAAAACCAAAATATAGGTACATTACTTCTCAAAAATTAAGAGCTTTGAATTCGGCGTATTATTTTGAAATAGATGGTGTGAAGATTAGGGTCTGCAAAGATTTTTTTAAGGCTACACTGAGCGTATGTGACAGATACATTAAGACAGCCCTTTCAAAGAAACGAGATGACGGTTTTATAGACGCTGATGCTCGTGGGAAGCATGGAAATCAGCGCAAAATAGACTCTGAAGTAAAAGATAGTGTGTTCAATTTTATAAACTCTATCCCAAGAATAGAGTCTCATTACCTAAGAGCTCAAACCACACGAGAATATATCTCATGCGAGAAATGCCTAGCAGACTTGTATCGAGATTATAAAAACCTCAGAGAGCAAAATAACTTACCCCCTGCATCAGCTTCAACTTTTAGTAGGATATTCAATGAGGAGTTCAACATTTCATTTTATGTTCCAAAGAAGGATCAATGTGACCTTTGCGAAAGTTATAAAAATGCCGATGGTGAAGACAAGGCTAGGTTAAGTGAAAATTATGAAAACCACCTGAAAGAAAAAGGACTGGCCAGATTGGAAAAGGAGGCTGATAAAAACAATAAAAATGTCGTTGTAGCAGTGTACGACCTCCAAGCAGTTATGCAGGTTCCTAAAGGACAAGTTTCCCTGTTTTTCTATAAATCACGTATTAACTGTCTTAACTTGACTGTAAGCGACTTAAATGCAAAGGATGTTGTTTGTTTTTTCTGGGATGAAACCGAAGCGAAGCGTGGTGCAAATGAGATCGGTAGTTGTGTCCTTGCATACATTGAGTTGATTCTTGCAAAAAGTGATCCTAATAATGACGTGGATATCATATTCTATAGCGACAATTGCTGTGGGCAACAAAAAAACAAATACTTACTATCTGTCTATGCTTACGCAGTTAACAATATGCTAAGAGTTAATTCCATAACACATAAATTTTTGATCCGCGGACATTCTCAAAATGAAGGGGACAACGTCCACAGTGTAATAGAAAAACAGATTAAAAGACACTTAAAATCTGGTCCTATTTATTGCCCACAGCAATATGCTACTTTAATTCGTACTGCGAAAAAAACAGGACAGCCGTATCATGTAAAAGAACTTTTACACAACGACTTTTATGACCTTAAAGTCCTTCAGGAATCTTGGGGCAATAATTTCAATGTGGATGAGGACAATAACCAAGTCAAGTGGATTGACATTAAGCAACTTCGCGTTGAAAAGCAACATCCTTTGAATTTCTTCTATAAAACATCGTACAGTGAAACTGATTTTAAGAAAGTTTGTGTTCGAAATCGATCAAGGCGCTACAAAGATCAAAACTTTTCTCCACAATTGCTTAAAGCATATACAGAAAAACAACCTCTGGCTGAAAACAAAAAGAGAGATATAATGGAATTAATTGAAAAAAATATTATTCCCACTAATTATGTCAACTCTTATTACAAGACAGCATTAAATTTAGAGTAGCACAGCACTTACAGGAAACCTAATTTCGATATCTGAGTACCCTGTTGTTATTTTATTTTTTATAGTAATTTTAAGGCAGTCCATAGATAATTATTATGTAAGTAAACCTGTGATGTTACACTGTTGTGATTTAAATAAGACTTGTTAAACTAAAAAGACTTGTTAAAGTAAGTAGTAGGTATGCTCTTAGAGTTCTTTGTACATAGGTACAAATAAATATATATTCTATGTTCCTATTAGGCTAACTTTTTATTTAAATAACATCTAGTCCAGTTTTTGGATTATTTTATGTGGGTAGCTAAGCCATTATCGCAGCCATGTTCACGAGTGTTAGCAAAGTACCTACCACTTAAAATAAGTACTTAATAAGTAAGTAGGAAGTTAAAGTTTGTGCCTCGTTTTATTACTACCTTTTGAATCTTTATCTTTATCTTTGTTTTTTTTCTTATTTGAATCTTTGTATATTTTTTGGTTTAAGATTGTGTTTTTTTTGCTTTGATCTATGGGTCTCATACGACCACAAACATGTAAGACTGTTTTTTTTTTCATAACATAGCTGATGACACTGTAACAGTGTATAATAAAAGTGCATGCTGATTATCATACACATCGTTATTTTATTTACCGTTTTATACATTCTATATATAGGATACATTCTTGAAATTGAAACAGATAATTCTTTGCTGAATATTTACAACCAATATATGATAGGATTACACTGCATTATTTCAGAATCAATCAGTAAGAACGGAGTAAATAGAAATATTTTTTATTTTATTGGTTCAATAGTTTTACAACAGTGAATTAAGTTGAAAAGTAAGGATTTAACACTTTATGTGAACTTTTTACAGTAATTAACTAATGCCATACTGATAAGCATTTGATTCATCACACAATATCTAAAACACCTAGGAATAACTTTTCATCTAACATGAGAGAACAGTTTTTAGTCGATACTCAAATAATTCCTGTTTTGACTTAGTGCAGTGTTGATCTGGGGGTGCGATATGTGTTATAACTATTGTCTTATAACAGCTATTCCAAATAGCAAAGTATTTTGAATGACAAGTTTCAACTAAGTAGAAGGCAATAAATTGAGTATAAGTTGTTAATACTTAATATGTTTAAATATTGATAAAAAGCAAAGCACTAAATGAATTAAAACATGCCTAAAAATTACAATTTTAGAATTAGTAAAATTTGCATAAAACTTTTTAAGTGTTTTTTTTAAATATATTAATAATTTAAATATATTGTTGCTGTAGAATGATATGTGTGTCCTTGTATGTCCAAACAACCAAACATTACCAGAAACCAAAAAATGTTTCATTTCGTCAATGTTACTATTTTATTATTATTTTCTTCATTATTAAGACTAGAATTAGACTTAATAATGAAGAAAATGTTTTCCAACTATCCATTACATTGTTTGCTCATTTATCTATTTAATAAAGATACTATTTTAGGCCACTGACATAGTAAATGTTGCAGTTGTCCAATGTGCCCAAAACAATTTATAAGTATGACGGAGCAGAAAAAACACATAAGAAATCATAAAGAATTTACATGTGAACATTGTTATCAAAAATTTACACGATGGCTTGATTTGGTACAACATAGACAGACAAGTCATCAATCAGAAGGTATGTGTCTATACCACAATTTGTCTTGTATAGGCTTTGTATATGCAGTTGTATTCTAGTAAAGTAGACTGTATAGTTATAATCGTATGAAGGAATGTTTTAGCAAAAATTATAGTATCAAAGTTAATAAAGTTTTTAAATAAAAATTACAGTATGAGACATATTGCATAATATAGAATACTGTATAATATGTAAATTACAATTATGCTCTTGTATTATTCCATGGCTTAGTGGTTAACATTGCAAATAACTCAGAGGATAATCAATATCAACCAATAATACAATGATTTCCAATTAAATAATAAGGCTTTTTTATTTTCAGAATATATTTGTGATCACTGTGGGAAAATTTTTAAGCAAAGACAACACATTATTCGTCATTTAAAGATAAAACATTACACCAGAGAAGTGTCACTTTTTATATGTCCATATGAAAATTGTTCCAGGTAAGAAAATTGTAATTTTATTTAATAGAAAGCTAAATATTTAGTTTTTATTCTGCAGCTCATGTCAGTAAGAAAGCATCTGGTGCAGACTATCTGCTTTCACCGAATGCTGAGCATCTATGTAGACACTATTAATGCGTATTATTAACTCATTCTTGTTTTATGCAGAGGCCGAGACTCACTTACAACCACTTCACACTGATTTAAAGCATCTATTAATAGAAATATGTACAAACTCTACTGGAGAGCATGTGATTACTGATTATAAAAAAAATACATTATAAATTTAGAAGGTAATAATTTTTGATAAAAGTTATTTGTATTTCAGGAATTACTCAAGAAACAGTAATTTGAAGCAGCACATATTAGTTAAACATGAGGGTTTGACTTTTAACTGCCATTTATGTGAAGCAAAATTATCAACAAAGGTATTGGTTTGAATGGACTATATTTTCCTGTATTAAGCATTTATAAGATATCTTAAGTTTGTCTTGCTTTTCACATGTCAAACTGCATAATAGCTGATTCATAATTCTTATTTTCTTTATTAAATAGTTTACAATATGTGTATATATATATATATATATATATACACACAATAAACAAATTATAAGAAAATAACCCTAGTAATACATTATGGGGTTAATTTTTATTGTTGTTCTTGTATATAAAATCAGATTAATGTGTTTGCAACTTAAAATTAAATCGTACTTCCTGTGTCAGCTTCATTTCTCATTTTAATTCTTTACTTAACTTATCAATATCAGCCTAAAAGATTTAATCAAACGGCTTTCAGTCTTCTAATCTAAAAATATATCTGTAACAAAAATATTGGAATCATTTTTTTGTTTATTTTACAGGCAAAATTAAAAGAGCATATTATAAGACACAGTCGTCCTACACCTTATAAACCCCCAAAGACATTGTTAACAGGCCGAAAAAAGAGGAAAGATGCCTACATACCTAGATCCAATACAGCCCTCAAGTTAGCAGGATTGCCATGTCCTATTTCGGAGAATCCAGCATTACCAGATGTATATGTAGAAAGAGAAGAAAATGCCAGTGTTAATCAACTATTGAGTGTTAGAATGTAAAAATACAATATACATTGTTTTACCAACAATAGCTTGAAATAAAATTTACGTGGTTGAAGTCCAAGAGAGTACAACCAAGTTTATTTTAATTTTCTGCCGGTACATAGTGATTTTCATGTACAAATTATATGACAAAATATAAACTATCAACGTTTTTTACTTACGGTTTTGAATTTTGATTCATATAGCATGATATGCATCAATTGTCACTGCTATTTAAAGTTTCAGACAGTTTTTGTAAACTTGCTCATTCCTATATCCTGCTTGATTTTGTAATGTTCAAAAAAACACAAATAAGGACAAAGTAAAATGGTTACAGTTATACTCGTGATTAACTGTTAAAAAAATAATTTATTTATTAATATTATCCAGCCATACATAAATATTTTTGTTCTTTGTATACTGAAGTTTTCGTTGTGCTTATGTAATGCAATGTGCATTCTTAACTATAATATAATTATCATAAACATGAAATGTAAATTTAGTTGGGATGATAAAATATCAGTGTTACTGAGCGAATTAAACCGTAGTTATTAAAATTAAATTGCTATGCATACTTTTACTATTTTATTAAAATACTAGTTATATTAATTTAATTAGCGAAGGGCATTGTTCCATAGAAATTTAACACATATTTAGAATAGAGAAAGAATAAATATTGCCCCTACATCTAAATCTAACTTTTTAGCAGTTGGTTAATATATTTTATGTGTTATCTGCACAATATAAACGGTACTACCTACTTAGTTGCCAGTTGCAAGTTATCTATGTTTCACAACAGCTGTTTATTGACAGTTGAAATCAAAAAAGTGTTCTCGAATCGCAACAGTGAACACTGTTCATTGAACAGCTGTTAGTCGTGACCCAAAAATAATTTCTAGTAAAATTTACTTTTCTTCTGTATTCAAAGATTTTCTATTTAAACGCTTCAAAGTACAAATTGATGATAAAACAACGAAGGCGAAAAGTTTGCAATTTTTATTGGTGTCATCCATAATAAATTAGTGCGATCAATATTGAAAATATTACGGGTACAATTAAATATTTAGTAAATAGTAATACAATGGAATTCTCCATAAATTTGTTTACACTGAACTGCTGGTAAGTGGACCAAAATTTAAAAAAATCTTATGAAAAAATACAGCAATTTATTTATATTAATACTGTTTTTATAGGGGTATCCCTATTGTATCCAAAAATCGTAAGGAAAGAATTGAAGCAATTGCTAAGTATTTACTTTCCGGTGATCAAGACATTGTATGCCTTCAAGAAGTCTGGAGTGAAAATGATTATCTTTATTTGAAAGAGAATATAAGTAGTGTACTGCCATATTCACATTATTTCTACAGGTAAGCTTAAAATTTACTGCTTTGTTTATTTTCACAATATATCAGATACATGTGGAATCCATAAGTGATGTCATATGATAGTAGTGTTTATAAAAGCTATCTTATCTATATCCCACAAACTCTGTTCGAACTATACTCATAGGTGAACTATTGATAACAAAACTTATAATAGAATGAAATATATTTAATGGTATTAATATTACATAGTATTAAGTGTATATAATGATAAATGTCCCATTTGGGTATGCTTGGACAACACACGTCACATAACCCATACCACAGCAATGTGGGCTGTAGCTAGGGATCCTCTATTCCCATGGCATGTAAACTAACATATAAAAATCTAACTGTGAGAACATTAAAATAATGTATTATTTTTTTTTTTGTAGTGGAGTTCTTGGTTCAGGACTATGTGTGTTCTCCAAGTGGCTAATAAAAGATGTCTATTTTCATAAATGGCCGTTGAATGGTTACATTCACAAGATACATCATGGAGATTGGTTTGGAGGGAAAGGGGTTGGTCTGTGTCGCATTAAATATTTGGACAGATTAATAAATGTTTATTGTACACATGTAAGTATAATTTATTATGGTACGTTAATTGTACTAATATAGTTTCAATTAGAAATTAGTAGAATACTTTTTGTAATAATCTGCATGCAAGTTTAATTACGTTCAAAGATACTTTATTTCTCAAAGAATTACATTCACTTGGTGAGGGATTTTAGAGTAGGTTAGTAATAGTTTTGAAACTATTTAAAAATAAGCGATATAAAATATTAGTTCTTAACAATATGTACAATTTTTTACAAAAGTGCAGGTATGTTTCGTCGATGTTACAACATGCATTATGTGACTAATGAATAGTAATAATTTCTTAGACGTAGAAGTGAAATTTTTTTATGTTTCAAAATACATATTTATGCAATTAATTTATATTGAACTTATACGATTTTTAAAGACCTATATATGTGTGGACTTTTTTAAATTTATAAATACATACATATAATTAATGTCTGGAAGGAAATTTATTAAATATTTGTGTGCCTTGATACATTATTTAAGATAGCACAATACATCAGGAAATGGCTGCATCTACTTCCTGTTACTTTTACTAAGTAATTAAAAAAATGCTATAACGATAGATTAATAGATAGCTGAAGTAGTTCATATTGTTTTTTGTTTACTTCGTTTTTCTTTCTGTCTCTGCTACTTGAAGTTCAAAACTCATGACTGGTAGACCTCTAAATGAAATCTAATTTAAAGATCAATTTTAAATTACATTTAAATTGTTATGCTTTATTAATTATAGTTGCATGCTGAATACAATGAAGATGACATTTACCTAGCCCACCGAGTATTGCAAGCACATTTGGCTGCCGAGTTTGTGAACCTAACTTCTTCTCCAGCTGATGTTTCCTTTCTAGCTGGTGATTTTAATACAGCTCCTGGAGAAATAGCGTTTAGGTGAATTTCATTTTATTATTAAGACACATATCAGTAAGGTGCTTAAGTAATATGTTTCCAAAGTATTGATTTCACACTTTCCTAATTTTATTTTTGTGTAAGGGTATTAAATGCTTATTTTTGAGTAAGAGAAAATGTCGTTTACTTTTTCTTTTATAAATTCACACTTGCCGCACATATGAATTGATCCATATAGGCAGCATGCCATACTCGGGTCTGATTCGCTGGGTCTTAAAAGTTCCTGGTAGGTAGAAAACGGTATTTGTATTTTAAAAACCAATTGATTGTCGTATTAAAAACTTATTTGTTTTAAACTAATTCTCTTTAATTTTTTGCTAATATTTTTTTTAATTAGTTGTGAATTATAATATTAGATTGTGTGTACACTGTAACTGTCGCATAAGTTTGAGATTTTCATCATTTTACTGTCTTATATACGATTGCTTTTATTTATTATATAATATCTAATGACTAGGCTATTTATTTATTTTTCGATAAAGTATCGCATTATCACTATTGTTACGAAGACGGGTCGACTGCAATGTTTTTAGATTTTTCTACTACTTAGAGAACTTTTCAGCCGGCTGAATCATTTATTCAGGCCGATTCAGAACAAGTGTAGTCGAGTGGTACATTTTTCAGGAAACCCGTTTTCAGGCGTTTTCAGGCCTGGTTACAACCCTTTGATGAAGGAATATTCTAGAACGAATTTCCTAGATGTGGGACGGTATGATACGCGAGAGAGAGGGAAGATCGGAACCTTCTCGAAGCTAGACCGAGCACTCTAGAACGCCGTACGACAAGGACGGAGCAATGTGCGAAAGAGATAGCGAGTACGCACGTTCTAGAATTGTGTACTCAGCAGCGGTCCCGCCTAGAGAGTTCTCGAACATCGTTCCCAGGGATATATAAGCGAGCCGATACGCTACCAGTTAGTTCAGTTTTTAATGCGAAATCAAGAGATAAACACCGAAGTGTCAAAGTGCGAATATAGTGAAGACAAGTGATAAAGTACTGTGTGAAGTGCGTGTAATTAAAGTAATGAAGTGTGTGTATTTTGTGAATTTTTGTGCGTAATTTCCAGTTTTTAGTGTAAACAAATTCCTCGTAGATTTAATTGAAAATAAACCCTTGAAGAAATCTACGGCGTTTTCTATCCGATCCCCTAGCTCGTAAGGCCGGGTTCCCACTACGCCGGACCGGCAGATCTGCCGAAAACCGGACACCGGACAGAGTGTTCACATTACATCGGATCCCGGAAGAAATTCAGACAGTCCTCAGTTGAATTTGGACCTGCGCGCACAATGGACGACGAAATTGTTGTGTTGTGGTGGTATCTTAATAGAAGGCAAAATAAAAGAAAACATTGGGTACACCCTATTTTACGGGAAAGATTTTCACTTGGAACATTTGAAACATTAATGGGTGAACTTAGAAGAGACGAATCAAAGTTCTTCAATTATTTTCGAATGACAGCAACCACTTTTGACGATTTACTGGGACGACTAGACATAAGAGTACGAGATACAAGTTTCAGAGAATGTATTTGCCCAGAACAAAGATTAGCCATATGTCTAAGGTAAGATTATTTTATGCACTAGATTGCGTAATAATAGTTTTGACGTAGGTACCTACTTAAGACTGTATGAATGAATGAATGTTTGCTATGTATGTTTGTTTCATGAATGTGAATATATATAATGTGTGTGTGTGGGAGGGTGTATGTATTTGATAATCATTATGAATTAAAAATGCAAACAATTATTTAAGTATTTATTTGTACTCAAACTTAAATCCCTTCAAAATCTAAGTAATCTGAGTCTTGGGAATGTATGGAACGATTACTAGATGCTGATGGCGAAGCTGGAATCGGATTCGATGTCTGAGATGAAGTTGATGGTATAGATGTTGTTGCCTGTTGATTGCTACTATTATATTGCGTAGAGTATCCAGGGTAGTGTTGATCTTGCGTAGGTATTGGCTGTTGATTGACGCTATTATGTGTGTAGTATCCAGAATACTGATCTGGTCCGGTTATCTGATTATATGAATCACGCCAATGTCCGTAATTTGGTCTCTCATAATTCCTACTTTTAATTTTTTGCAACATTGTCATGACGCTAGCTTGAAATTCTAAAGTCTCTTCGATAGTTAAAGTGTTCAAGATTGGTATAATGCCTTTGAAGAAAGATAGATGATGGTTTTCCTTTTCTGGGTTTATTCTGGAGTCCAAAAACTTTACCATCCTGTCATTTACCTCTTTATTATCAATTTTTTTTTATCTTTAATTAAAGGTGAACGAAAATCTGATTCCATGCCTACTTCAGTCTCGGTTCTTGCTTTTTTTGAAACTGACTCATGTGGTGGTCGAGGTTCGGAGACTTTTTCAAAAACATTAATTGCTCGTGATATAAATAATTTCGTGTCTTTTTGGTCGAAGATCCAGATTTAGACTCATCTTTTTGTTTCTTTACTGTCTTAAGCCACGAATCTCGTATATTATTCCATTTAGTTGAAACCTGTTTTCCTGAAATCAATAAAAAAATATCATAAAACAATACAATTTGTTTCTTGGTGACGTATAAAGTAATAATGTATTAACAAAAAATACTTTTTTTCAGATATTTAGCTTCAGGATGTTCATTCAAAGAAATACATTACTCATACAGAGTAGGCGTTTCGACAATAAGTAAACTAATAAAAGAAATGACCCACGTCATTTGGGAAAACCTAAAGACAGATTTCCTTAAGCTGCCTGATACTGAGAGAGAATGGGAGGACATCGCTTCAGGATTCGAAAGAAAAGCCAACTTTCCTCACTGTCTTGGAGCAGTAGATGGCAAACATATCAGAATTTTGAAACCAGCCAAGAGTGGTTCTATGTTCTTTAATTACAAGGAGTATTATTCTTTTGTATTAATGGCAGTTGTCGATTCAGAGTACCGATTTATTTTTATTAGTGTGGGCTCATTTGGCAAGGAATGCGATTCTAGTATATTAAAGGATAGTACATTTTGGCAAAAGATCAATGATGGTACTTTAAATGTACCAAAGCCTAGACCGCTTCATGAAAACTTGCACGAAGAATTACCGTTTATACTTGTTGGCGATGAAGGCTTTGCTTTAACACCTAATCTCCTACGTCCATATGGAGGTACACATTTGAATACTGATAAAAAGATTTTTAACTATAGACTAAGTCGAGCAAGAAGGTATGTTGAGTGCGCTTTTGGTATTCTGGCAAATAAGTGGCGAATAATCCATCGAGCTATAGATCTCAACGTAGACACAGCAATTCAAGTAATTAAAGCTTGTGCAGTCTTACATAATTTTGTAAGAGAAAAAGATGGTATAAATTTTGAAAGTTACCAAAATATAGAACATAGACAAGAACAAGAAACTACACCCATGAATCGAAATGTGTCGAGTCGAGGTGGCCCTAATGCCAACGCTATACGGACATCATTTACTAATTATTTTGTTTCAGATATTGGTTCCGTTCCGTGGCAGGCAGCAGCTATAAAATAAAATTTATCAATGCATTTACATTTTATCAATAAAACATTAAAAACTCACCGTACTGTTTTCTTTCTTTTTCATCCAGTTCATCGAAGTTTGGTTTCAGTATTAAACATACTTCACGCCATGCTGCTAACTTTAAGTTTTTGTCTTTATAAACGTCTTCGGTCTTATCCCACAGAACAGGTCTCTCTTGGACAAGCGTAATTAAAGTTTCTGCTTGAATATCCATGCTAAACGTCTACTTTTACCAGAACATGCGAGCCGAATGACGTGAGTGGAACACGGGCGGGGCGAGGGGAGCACGAGCAGGGCGAGCGGGGGACAGATACCGGCACAAACTCGTTCACATTACTCCGGGCCCGGTCGTTCTACCGGCAATTCGTAGTGACAAAACGTTCGGTAGAAATGCCGGGCTCGGCAAAAATGCCGGACCCGGGATAATGTGAATAGCTTCATATAAATTGTACAGCCACTAGCTCTTCCGGCAGATTTACCGGCGCGGCAGATCTGCCGGTCCGGCGTAGTGGGAACCCGGCCTAACACTATGTATTTATTGAACATCACTATCTTATTGTTGTGTTGTAGGCTAGAAGAAATAAATAATGTTCTAGGACTCTATATTATACCATGTAGTACCTGCAAAGGTATTTGTAATTAATTAAAATACGTAGAACATTACAAAATAAATTGTCAATGGTAATACAATATCAATAAAACGTCATGTACTAAACGAATAACAAAACTAACTTAGTATATTTTCATTATAGATTGATAACTGAAATGGCAAATCTTCTGGATCCATGTGATGTTGAGTCAATTGGGGATACAGCAAAGATGATAAAAGCTTTAGGAACCTGTGATAATATTAATAATAGTTACTCTAATCCGAAAATGACAAAAACCTGTCCGGAAGGAAAGAGAATTGATCATATACTGTTCAATGTGAATTCAGGATGGGAGGTAAATTTTATTATTTTTAAATTGGTACATATATCATTTTTAAAGATATTTTAGCAGTCTTGGCTTGGTTTGAGGGTGTGTCTCTCAAGTCATAAGTTCGAAACTCGGCTGTGCATCAATGGACTTTTTTGTATGTATGACACTTGACCGGCCTTAGACTCAAAAATCGACATGTGTCAGGCATCGAAGGCTGATCCCATATCTGCCTTCTAACAAAACGATCATTAAACAAATACAGGCATCTAAGGCCTTGGCCTGTATTCTAGGTCTTGACCTAGAATTTCTGACGGTACTGTTTTGATTTTTGATTTTTAAAATATAACAATAAACCCTTTATACGGTACCAATAAGCATCTGTATTTTTGAAGTGATACTTCTTTAGGCGCATTAAGGTAAAATTTTAAGATGTGTAGCGTTTTTGTCGAAGAAAAGGGAGATAGCGATTGAGAGAGAGTGAGAAGGGCGAATTGCCTTATAGAAATTTTATTTTTAAAATTAAAATTTTTAGAGTATGAAATATTAGTATTTTATATTTTATGCAAAATAATTTATTATATATATGAAATCTCAAATGGCGAATTGTATATTAAAATGTTTTTATTATCGAAGAAATAAATTTAAAAAAATTAAATTTATAATTTGATTTAATTTTCGCCACATAATATTTTAATGACAATAAAATTAATTATATTCCTAAACCTTCCTTTTTAAATAAATGATGACTGTGCCTGACATGTCAATTCTTGGGTTTAACGTGCCGGTTGTACTAGCTCTGTTTATATAAACCGTACGAGCAAAAGACTTACGAAAACAATAGTTGATGCACAGACGACAAATTAAATCCTGCTGTATTAAGTCCGGTCTTCGTATCGTATTCGAGCAGTGATCAGCGTGCGACTCTCATACCTGAGGTCGTAGGTTCGATCCCCGACTGTGCACCAATGGACTTCCTTTCTATGTGCGCATTTTACATTTGCTCGAACGGTGAAGGAAAACATCGTGAGGAAACCGACATGTCTTAGTGTGGCCATAGACGGACCGCATGTTGCAGTCGATACCGACTGCTCTAAGCGGTCGCCGCACGGCGAACTGCAGTTTCCATACTAAATTCATATCCGCCATACACGGACCGCACGACCAGTTTCTGAGCGGTCGGAGCAGTCGCTCTGCGGTCGAGTTCCGCCGTGCGGTCGACTGCTTAGAGCTGCCGGACCCACCATACACGAACCGCTACAAGCGGTTGCTGCCGACCGCGCGCCTCTCCCTCATAAAATAAAATACTAACTAATTCATCAAATGAAACCATGGACATTCTAAAGTAGTTGAAAAACATTTTAGTGAAGACACTGCTGGGGATACAAACTATAAAATATTCCATGCTGATTTCTTGTTTGTAGTATTGGACGCACCCACATACTACGGTGTCTTCTGCGCCTACGCTTGCGTAATAGTAGTATAAGAAGCAGTGTTTCCTCATCGAAATCCATCTTGTAAATGAACTTGCATCAGTATTACTTTGCGGTCGAACACAACTGCTCCAAGCAGTCGTAGTCGACCGCTCTAGAGCAGTCGGTCTCGACTGCAACATGCGGTCCGTTTATGGCCCGCTTTAGACCCAAAAAGTCGACGGCGTGTGTCAGGCACTGGAGGCTGATCACCTACTTGCCTATTAGATTAAAAATGATCATGATCAGATTCAGAAATCGGAGGCCAAGACCTAGAGGTTGTAGCGCCACTGATTTTTTTCTTCGTATCTCATCGCAAATACTGTTCCCAAAGTTATTTCTGAATCTCTTTACCTATTCTTTTTAATAAACACTGCAATATAACGTTCAATATTTAACAATTGAAGGCCGAAGTCATCAGTCTCAAGAATCCGCTACCAGATAGAGTACCAGGAGAAGAATTTTCATATTCAGACCACAACGCCGTGTCACTTGAGTTGAAGGTTAAGGCAAATGCCAAAAACAAGGAACCGCCTAAGAGATTTTACGACAATTATGATGACACAGTAGTAGAAGCAATACAAATCTGTAAAGAAGCGAAAGTTACTCTGGTGAAATCGAGAAAATTATTTTTGATAACCGGTGGTCTTATTTTCATGGTTTTGATTGGTTTGGTTGGGTATTGGCCGAACAATATTTTAGTTGATATGATCAAAATATTTATGACCGGAATTTGTTTTTATTATATTGTTATGGGGACGATTTGGAACCGAATTGAGATGAATAGTCTAAAAGCTGGGTTGTCGGCATTAGAAATTTTCCAAAAACGTAGGGTAAGTGAAAATTAGTTTAATAAATTATTTATTAAAAAATTTATTAGGTAAATTCTAATTTTATTTATATCACGCTTTAATCAGACTTCCAAATATTATTTATTTTATAATAGATATATAATATTTAAAAAAAAATATATACTGGCAGTCCTCGTACTTACGGCATGTTAGGTTCACGAAATACGCGACGTAAGTCGAGACATATTTTTTCGTATTCGTTTACATGTAAAATTCAATTCCACACGGACTCGAAATTAAAAAAAAATTGCATTTATAACAAAGGATATACATACTTTATTATCAAAAGTAAGTTCTTAAAATAATTATATATGCACTTATGAAATTGCTAGTAAAACTTTAATATGTAATGAGGAAATAATAAATTAAACTTTTGGCTTAAAGAAACTATCAATGTAGAAAGAAGCGAAGCAATCTAGATGCCTCGCAGTGTTACAGATCTTGGTAACACTGATAGGCTGCACAAATTTTATTATTAACGTTGAAACTTCTCTCAAAATTAAGATCATTTTCTTCAAAAATTTTCATGACATTGTCCAAATTGTGTAAACAAGACAAGTGAATTCTCCTATGCCGGAAATAGAAACAAATGACGGAATATAGGAATAGTGTCAAAAAATTGTTCGACGTAACTTGAAACGACGTAAGTCGAGGGCTGCCTGTAAATAATTTTGTTTCTTGTTTAGCATTGTTTGTATTTTTTATATGTCATTGTAGCAGCCTTTCCACTGTTGCTTTTTAAATGCCGAAATCCTTGTTAGTAAAAAAAAAGCTAAAATTTTTCGAAAATAAAATAATGTACTTACGAAATTATTTTTGTTGTATTTGGATACATAGATAATTCAATAAATACAGTATTTCAATACGTAATTACTATGTATTTATCAGTTAGTACTTATAAGCTATTATTTAGAATGTAATTTTTACTATTTCGTCTTAAAGACAACTTTGCCTTATAAATTAAGATACGAGAGGCGCATATGTCTACTACATACATACCATTAATTGTGATATTTAATTCATACTCAATAGACCGGGAGATAGTGACACAAAATATTGGCTCATTTGTACCAGTATGGCGATTCTTAAGGGGCCTTATTACGCAATGAAAAAAAGATAAATGATGGTCATAGCGCTGGTACAGACGGCCCAAGCGCGTGGGCGTTAGTCGAACTCGTCAGATTAATTAGTGTGTCAAACGATTTGTTCCACAAAAATTCTAGTATTTTCCGATAGTCCATAAGAAGTAGGGCATGACACTGCCGCTTCTTATATTTTTATATACTACCTTTGTTTCACTATCTATTTTGTGTCACTATCTCCCGGTCTACAATGTTTGTTTTACAAATAAAAACCAATTCTTAGAAAAATTCTTTTATTTTACAAATCATTCAACGGTACAGTGAACTATATTAAAAAAAACAACAAAATATATCACATTCCATTACATTACCATAGTCTGGTTATTATGCTTTAATGCTAATAAAAGAAAGGTCTATATATAGTAACACACACAAAATATTTAAAGCTTTTTAAACGTGAAAAAAATAAACGAGTATAGTGTATTTTATACAGTTCAGTTCATTAAAAATCCGAATTTTTAAAAATAGTTTCATATGTTTATAGCCCCTTGCTCTGTAACTTCCAATAAGCCATACCGACAGCGATCCGGATTTTCCGGAATAATCCGGAAAGATTATTGAAAGATCTACATCTTATACAGAAACTATGCTGTTGTCGCTATTTGAAGTTACAGCAAGGTAGCTGTTATTATTATAAAGCCTAAACAAGTTCTATACTTGTGTCACGTTCACGAATTAATAGATAAGTGTTATATCAATTTACGTAACTGAAATTCTAGCCGCGAGTACCACGCACTTTCTACGGTAGAAATAGTAGTAACAATCACTCCTTATATGGCAAGACTAAATCCGTGCTTTTTAAGTTTAAATGTATTATCAATACTATTGAAATGCTTATGTATTTATCTTCCGATAATAATAACTAGTACATCAATTTCTAAGTAAAGTTTTAAATTGCGTAAGTTAAGAAGTATAGAATGTTTCGGGTAAATTAAAAATTATTTCAAGTGTAGCAAATTTAACAAAAAGATATTAGTTTAATAATAAAGTTTGTGTTAAACACATTTTATTTTGGAAAACTTTAAAGTCATATTAATCTTTACCCTTCAATAGTATTGTAATAGCTTAGTAATAAAAATGTTATTGCACTCAACAAAACACACTTTAAGTACAGTGAAGGGAGAAATACTTGCTCTAGCCTTTGGAATGCAACATTAATAATACTTAATAAAACTTATTTATATTGTCAAATTATTGTTTAATTCATAAATATCAAGGATTTTCTAGAAATGTATCGTAAATACACTTTGTTTATTATAAGCGTATATCCGGTGTCTTCCGTTTACATAACATTCGGTTCATTAATTAAAGCAGATAAAAACCGAAAGAAAAGTTAATATGAGAATCTTTAATTGAACATTTTACGATTATTGGAACAGCATATATAGAGTATAAAATCCGTCGAATCGACCAGTACATGTTATATCAAAAATTTAAAAAAAAACGCCGACTTACGCAAATCATTAATCAATTCGCGATAGTGTTGTAAAGTCATCGCTTAAACCAAAGACAATTCTAAACTCATGACATTTTTTCGTATGTACTTAATAATAAAAAAAAATCGTAATGTTTTTATGTATAACGTTATATTTTAGTAAATACTATTTCACATTTCTGGGTTTAACTATAAATGCTGTTACTCCGCCATGGCTATCAAAATTAAATTATGCATTGTAAAATACACCTTTCAACAAATCGATGAAGACGCCATCACACTTCATAATAGTAATGATTCATATAGTTTCAATATGAACTCTGGGGCTTGGACTGGGGTATCTCTATCACACAATTCTCAATCTATTAATTGGTATTATTACTTACTATTAAAAAACGATCCAAACTTTGACAGGACATTAATAACTTTAATAGTATATTATGAACATACATACCGCACACCTCCATTACTTTTACTGTGGGAATCCCCCCCAAACAGAGTCTAGTCAAACTAGCAAAGTGACAGACACAAGCTTAGAAGTGGTCATGACATTGACCCATCATATAATACCGTTATTTCATACATTTTATTTAATATTTTAAAAAATTGGCGTAAGGTTTTTTAAATTGCATTCGCTAACATAAAATTCGTATTAGTTCGTTAATTACGCTTTTGGGTCAGATTTATCTTCGGACATATCAAGTAAGGGGTCAGTTTCAGAGTTCATTGAACCCGTTGCCATAGTGTAATCGAGAGATCCATATACAGAAGGCCGTACGTCCACCAACGGTGGTTCTGTGGCTTCAACTGTCATATCTGGCACAGAGCTGGATGTAACTTGTTCGCTGAAAAGCCTTGAGCTCTCATCATAACCTTTGGTCATGTGATACATTGATTTACCTCGTAACCGTCTGCTAAATGAGCTTCCTGAAACAAAGTTTAAAATGAATTAAGCAATAGTATTGTCTTTGATTAACATAACCTTTACACATTTAAAGAAAAACGCTTTTTACCGGTGACGTGACCACGCACGCTGTAAAGCACGCGAAACGTCGGATAAATTTAAAATTATGTCAAATAGTTGTAAATTTATAATAATAAACATAACTTTAATCCGGTAAAAAGAGTTTTTCTTTAAATGAATTAAGCAAGTAAAAGAATTTTCATAGTAATTGAGGTCTGCCTTTGTGATATTATGGAATGTATGAAGTCAAGGGTTGAGATATATACAGTGTAAACTATTTATTCCGGCACTCGTTATAACGAAACACTCTATATAGATACATTTGTTTGGTTTAACACAAAACCCATACATTAAAACACTTTTTATAACGCAACAGCCATTCTCTATAACGAAGAAATATTTTCATATTTAGACATCAACAATTGTTTTTATAATCAGCTAACAGAACCAACCTTTGAGGTGCCGAAATTTGTAAGAAAGACACCTGAAATCATAAACACTCCTCCCGCCTTTGTTGTTAATTGCATTGAAATTTTTGTCTTACTTACTAAACGCACCATCGTCACCTATCGTGTATTATCAGTCGTAGGCAAACTTTGAAACTATCAAGATGCCAAGAGGCCAGTACTAGAAAAGCGTTATGTGTTATTGTTATTAGACTAATTTACCTATTGATAGTAATAAAATTAGAAATTATTGTAATTGGTTAAATTTTTTCTCCTATAACGACTACTCTTTATCGAAAAAAATTGCTCGGTCCCTAGAAATTCGTTATATAGAGTTTACACTGTAAAAATATTACGCAAATACAACTTTAATTATAATTTCTGAAGTCCTCCAACAAATTCATATATTATAATCTACATTAGATTAAAATGCCATAAATTTATTTATCAAGCAGCGTTGACGCGGCTTCAGCGTGCGACTCTCATCCCTAAGGTCGTAGGTTCGCTCCCCGGACAGTACAATGTAATATCTTTCTATGTGCGCATTTAACATTCGCTCGAACAGTGAATTTAAAAGTGAGGAAACCGGCTTGCCTTAGACCCAAACAAGTCGACGGCGTGTGTCAGGCACAGGAGGCTGATCACCTACTTGCCTATTACATCGAAATGATCATGAAATAAATTCAGGAATCTGAGGCCCTAAAAAGTTTGTAGCACCACTGATTTTGTTTTAACTTATTTCAATGTATGATAATACAAGTCACTCACCCACAACACCAAGATGCTCAGAAATGTCCCGTTTGACATCTGATACATCCCACATCGCGAGGAACGAGCCCAAACATGATGGGGATGGATCGAGTGGCGATATATAAGGCTTGTACGAGAAACTGTAGTGATGGGCTATCGCTGCTATGAACATCTCTATGCAAATCAGGAAGTCCTACAAATGTCATAATAGTTAATGGATTTCTTGTATTATTTAAAATTTGAGTGCATAAGTGAAAAAGCGATTTACCTATTCATAATTCCGACCTTAAGAAAGTTTTTTCGTAAGCCCTGCCCCAACCACAGAGTAATGAGAATGTTTTTTAATGAATAAATAACAAGTATTCATTAAAAAACATTGTACTTGTGTTAGAAATTTTTGTATTACTAAACTGGAATTATCTCATTACTACTATATCTAATGTAAAGAAGTAAAAGACATAAAAAATGCAATACTTTTTTGACATAGAGGAGTCATACTTATCGCTTCTTACCCATAAATAATAAAATTAATTAAAAAAAAAACTTTACTGAATTAAATTACTATTAATAATAATTTTACATAATATTTACAAAATAAATTCAACTGAAATACAATAACAATATTATAATTACACAATATCATGTAATGTGTATTTCGTGACAACACTGTAACGGGAAATTTAGTTTGAAATAATCATAAATTGTGATGATTAAATTGGCTTATAATCTCGTAATAATAATCCTAACAATAAATAAGAGACAAATACAATTTTCTTTATCTACGACTAATAGTATAAGATCCCGCTATACAACGACCTTCACCGAGATGCTTATTTAATGAAACGTATTTTATATTAAATTTAATATGTCAATAAATATAATCCATATGGGTTGTCTAGCAAATTTCAGTCCAGAGTATGTTTAATTAATAATTAAAAAAAAATATTTTTTTAAACATTTCACCGGTATGATTATTAGATAAATTCTATACCAATCGAAAGTATGAAGCCCATAGAATATGCAAACTTTATGCTGCCCATTCTTTTCCGGTCACAACTATCGGGTTGCCTGGTATAAACAGGTAAATCTGTACTAGCATTTTGCAACGGTCTGTTTATTGAATGAAATTTAAATGAAATTAAAGATTATTTTATTCTGAACACGGTGGTATAGGGTTGTCTGCGAAAAATCAGTCCAGAATTGCGGTTGTCGAATTTTAAAAAGTAAAATATTGCTCCAAGTGAATGTGTGCGACTGAGAGGTCCCAACCGACCATCCCATGCGATAGAAGAGGACACAGCATAGCAGCTGTTTAAAGTCCGCCCACTTAAAGAATGAGAGTGCGCATGCTATTTGGGCTTGGAAAAGAAAAGGACAGCGATGGACTCGTATAATTATGCATCATTTTGGAGTAGTTTATTATTTAAATAGAGAAATAGTTATTGAATTTTTTTTTAATCAATTAATTATTTATGTGTATATTTTTTATGTGACACTAAAGTATATATACATCTTTAGTAAAAAAGAAGGTTGTAGTGATTCATATATAATAATACCCTGATTAAAAATATTGATTGAAAAAAATTTACCTACTACATGCAAATTATAAATCTATAAATGTAAACAGAGAAATTGAAATCAATTGAAACTATTGGAAAAAATTCAAAACCCATAAAAGTGATTTTTTTTATTCAGGGTAATCTTGCAAATTTTATTTTTATTATAAGAAGACAAAATAAAAAAAGGATGCGTGTACTTATGTACGCGCGTAAGAAGTTAAACTTCTTTGGCTTTCTTTATTTTTTTAAAATATTAAATAATTAATAACAAATATTTAACGTTAATAATATTTAATATTTAGTATATTATTCAATTATTAATTAATATTAATAATTATTTATTATTTTATTATATTATTCATTCAATTTAATAACTACGTATGTTTCATAACCTTTTAACTAAGTAACAATAGGGCTTTGTGAAAAAGCATTCCTAAATTTATTTGAAAAAATAATTAAAACTCCTTTATTTGTTTAAAAGGTAAATGTCATTATGGTCATTCAAAATTCTTAGCATAGCTGCTAACTTCACGCATATTCTATTTCTTTCTACTTGTAGATTGTCTTATTTCCATTTCGCTCGCGCACGCTCGGCGCCCATACTGATAATTTAGTGTCACGGTGCGCGCATCGTAAAATTTCACTCTCATCAATTTTTCATAACGCGCCTAAAGAAGTATAACTTCAAAAACAACAATTAAAAAATTACTTCTATTTATTGTAAAAAATTAAAAATACATTTTTTTTTAATTATTCAGAATCCGAGTCATAGGACATAAAACTACGATCTTCAACTTCTGAATCTTCTTCGTCATCACTTTCTGTTTCACTTTTTTCGACAATGTCTTCTATCTTTAAAGGTGTATGATCCCCAATGAATCCTACTGGTTTTAAATATTCATCTAAGAACCGTCCGCAGTTCTCAGGCTCAAATTTCACGCATATTGGATCCGTTGCATTAAGCCACATGGAATTTACGAAAATAAAATATAAAATATATATTTTAATATATACATATCGACGTAGGAAAGCACATTTGCTGTAAGTAGACATATTGCAATTGTTCACCAGAGCCAAAAAACTTTATTAATTTCGGAAAAAAAATAATAGTGTCTGACCTATCCATGATATTGCTACCATTTTTGAAACATATATTTATTTAACTGCCAGTCACCATTTGCAATGTAAACTTTTTATCCAAAGTTACTATAAGTACGTGTTTGACTAGTTACAGCAAACAGTTTTTTAAATCACAAACCTTTAAAACGCTGTAACTAAGGAAGAAAAAATGTACGCGCGGAAATATTATCAATTTACAGGCGGTAAATATGCTGTATGCAGGAAATTTATGTATTTGGGTACTTTTAATTGCAATTCAAGATGTAAGATTAGTTTATAATTATGATTAGATCTAGAAATGCAGTGGGTCATTTGGTAATGTAATGTTTGGTTGAAATAAAATGTCGTAAATGGTAAAAAAAAACCAAAACTGTAGGTTCCCTAAACTTGCTGTAAGTAAACGAATGTAAAAATCATACGCCCCTGAAATGCTGTAAGTAGCGTTAAGTTTTTAAATGGGAAGAAGTAAGTATTTGTAAAGAAAAAAATGCAGATTTTCTTTTGCTGTAAGTGCAAAATGTCTGAAATAACTAGATTTTGGTCTACATACAGCATTTAATCTTGCTAAAAATAATATAAGTACGGGCGTTTTCAACGGCGTATGTAATTTTTTTTCATCGTAGAGACACAGGACCCAGGTCATTCGATGCGGCTTTTTTTTCTGATTCTAATGGCAGGAAAAAGTCACTTTAGGTATTTTGTCTACTTACAGCAAATATGCTTTCCTACGTCGATATATATTATATTTTAATATAGAAATATAGAAGATGTATTAGGTAAGATAATTTTAAATCATAATAATTTTAGCAATATTTTACTTTTTAAAATTCGACAACCGCAATTCTGGACTGATTTTTCGCAGACAACCCTATACCACCATGTTCAGAATAAAATAATCTTTAATTTCATTTAAATTTCATTCAATAAACAGACCGTTGCAAAATGCTAGTACAGATTTACCTGTTTATACCAGGCAACCCGATAGTTGTGACCGGAAAAGAATGGGCAGCATAAAGTTTGCATATTCTATGGGCTTCATACTTTCGATTGGTATAGAATTTATCTAATAATCATACCGGTGAAATGTTTAAAAAAATATTTTTTTTAAATTATTAATTAAACATACTCTGGACTAAAATTTGCTAGACAACCCATATGGATTATATTTATTGACATATTAAATTTAATATAAAATACGTTTCATTAAATAAGCATCTCGGTGAAGGTCGTTGTATAGCGGGATCTTAGACCATAAGGCCCATGTTCTTATGCGTATCTCAAGTGACAATATCGTCTTGAGCGCTGTCATATATATGTCAAACATCATACAGAAAAAATGGTTAGACAGTCGTTCAAAGAAGATTTAATTTCAATTGAAGATCTAGTTCTTGGGGTAAGTTCTGGGCGGATAATTCAAAAAGGAGACTTGACGCCGTACGTCAGTCTGGTTTCTGAATCTGACATTTAGATCCTTAAAACATTAATCAAACTCAAATATTGTCTTCAGATCATAATATATAACACACAATATAAGTTTGTGACCTGAGATATGTCTTAGATTACAAACCATAGTAGCCAAACTATGGCCTAAACTGATAAACGAAAAAGAATAAGCTGCGGCTAGAAAAACTCAACAATTTTACATCCTCATAATTAGTCTACTGACAAGCCAAAGATCATAATTGCATTGTCATTGCAAAACAATAATAAAAATGTATTATGTCTCTATTTGTATGTAGATAAGATCATAAAATGTAAACAAAAAGTACCTGTAGTTTGGAAGACATAATCTTTATCTTGTCCTTATCAGAAATATCAAATATTGTTGATATCACACCACAGTATACCAAAATATTTATAATAACACCTTGGCTGAAAAGTAAAACAAATTATGAATAATGGGAAAGTTCTTAAATCTCCAATCTATGGATTCTGAGATAGTCAGACATATAAACTCACAAAATCCAAAACATTATGCTAGCCTATTTGGATATTGATTCTACAGAAGTCTTACTATGTGTCTTGGCATGACTCAGATGTTGCAAAAACTAACCCAGACAGCACAAACTTATAGCTCTCTCTCACTCAACCACTCTCCTCTTTATTTTGTCATCACATCATTATGACAGTAACATTTTAAGTAACTCGATTAGGCATAAAATCAGAACATCCATTAAAATATTAAATACATATTCACAGCTTATATAATATTATAATAACTATAAGTACTTACAAGAATGAGAAGAAAACTACAGCTTTGATGCATAGAAATTTTCCAATAGGCTTCATTGGTTTTAACTCTGTCCTATTTGCTCTGTAAAATAATACTAAACAATACATAGCCACAAATTGTGACAAGTTATTAATTGCTACCATGTAAGGGAAAGCAACATTTGCACTGAAGTCACTTTCTCCATAGACACCACAAAGTTCACATATCATTGAGATGACTGTTGTCAGAGGCCTCACAAGTGTGTACTGCAAAATCCCATGCTTGCAGTTATGAATAAATTCACTGTAAAATAATAATTCATATTTATTTTAAACATTCAATTGTTTCTAATGCATTCCTCGAACATTAATAAATTCCTATTATGCCAACTCCTTAATTTTAATTTAAAAAAAGGCAACAAATGTATGAAGAGTTGATTAGTTTATTTAATTCTTACATGTTAGATAAATTCAATATAAACATAATATTATACCTTCCCGTTAAGTTAGTCAGTCAAAATTAATTTATTTCTGTTGGGGTAGAGACTAACAAAAGCCTACTAATATATACCTTAGTTTTAAATATTTTGGTTAAAAGAAATTTATAGTTTTCATATAAAAATGTTTTACTATTATTTAAAATTGAATTTATATTCTAGAATTTAAAAAGGTTAAATAACAATTCATCTTACACAGGATATCTGTGTCCTGGCTACTGATAAAACTGTTTCATCTATCTTTATCAAAAATTCCTATATTAATTAACTTGATTATAATTTGTGTGTAATTATTTATAAAAGCATCAAAACTTGTTTTATACAATTTCTTGTTTAGTTCTGCTACTTGTTTGAGAATCATATATAATTATCATACATGGCCACATCAAAATGCAAAGTCAGCCTTAACATAATTTGGTACTTAAACTTTCAAGACAAGTTTTTAATACAACTAAATAGGTCTAAAATGAAACTGCTTTTAAGTTTAAAAATGTGATATCTATTTAACTGTACTGTGTATAAATAGTAGAATTTTTAATAAATAGACTTTTATCTATTAAAGACTATAACCATAGAACAATAAATTGGTAATGTTTAATTTATTTAGAATTTTTATATCTATCTAAGGTCATTTAATAAATTAATTAAAAAAATAAGAAAAGATTTTTATAACAAAAATGTAAATTAAGGTATTTAATCCCTAAAATTGACTTACCGTCCCATTTGCCAAGGAGCCAAACAACACAAAGGGAATATATGATACACTTGAGGCTTTAACTCTAATAATTCTTCTAAATCATTACCATCATTGAGGTAATTAAGTAAATACTTCATGAAATTATATATAACATATGCTTCATAACACTCTCTTAGGGAGTCCATATATATAGACTGTTCAGGAAATTCTAGGCCAAGCCAAGCATTTAAGGCATAAATTGGTACCATCCATAATATTCTGCAACAAGTAAATCATGTAACAAAAATAATAAAAAAGGTGACAAAATTAATTATGCAATGTTAGAAGTGCTACATTACTTTTTAATAAAATAGTTCTTAGTTCTTATGACAGCAATAGTTTATTGAATCAGGATAAACATGGAATGTAAACACTCACCGAATAATATGTTTTTGTAATGATGGTTTAGTGTAGTGTACTATGTGTTGTGTAATTTGCCAAATTGATATTGGCACAGCCAAGAGTACGAAGCCCCCAGCAACCAACGTTCCTTGATCAGATTTTGTAAATCCATTTTCTATAGCATGTACAATTAGTGTTGGCACTAATACAATTACCAATACTATATATGTCGCAATAAAGAAAGGCCTGATCCAAAGTCGCCACTGGCTAAAAAATGATCTCACTGGCTCCGTGCACATATTCGTTGATTACTATGGAATTTTTCACAAAAAATACCTACACGGAAAGTCACTTTCATCTGATACTCTAAGCAAATCGTTACGCATGTGAATACACTTAATACATTAACATAAATTTAGCAAATAAAATAATTATTAACTTTAATTATTATTACTATTAGTAGTATATTGAATTCGAAATTATTACAACAATGTACACATTTACTAAACAAAAAGAATTAAAACAGTACATAATAATAATAATTATTATTAACTAAGTTTGAATCACGATCTCGCAATTTTATCATTTTCCTCAATTTAAACTGTCGTAGTATATGTCATTGTCATAAACTTATATGTCATTTACAAGGCTGATTGTTGTCGTTTTAAATTGAGTGTTGATGCTGGACAGATTATTGATGAAAATTATTCTAAATTAAATATTTGTAAATAATATTGCTATGACATATAAACATAAATATATAAAACTGTCACAATTTTAAAATTGCTGTGGTACCTCCATTTTATTTAGAATCGAGAGACGAGAACAGAATAATAAATAATGCAACTACAATTACAAAAGGGATGTGATAGATTAAGATCTCAGTAAATTGCGGTATTAGTATTGTTGAGTATTACGTAGTATATAAGTACATATTTTGGTTGTTTTATTTTGACCTTTTCTTTTTTCATTACTTCTCAAAATAAACTTTAGTCTTTATACCTACCTATCTAGTTTTTTGAAAAGGTCACTACTCAGCTATCGTCAGTCGTCACCTTCATTCATCATTGTTCCCTTGGCCTTCGCTGGCCACTGGTAATGAAAAATATATGTGAATTATACAAAAAAAAAACAGATGGAGGACGTTTCTACTAGAGATATTTAGAAAAGTTATATGTAAAATATTATAAAGCTGCTCCTAATCGATTTAATTCATAAATGATATTTAAATATTGTTAAATACTCTAACTTACACTATCTAAATCACTTACGAGAATTCCCGATGATTACAGACGTAAAGCGTGCTTAAAAGTCACATTAACATTTTGTCTAATGTATCAAACCTAATAAATTACTGTCCCAATTAAGTATTATACTAGTATCGTGAAGTAAAACTTTGCTGTTTTCGTACTTGGTTATCTGTAGACCTGAAGAGTGTAGTGTAGGTATGTTAGCCGTAGGTATCTAGATTTATAGTTGGCCATTAGATAGTTCGACGGAATGGGTTTCATAAAAATAATAAATTAGTAATTTTATTGTAAATAAAATATTTTCTGTGATTTTAATTAAAATTAATGTATAAATTGTTAATAACTAGAAGTGGAAGCCCACTTATTCGTGCATTTACAGTTATTCGCGTAACACGTATTTTGTGCATAGAGTTCAAGTATTGAATTAGGCCACATAGCGATCTCTCCCTAAAATACCGCTGTTCTGGCTGTCGCGTGTCTACGTATTAAGACGGACTTGCAAGTAAGTGTATTAAAGTGATTAATAAGTGCAAATAAAACTAAATAACATGGTTTAAATAAACATTTAAATGTCGTGGATCGTGAATAGGAAAGATAGTGTTAGCAAATCATTTTATTCGTATGTTTTCGTAAATAGGTCACCTCGCCATTCTTCAAGAAAAGGTTGCTAGGTGTATTCTCTCCATCAGATAGGAGTCTTACTTGTTCTTATTATTGTATAAAGGAACATTTTGAATATAAATACGCCTTAATTCTAGATAAGTGAGGCGGGAGAGTGATGATCAAAAGGCCGTGAACTAATGTGATGTCATCAAAAGGGGAAACAGAGGCCGATTCTGGCACGGTGTCGCCAAATACATTACCTGTTAAAAATGAACCGGTTAGTAAGTCCATGTAATACAAAAACATATCCCAGTGTGCATAGTAAAAGTGGGACAGTTCACAGTTATTTAAGCTCAAGTGTTGATTTCATAGTGGTTTCCATCAATTTCATATTATGTTTATGTTTTACATAGCCAGCAAAAAAAAGTGTCATCTTTTTTGTTAGTATCTAAAAAGTTGGGAGTCCAAACTTATACTTACATAAAATAATATCTTAAATATTATTAACTAAAGATAGGGTAATAAATAACCTTAATTTTTTTCATATTTGGAACCATCCTTAAAACAAACCCTTGATAACTTTTTAATGTTCGGTAAGATTTAATTTTATATAACTAAGTTTAACAGCTGATCTAGCTGTTTCAGAATGTAATACTTATCCTATTGTAAACATATAATATTTAGCATGTTTTTATTAATTAGATGTAATAATTTACTCTTATTATTTTATCTTTTCCCTATGAGGTCAATCTAGTTATCAAGGGAATTCATGGCCTTGAATTAACATAATGTAAAAAATTGTGCTATAAATGTGATATCTAGGACAAGTTTTGTTTTATATTTTTAGTTATTTATCTTGAATAGAATTTGTTATATTAATTTAACAGGTATCACTATTATGATAGCCACTACACATATTGCCACAAGTACCACTATGAATATTTCTCACAGAGGATAGGATCGAAATTGTTATTTTTGATTTTGTTTTTGTTCTAGTTTGCATAAAATTTTAAGCTAATGTCAGATGCACAGAATTTTGCTGGCTATATTTTTTAAAAATAATTTCATCTTGTATTGTGTATGTTTATTTTGCCATTGGCAATCTCAGTAAAAAGTTCTGTAATATATACATGGTAAAAGAAATACTGCACATTTCACTTGAATGTGAGTATTACTTTAGGTAATACTTTGGAAACTAGAAGGAAAAATGCATGTTTCAGGTGGCGGCACCAAGTAAGGAGACTCCCAAACGAAATAATAGTACATTATTAAAATGTACAACATGTAATAGCTTCAGTACACTAAGTACTCGGGCTCTAAACACTCACATGGCTCAGTGCTCCCCAGATAACAATAATGTGGCCTCGGCTCAGAATAATGATGCCAGGCCGCACAGAAAACTCTTTGAGTGCGATGTGTGCAATATGAAATTCTCCAACGGCGCCAATATGCGTCGCCATAAAATGCGACATACTGGTGTCAAACCTTATGAATGCAGAGTCTGTCAGAAGCGATTCTTCAGGAAAGATCACTTAGCTGAGCATTTCACAACTCATACAAAAAGCTTGCCATATCATTGTCCAATTTGCAATCGGGGTTTCCAACGCCAGATCGCGATGCGCGCCCATTTCCAGAACGAACACGTAGGTCAGCATGACCTTGTCAAAACTTGCCCTCTATGTAGTTACCGCGCGCCCACTATGAAGAGTCTTCGAGTACACTTCTTTAACAGGTAACTTTCATTTTTATGAATAAGTTATTATATCATGACTAGGGGATTTTTTTTTTATAAGTATATATTTTTGTCCTAAAAATATCTCTATCATAGTTAAGCAACTAACTAGAATAAAGTTTATGTAATTAGTAATTACATAATTCCTGTATGAAAATTCTCATAAATAGTGTTTGACTGTAAATCTTCCTTAATATTCTTCTTCCTTAATTATTATATATAGCTTATAATTTTATACAAAATTTTCAGACACGGTATTGATCTCGACAACCCAGGCCCTGGGAATACCTCTGTTTCCCTCTTGGCTGCTGGAATCGCAAATGCAGCATATGGTGATGGTACAATGGACCCTAGTACACTAAATGCATTGGGTGCTCTTGGATCCGGACTATCGGTATCAGTTGCGGCAGCTTATTCAGATAGTGGTGACAGCAACGGAGAGAGATCGGTTGACAATGCGACACCACCCATGCACTATTTGACCCCTCACGTTGAAATATCAATGGCAGACAATAATGAAACATTTTCCCCTGGACAGACAAGTCATATGGGCAATTCAGGTGATTATAACTTCATAGTACCTAGGTATAATCAATGCATAGTATAATATCATTAGTTTTTCCTTTTATCTTGTTTTCCTTTAAATGTAAAATATTAGTCTATGTTCCATATCTATGTGTTTTACCTAAACCTGTTTTGTAATAGCCGTTATAAAAAGAGGTTTTCTATAATTATCTAGGTCAAATGTTAAAATAGATTGATGTAATTTGTAACTTGATATATTTTTAAATCTAATATATAAAATTCTCGTGTCGCCGTGTTTGTAGTTAAACTCCTCCGAAACGGCTTGACCGATTCTCATGAAATTTTGTGTGCATATTGGGTATGTCTGAGAATTGGACAACATCTATTTTTCATCCCCCTAAATGTTAAGGGTAGTCTACCCCTAAATTATTATTTTTTAATTTATAGATAATTTTTTTTATGATACAGCATTAAAAATACATACAACCCCTAATTTTCACCCCTCTACGATCAACCCCTATTTTTTATTATAAATGATATACATGGCAAATCGACGTTTGCCAGGTCAGCTAGTATTTTATATAATATGAAGCTAAGCTTTGATATTTGATCTACCTGAATATATCTGAAGTTTCTTTTTAAATATTATTTATATAGAAACAAATGGCTAACATAACATAAATCAAAATTTAACAAAAAAATATATGCTTTTTTCTGAAATCAAAGGTATACAATGGACGAGAAGATACTCTCTGTAACCCTTTAAATCCCCAAGATTTTTGTTTAAGGGGCTGGAATCTTATATCATGCCTCTCATGCACCTTTATAAAATTGTTATAAAAATTATATTACATTCAACCTTTATCAGAAATAGGTAATATGAAATAAGAGCATATACATTACCGTGGGAAAGTCCCAAACATTTATCTTTTGTTAAGCTTTATAATGGTAATAATTTCAGATGCCCGTGTGAATGGGGAAGGTCCCAGTTCACCCCAGTCAGGAGATAGCGCAGTGGCAAGTAGCTCACTCTCCGCAGGCCTGCCGACTAACATCACTCCATCAATCACACTTATACCTATTAAACAGGTCGGTATGATTATATATTTTACATATTTACTTATTTGTAGGTACATAACACTTAGTTATTAAATGAAACTAAAATTACTTTTCGTGAGTTAATATCCTCATTGATTATTCTACAGTGAATTATAAAACATGATTGACTTTGTAATCGGAAAGGTTCAACAATAAAATATAAATCTATATTAATAAAAATGAATTGCAAAATATATTGTTAAGCGCAGAACTTGAAGACGCCTGGAGTATTTTTTTATATTTATTCATTAAAGTATGAGAAAAGTCTTTAATATCATAGACAATGTGTGGGTAATATCTGTAAAAAGTAAATAATTACAGTTGAAGTAATCACAATATATTATATATGGGAGCGTTCAAGTATTACGTCACGCAATTTTTGGAGATTATTGACCCCCCTCCCCCCATGTAATGCGCCGTAACGTTTTTCTGTACCCAAGTATATCCCCGCCCCGCATCGTAACGTTTTACAAAAGGACCCCCCCCCAAATTCGTTACATAATACTTGAACGCTCCCTAATAAGACAATCAGAGACCCCCCCCTCACCCTACAGTCCTTACCTAATATTTGAACGGCACATAAAGCGAAACTAAGCTCGTGGGGGCGCTATATGCTATATGTAAATAATAATAATTTTTATAAATAATTTTTACTGATAATTACATAAAAAATATCACTCAATAGTTAAAATATATATAATTAAGACTTCGTCTGCTTTTTGCTTGAAATTGATAAACACAGGACGGTCAACATTATTCAAGACTTGACCCATATATCTTGTGGTGTTAACCCATAGATAAGATTTTTTCTAAATATTTGTATATCCAATACTATGTTCAAGTAATGGATGTCTATCAAAACAAGACTTTTGCCAAATGTTTTGACGAAATATAAATTAAATGACATAAGTTTTAAGAAACTTATGAAGGGTTTTTGCTTAAAATATTTGACAAGATATTAACAAAATACTAGTTCTCTATAATAAGACCGCAATAGTTTTACAGCTTGTCGAATGGTAACGTACATGACATCCGTTAGTTGAATATTTGGACCGGGTGTACTAAATGTCTGAAATTGGGTGTTTGGGGTAATTTTAGGAGCCAAATGCGGAAGAGAATGCCGGTGAAGATGGGAATGGCGAAAAACGAGACGTTAAATCGAGTCTCAATTCCCTTATAAAGGTTTCGCCGCTCAAAAGCCTCCTTAGAGAAGACTTACGCCGTAGAATCTCAGCGCGTGGACGCTCGCGTGGCTCAAATGTTAGTATTAACGCCCGGTTCCAATATTTAACTAACGGATGTTTGGTATACTTGTATTTTGTGTATGTTTTATGGACATTCGTTGGTTGAATATAGGTATCGCATGCATGAAAGATTTTTTAAAGTTTGTTATTTTATTATTTTAGTTTAAGGCAAATCATTTTTGAGTTTTCGTACCACGTAACTTCAACATTAATTCTACGGGTATTGAATATTGAATCGGTTTTTAGATTAATTATATGGATTATCATTAGATGACGTCAGTATGGTTCCTTGGAACTTAAATGCTTGTCAATTATTGAAAAAAAATTATTGAGTTATTATTATTGATCGCTGTTGAGGTTACGTGGTTTTAATTTTTGTTGAAAGTCAAAAAGTTACAGTTCATAGTTTCAAGTAAAAGTTTTGTTGGAATTAATTAAGTTTTTAAGAATTGTCAAACCATTCTCTATCTTTTTGGTACAAAAATCCAGCATTTAAATATTGACCTTAAGACCATTTCAATAAGTTTTACTTTTCATTAGCCGTAGCTAACAACCCACATAGCGACCACGATTTTATATTTTTTCCTTACCTTATATTTTATAAATGATTGAATCGATAAATGAGCGAAAGATGAAATGTTCGTCAATTGTCATTTGTCAACGGCAGCGTTAGCCCGTTGACACGTGTCATTCGTCATATAACGTCCGTTTGACAACTCAAACGCATGATTTTGTCTGTCCTCTATTCGCCCTCTTGGAGCGGGATTAAAAGAACTGGTTAAGAGCGATCAGGCTGATGATCTTTGCCCCACATTTAATTATTTCCTTCTCTTACAGTAACTTAATACTCAATATTTTCTTTAACTCAAGTAATAAGCATACGTTAAACGACAAAGCTCTGACCAGGCTGTCTTCAGGCAATCTTTCCAGCTTTGTTTGACCAATTTTAATTTTTTATTAAAATCTAATAAAATGATTACAGGCTCGTGCATCACCAAGCGAAGGCGGCATGATAACGTCCACTCACGGCGACGCCCTACTACCATCTTCCCTTGTCTGCACATTCTGCTCTATCACATTCCCTGATTCGACTCTATATTTCCTTCACAAGGGTTGCCATTGCGACTCAAATCCATGGAAATGCAACATTTGCGGCGAACAATGCTGCAATGTTTACGAATTCAACTCGCATCTACTGTCCAAAAGCCACCAATGACTGTTTGCTGGGGGGACGCAATGATATAAGCACTACACGTGAGCGATTCGAAGGTATTTATCTCTCTATCTAGGAAGATCTTCGAACTGCTGATACGTCCCCCCGAAGCTGAAGTGGAAGCTGGTATGGTACTTTAAATATTTCTCTCAAATGGTTAATTTTCATGTGTTCCTTTTGTGGAAAGGAATGCCGTTTATACATGTTCCAAATTCAAATTTTAATGTATTGTCTTGTTATGAATGGATAAGAAAGGGACAGCAGTATCGGAAACTAATGTTTACTTTGAGTGCAATGTTCCAAATTTAAATTTATTGTAATGTAGTATTGGATGTTATGAATGGAAATTATTATGCTTTGATTGGCAATGTTCCAAATTTAATTTATTATTTTGATGTAGGACGGTAATACTTGTTCGGTGGAAATGTGAACTATAGATTGTACTGTATTTGTTACCATAGTGAAATTTTTTCTATATAAATGGTAAACACGGTATTATCTTTAGTGCATGTCTTATAACAAGGTCAGATATCGTTCAAACTTGTTCCAAACTGTTTTTGTTACATCTGTCTAGCTTTTTCTAAATTAGTATGAAGAAGACGGGAATAGAATATGGACGCGTTTTTTTAGGTTGCGCGTGTTTTGTACTGCTGAACTTATAACAGTGTTAATAAGACAGATAAATTAAAATGTAAAGTTTTATTATAGATTTATAGAATAGACTATGTCAGTTGTCAAAACAGACAGTTGAAGCAAAATTTAGCGTTGTATGTCAAATATTGCTTTACGACAATTTGAATTTGGAACATAGCTCTCATTTGAAGGATCATACTGGTTTACCAAATTGTGGTGCAAGTAAGGATATTTTTATGGATATTTTAGTACTTAATCGGTTTAATTAGATAGTGTTTGGGACCTGTCGGAAATTATCGAAGTGAAATTTAAACATTCCGAATTGCAACGAGTGCATTCCATTTAATGAGATTGACTTATAGCCTCTGGCGGGGATTATTGTTATCATAAAAGATTTTATTTATTTATTTTGTGTACTTATGTATAGTGATATACAAATATCTATTGTGGTGCGATAGTGAATTTTACAAATGTTTAATGCATGTACAAATTAATATATTTTTACATTTCACTATTCAATATTTTATTATGGCAAAGCCTAAATGTGATGACCGGAATTAAAAAATTTCCGTTTCTATTTATTTTCTACGCATATGATGCAAGTCCACGACTATACTTAATGTACAAGTTGATTTTTGTTGTTATTTTATTTATATTCTAAAATGGGATATCGTACTTAAGTGGTCCATGAATCATGATTTAGTTGAAAGTATAGAGAATCCACACGTATGGTGAGGCGAATAGCTAGAAGAATTTCTACATCCCTATCTAGCGCTTTTACCGCTATCTAGCGGAATCTCGTGTTGAAATTGAGTGTCAAGACTGAATGTCTCTCTTGGATTTGTCAGCGCTTAAATAACTTAAGCGGCCAATCTAGCGCTTTAGAACCTGAGCGGTGAGTTATCCAGAAACAGCGGATCTGTTATCTTGGGCGTTTCTTTAGCGTTTAAATCTAGCACTTTTTTCGACTTTCATATTTGTATTTCAGCTAGGTAACACTTTCGCTTTTCTCTTCAATCATCAAAGAAGGTTTAGCGCTGAGTTATGGATAAACAGCACAGCACATAATCAGTGCCTTTTAAAGCACTGTTTTAAAGCGCTACATTAGAATTTAGCGCTGACTTTCACTTTTTTACTTTCGTATTTTTAGTTGCCAACACTGCTATTTTTTCCCTTCATTCGCCTCACTATTCAGCGAGTGTGTAGACGCTCTGTATAATATTGCTCAATACTTTCAAGGCTCAAGGAGTGGGTTCAATTCGGTGCAAGCGATTCGCACAAAATTATCTTGTAACATTGTAATTCGTGCTTTTTGGTGCACCCATATATATACCCTCGTAGGTATTTCGAATTGGTAATTTAAAACTACTTAATATAAGCGATATAACAGCTATTAATTATTGCGCCAAATGTGCTCAACAGAGAAATATTTTATGCAAATTATTTATTAGAGAAAATTTAAGATATTTAAATGTTATCAGATTAATATATTATTTATGAGTTCTAATGCAGTTATACAATCATTCTATAGTCTATTGAGCTTCTAAGCATTCCATTTTTAATTAAGATTGTATTGACTGCATTGGGGTTAGTTTCGGTACTTGCAGGTGAGTTTTGGCTTACAAAACATTCCTTATAGTATAAACGATAAGTACTTAATATCGGTTGTGGTCTTGCCTGTTAAGTTAACGAAATCGTTTAGATGGAACTGAAATTGTTAACCAACGAAGTGTCTAATGTCTGTACGTTTAAATAAAATACTGTTAAAACGAAATCATTAATTTAAAACTTAAACATCTACCCTCACACTGACTTTTACTGACATTTGATCGGATCTATAAGTTATTATTAGCCTACTTAATAGTTGTTTATGAAGGATTTTAATAACAGTATTTTGTTTAGATGTCATTGTTTTGTTTTAAATGCTATTAGTGTAAGAGCCGCAGCGCGCGGTGACGTCCAAAGGACCTAGTGAGTTACCTGATGGAACAACACATATTTATTATTTATTATATAGATACATTTATCCTCTTTGTTGATTTTGTTGTAGACTTGATGTTTTTCGGTCCCTACCGTCGCGCCGTGGCTTAGCTTAGGGAAGTTTACCAATAGATGGTAACCCCATTGGGCGCCTTCACTTAATCCGTCCACGTCTAAAGATAGATATTGCCTTTACTATTTAATAGAGATAATATATTTATAAGAGTTAGATAAGAACAGATAAGTGAAAATATTTACAAATAACAAGAGGTTTAATTAGTTTAGAGAATTGAAGGTAGGTTTCGATTTTTGGATGTTGCGGTTTTGATGTAAATGCTTTATCGTGTGGTAGTATCTTAGTTGTCGTGATTGATCATTGTCAATTTATTACGATACAGAGCAGTATTTAAATCATCCAATATATAAGTCAAACGTGAGTTAAATATAAGATTTTTGGCCTTGATTTTTCAATTGTTACACTGTGACTTACATCTTTAACATTTGAAAAATTGGCCCTCAATTTGTAATTAAGTGCATATGAGAATGTAGTGTATTAGCAGGGGCAAGAAAGCAATTTTCAAAGAAAAGAACACAAAGTAATATTTCAAATAGATAAAGACTTGTACGAGTATAATTAGCTCTTGTTTTCTTGTCTCTGACACTATGGTTTTACTACATTCCATACTTTTTGACCTGAAATTGATGCCTTAATGGGCCTGTAGGCTAGAATTGAGTTTAATTACGTTCATTCATTTTATTCATAGACGTATCGTAGAATAGCAGTCCTCACCTTAATACCAAAATACAGCTTACCAACATTTAATTTTTTTTGTTTTAGTTGTTATGTGTGTAACAATGTAGTTAAGAATAAAACATTACGGTATGTAGATGGAGAAGATCGTTGATATTTTGCTGTTAAATTTATTGCGTTATAATATATTAATCTTATTTCTAATTATTAACGTACTAATAAGTTAGAGGGGATAAAATTTATGAGAAACCAACTTTGTAACCTGAGTGATAGTAAATGATATCATAGAAGATTGTGCCTTAGATCAGTAATAAATTAAATTGTTTCGAAATTTATATTAAAGAGTATTTAGATGTGTGTGTTAAACTGTTCTCACAGATATATTTACACAAAGTTCAATGTTATTTATTTATATAGCGCAATATTTGCAAATGGCTGTTTAGCTTGTTTTTATGGTAAAGTTTATTTGCAGTTGTGAATGTCATCTTGTTACAAAATATTGTCTAGGTTTTAAAAGGATTGGTACTTATTACCGAATATTGTAATTTATTTACTTATAATAAAATAATTTGGTAAAGGGTCTAATAAAATATGAGATAAAATGGTGGTTTTTATTTATTGTGGAAGTAAATGAAGTTTTAGATACATTGCAACACAAATTATATATGTCTCGTTGCATCCAATCTGTAAAGTTATAAGATCCCAGCTCTGACTGGACAGACAGAAGTCATAGTAGCAATAAGTCTAGTAGGTATCTTACCTTTTAAAGGGCTGCAGGGTCACATTGCAAGTGTCACTGATGCCATTGTCACTAATATTGCCGGAAGGTGCGAGTGCGTTACCGGGCTTTCAGAAATCAGAACGCTCTTTTCTCGACACTAAGTCGCATCTGTAATTACTGAACAGTTTTAAAAGGATTCTAGGGCTGTTTTTTATGGGATGTGCAAACGAGAAGGCACTTAGAAATAAATGCTTTAGGGAATGTTAAGCTCTAAAACTCCTAGCAAAATAAAATACGTATTTTAAATATCAATGTATCGTAAATTACTATGTATTATAAACTATATCACAGATCATGATATAAAATATAACCTGTACTTTTACCATTTACAAAATAGGACATTACCTGTTGACGGTAAATTGTCAGTTTCGTCGGTTTAATTTGACAGTAGAGTTGTTGTCCCAAAAAAGTTTTGACTAAACTTTTTGTAAAGTTATTAATTAATAATTTATGTAGTTTTGCGAGTGCGTTTAAGAATAGTTATTTCTAAAAAGTGTGATGGGAAGGAGCACGCAGGTCGATGGCGACAATAATCCAACATCGGCAGAGTCAGATCCTGCAAAGCTGCTTGAAGCTGCTCTAGAACAGATGGATGGAATCATAGCTGGTTAGTTTCTGGATTACAAAATATAGTAAACTCTTAACCACTGTCAAAAGCCCATTACTTTACTAATCCATTTGTTTTAAGTTCAAATTAATCCTAACTTCATTAAAGTAATAGGGAAAGTTTTCTACAAACACTACAAACTGTTAATTCAACTTTTAAACAAAGTAATTTGACTAAAAATTGGTTTATTTACACAAGAAACACAAGGTTAATAATTTTGATGAGATAAGATTTGCACAATGAATAGTATAGACTTTTAGTTATCTTATTAGGTCATGAACATCTATGTTTAAAGGTTCAATTTAGTTTTTATAAAGTATGATTCATTAAAATCATATGATCAAGCTTCATTGAAGTCACAGTCTTTTAGGATGGTTTAAAACTAGAACTCTCCATAGTTTAGTTATTTTGCAGCAATAAGTTATCTAATAAAAGGTATTGAGCCGAACCACAGATGATTTTGTTGATTGGCATGATATATTTTTGACAGTAATAATAATTGAATTTGTTTCCAATGCTTCAACTGTAAACAAAATTAAACATTTCTTCTTTTTTTTTCTGTTTGAGTTTGAGTGTTTGAATAAATTGTCATTTAGGAATTCGTAAAAATATACATTCCTATTTCAATGGTCATTGGTATATAATAACAAAATTACATGATATAAAATACTTTTATCATGCCTTTATTTAAACTATTTACTGGTAATCGCAGTTACTTCAAATATTTTGAACACACACTAAGTTCAAATTACTGACAGCAACAAAATTTAAACCAGCGGGTGAATGCAGGGGAGCAAGGGGTGCTAACTGTTGAACAGAGGGTGAAATGGCGCCAGTCGGCCGCAACACGCGTGTCGTTCGCACGTGTCGTTTGAGACATACGCGTATTTCGCGAAAAAATCAAATAAATATATTTTAATTAATAAACCATTGTTAAGTAACATGAAAAAAAAGTATTATGTAGTTGGATTTATAGCTATTTTAAATATATTTATGTACACTTTATATTAAATCTGACGTTTTCAGTTTTTATTAAACCTAAATGAAAGAGTAGTTTATTAAATAAAATATTATAAAATTTTCTATAACATAATTATTATCAAATTTAAATCAGATTACAGTATAATTCAATTAATTAATCGTCTATCTTATACTAAACAATTAACATTTCTTTTATTATCTGTTCTACTTAAAAATAATACAAAATCTTCATTTTAACTACATCAGGTTTATTTCTTGAACAACCATAAGAAAAATAATAAGAAGATTACTATAAAAAATACGTTATTATAGCAGGCCAAAACTCAAAAGGCACAATTGGAGGCTTTCACATAAATGAAACAGAGATAGAAATATATACGCAAAGAAACCAGGCTGGATAGAGAATTTAATCTTACTTGGAATGTAATGCTCAATTTTTCCGACATCGCTTATCACAGACGTTTTATCAAATATTTACTTACGGATCTAATGTTATCCTTAAGGTTTTGTTGCTTACTCAAAACTTTAATTCTATACAGTAATAAATTTCAATATTAATTAGTACTTCCTCGGGGAAAATATGTAAAACTTATGTGTAGGTATTCCTTCGTATACATAAGTTCGTTCGTTCGTTCTCTTTTGTTTGACTTTCTACAGCAATGTCTAGTGTCTGCCATTCAACAGGTTTGTGTTTTTCACACGGATGTCGATCAGAACACCCCATTGACCCCAGTCCCTATTGTTCGTGAAGGGGCGAGTAATCCCGATAAGCCGTATTGTGTGTGGTATGAGGAAGACGTCTGATATTTTCTGAGCTGTAGTAAAAAGTCTAGTCTACGATGCATATACAGTGGTATTGTAGTCACGAGTTTCATCTAAAGCACGAGTTACATCGGGCAGAGCTTTGAAATGATAACTAAAGCTTTAGGATTAGGTTTTATATGCTAGTACTGAATATATTTTTAAGTGCCGTCTATTGTGTTTTTTTCATTATAATAATCAAAAGACACTAATTTATCTTACACTTTTTAAATTTAAAAACTTTGGTCCCTGTAGCGGGGTACATTTAGCTGGCAGCATTTCCTCGCTGTATTGCGATACTAATCGTTGAAGAGCTATTTAATTGTTATGTACTTCATGTTTTTTTAATTTTATGATACTATGATTTTCCAGTCCTAGATTTGTTTTAATAGTGTAACGGTTGATAACAAATAGTGGTGCTGGTGATGTGAATTGTGAGTGATGCCGGGGTGTTGGCAATGGCCGAACCACGTGACGAGGTGTTGGATGTTCGATGTCTGTGGCCATGGGCTCTTCGATGTTGAAGCCGAGTCGCAGATACCGCAACGTATGTTTTTTTATAAAATAATTAATGTAGAAAAAAATATACGGTACTATATGTAAAATAAGGTACATATATGTTTATTGATTTTTGTCTATTACGATTTTAGCGCTTATTTTCATTTTATTATGTCTATCGGTGACTTGTACTGAACTATTTACGAGAAAAAAATAGCTACATTAAAGTTGATAACATTGAATAACTGTCTAGTTTATTTCCGAAACTGTAAATTTCAAATCTGCCCTTTCACTTAGGCCTTTTCTCCACTGCTCCGGTCCGGCGTCGGATACCGGAATGAGTCATGAGAAAAATATCGGAAGGCCGGACTGCACTTCTCCACTATATCCGATCCGATAATAATCGATACTTGTAAATTTATCATGCAACACTTATATTAACTAAAACCCATATACCTACTTTACTTTTTTAATAAAACGTTCTAACTTCTGAATATTTTATTGCCTTGGCAAGTTTATTACTTTTTTATATTGTCTATCTTGAAATATTATAATCTTCTTAATAAATAGTTCACTAATACTATGGTATAAAAATAGAAATAAATAGCAACATAATTTGGTTTGGTCCAGGTTATCCAGATTCTTTCAAATTAAAGAAACTATAAATAAACCTATGAATAATAATTTATAACCTCTTGGATATACTTGGACCGATAATACACCGCGTTCCGATCTAGCAAGTTATCGGATCGTTAAAAACCGGATGGCGGAGTAGTGGAGAAGCACGTAAGTACTGTTGTGAGTTTCTAAATCGGATCGGTAATTAACGTTTGCCGGACCGGAGCAGTGGAGAAACGGCCTTACTAAGATACTTTTGACTTATAAAGGAAACATTTATATGTAATTTCAAGTAGGTACTAAGAAATTGCACCTATGGGATCCCTTTATAGGGTTGTTCATAACAATCATGACTTATGACTTAAGTAATAATGTCTTGTTTACTGTCGTGTAATTAGTTGAGTTTACAAAATTTTGGTTGAGAATGTTTGTAACCTATAATATATTTTATTACCAAATCTCCAGTGAAAAGATTTAGCAGCTTTAGGTTCGATAAAATCTATGGTTATATATATATATATATATATAATATATAACATAAAGCTTTTTCATTACGCTTTAAAAGTAATTACAAATAGTAATGGCAAATACAACATTTATTTTATAAACAATAATGTTGTACATGAAAATTCCGCAGCAAAGCTGCAATTCCCTTTAAAAATATCGTACTAGATATCCGCAATGTAATGAAAAGAAAAACCTGATGGCGTGTTTTTTGTTTTCGTGCCCGAAGCGAGAGAGTCATTGTTCCATCGCGGGTACAATTCCCTCGTTCTGTTATTTCTGCAACTGCAATAATTTCGACGACATTCCAATCACTATGCTGAAAATGTTTACATACAATTGCGAATCTAATCGTTAGGTCTGGGAAACATTGACTTGGGTTCAGTCTCTGAATCGTGTGTTACTACGAATAATAAATACATGTTTTTCAATGTTAGTTATACTGACGAGTTAGCTGATTTTGTAAACATGCAAAGAGGCCGGCCGTACGAGTAAAGAAATTAATATATTTTTACGAATACACAAAGGACGATAGTAGATATACAATCATATCTAAAAATATTACAAAATACATCTTAGAAAACATGATTTTATTGACAGCACAAATCTACAAAAGCAAGTATTTTGATATGTACAGGAAAGAATAAAAAACTACAAAAATACATCAAATCCAAATCTAATAAAAAAATTTAATAAGGAAAACGAAATGCCTTTTTGAGGGTACTTCCGATTTAACGACAGTTTAAATTAACCTTTCCCATTTTGTCAAGTTAATAGTAAACTTTGGTGGCACGCTAACATGTAATTAAGGATCTGATAATAAAATATCAACAGTAGTGGTATTAAATTGTACGTATACGTAATACGCACTTAGTGCAAACGATCTAAGCTTTGTACAGAACATTTTATATCGCTACATTAAATCTTGCTTCACAGGACCGCAGCTGTGGAACCCGTAAAGTTTTTATTGTAAACTTCCGTGTTCTTGAAATTTGGTAAAGGGCACCGAAATAAAGTTCTTCGGACAATTCGGTTCTAAGTTACTGTCAACTTTGCAAATTCAAAGTCAAAGTCAAATCGTTTATTTCAATTAGACCATCTAAAATGGCACTTTTGAACGTCAAAAAAAAAATATAAAGATGATTCTAGTTGAATTATTTTTGATAAACGCTGCGGGATAAAATGCTTTATAAAATATTTTGAAAGAGGGTATTTTCATTTAAGTAAAGGGTTTTATCTTCTAAATACCATTCGCAATTGCACGTGTGTTATATATATAATAGATATTGTAAATTTAAATCAAAATTAATCATCGTCAATAAAATACTAATTTTATTAGTATTATGTGAGATGAGTGTATAGCATAATCTAATCTGAAATAATCGCGTTTATGATAATGTCCATTTCTTATATAAATTTTATCGATACTTGGGGATAGTTTCCATGAATATCTAAATTTCTAATGTAAGTTTAAATTAAATAAAATTCAAGGTATTTTAGGTTTTTGATAAGTTGCATATTCACAAGTCGGAATTTCGTTGCATTTCAAGCTTCGTAGCGGTGCAAAAGGAATTTCCATCAAGGAACGTCAGGCATTACCTCAGTGTAGTTAAAGCCGATCGATGTATAAGTGTAGACAGCGTGGCAGACATAATCTGATGGCTTTATACCGTATATAGAAGTACTAGGCTTATCTTACAAAAGCATCGAATATTTAAACCCGTTTTAATGTATTAATAAGAGTAAAACTCAAATGTGTTGCAAAAATATTTATTTTAAGAAACAACATTAAGAGTTATTTCAGTTGAAAATCATTTTTATCCTATTTCTTTTATAATCAATCAAAAATGTACTCACAACAAAAACTTCGTTTTCAAATTAAAATGACTAACACATGCATAGACACACCACAGACTAAAAACATAATTAAATGAACATCTGTAAAAATAAAATAGATAATTAATAATTAATTAAAAATTAATTATTTCTTTACATATATGTGAGTTATAATAGTTCGTATGTAAAGGAGGACATGGTCAGGAAACGGAATTTCTTAATCAATAATAATCGATGATGGTAATGATGATGACGGAGGATCGCGATACATGAAACCATGCAGAAATATATAAGGTGTAACCCAGGGCATATGGGGTGGTACTTCATATTATTATAGCTCTGATCTGGCACCTTGTAAACTTAAGTTTATTTAAGCTTAGTGTCAATTTTATTGGGTCACATAGGCTTGTGGCATTATTAAATAACACATTGAGATCTTGCCATTATTCGCCGCCGGCACCGGAGATAATTAACCTATTGTTGCTATATTTTTCCTCACAAAAAGCATTGTACAATATGTTTTATTTATGCCTCTTGTTTCGTTTCCTTTCATAAGAATAATTGAAAATGGATACAATATTTGAATTAAAAACGGCTTATTAAAACGTATATCAATCGACTTAATTACACGATAAATATTGCGATTAAATTAGTTATTCTTCTTATAGTTTATTATCTCCTTGCGAAGGTTGGCGATCATAATGGCTAGTTTTATTTTGGATGCCGCGCTTCTTAACAATGCCTTGGTGCTTTGACCAAACCATTGACTTAGGTTTTTCGTTATTGATACATTTAAACTAGTTATTTATACATTTAAATAAATAAATCAGTGGCGCCTTTACTAGTTATTGATTCAGCCAACTGAACCTTTTTAGGTCTGGGCCTCAGTTGGCTGTATCTGTTTCATGATCATTTTTCAATCTAATAGATAAGTAGATGATCAGCCTCCTGTGCCTGACACACGCCGTCGACTTTTTGTGTCTAAGGCAAGTCGGTTTCCTCACGATGTTTTCCTGCACCGTTTTCCTTAAACATTCGCTAAATTAAATGCGTACATTGAAGGAAAGTCTATTGTACTATAGCTGGGGATCGAACCTATGACCTCGGGGAAGAGCTACTAGCCTAACTCTATTCTATACTGAGGCATTTACAATAGTTAATAATTTATTTTAATAATTATAAATACGACAAATTGCCTCACAGAATGATAAACAATCATATTTATGAGGGGTTTATTTCACCCGCTTGTTATTTAGATTCAATTTGGCACACACCGCTCGCAAGATAATTGTATTAAAAACTACTTAATAGATTTTACTCACGTGTTAATTAGAGGTATGAGCATATTCAAGATTTATATTAGATTTATTAACGTGAGCTGTCGGCCTAGGGGCTTGAGCGTGCGACGAATAGATGCGAACTCCGGCTGTGCACCAATGGACTTTCTATGTGCGCTTTTAACACTCCCTCGTACGGTGGAGGTAACTTTGGTGGTTGTTACTTATATGCCTTAACTCTGGTATGTAAGGCATCCCAACCTTTTTGTGCCATGCCCCACCTTTTTTCAACCAATTTTTTTTGTTACTTAATTAATTCTACTGTAATATAGTCTATTTAAACTGATAAATATTTTTTAGCAAATGAAAAAATACTAATGTTTTTACTAAATTCAAATTCCTAACACTTATGTTCACCAAACACTTATGTACACCAAACACTTATGTTCACCTAACCCTTATGTTCAACTTACACTTATGGTCATCTAACACTTTTATTCACCTCACACTTATGGTCACCTAAAAATTATGGTCATCTAACACTTATGTCCACCTAACACTTAAGGTCACCTAACACTTATGTCCACCTAACACTTATGTCCACCTAACATTGTGTTCACACAACACTTATGGTCACCTAACATTATGTTCACCCAACACTTATGGCCACCTCACACTTAAGATCACCTAACACTTATGTCCACCTAACACTTATGTCCACCTAACACTTATGTCCACCTAACATTGTGTTCACACAACACGTATGGTCACCTAATATTATGTTCACCCAACACTTATGGTCACCTAACACTCAGGCATTGATTAAAATTATTGCAATTAGTTTTCCCCCTCGTCTGATTTATTTGACACACAAACTTAAAACACAATATTTATACGTCAAACATTCATTTTAGTTATGGGTCTGAACGGTTCCCAAGACCTCAATTAGCTCAGTTCATATAAACGTGATTTTCACGTATAACCTTACTAAGGTTCATTAATTTGGCAAACATCACTTAAAACTTGTTGCAATTACCAGCAGTTCGTTATATGACTCACGTCCTTCACCTCATTTGTTTCAGTAATGAGTTCGGTACAGGACTGGTTTATAGAGATTTAACATAAATATCAGTTTACTAAGCTTTCATGGTAAGGGGGTCAAATAAATAATTAAATACTGAACTATTTTAAATTTTAATTCTTTATTTCTACGAAGTAATTCTTGTAATTCTAGACAGGTGATATTCAATTGTTAATACCGTTAAAAATTTAAATTTTTCAGTTCCTTAGCAAGTTTCCTAAGCCGTATTCATTGATGTTATGTATTGGTAGGTACGTTTATTACTTAAAGGTATACAGACCCTCTTGTTACACGGTACTCATGTGACGCATTTTCATATTACGATATTTCAGTCTCACGCGTAACGGGTATTCCCCCATATAATGCGGGGATTTGACACGTTATATTTCTGTATTGTGGACATTTATATTGATTTGTACGCACTTATTTCGTTCAAAGCATATTTTTTTATTAATATTCGATTTAAATCGCCTTTAGCGAGAAAAGTTGAACGGTGTCATACAAGCGCGCTATGCGAGAATAGGAGTACAACGCGTTTCCTATAAGGCGACACCAATCTACCGTGTTATAGGAGGGATTACTATACTATTAATTTCAAATATCATGAAGTGATTCTTAAAAAAATTGTATTGAAACTCTTGGTTTTGAGCTGTAAGATTTTTCATACTGAGCTCATTTTACTGAGCGTTCCATATTTTATCAAAGTAATCCTAGTACTGGTTGCAGTTTTATGATTTCATGTGATTTAACTCCTTGAGATCCGTATTTTAATAAAGTAACACTATAATGAAAACGAATGTTAATAATCCACTTATTTACTGTTATGTCATATTCAGATTATTAATTAACAGTTTGATCGCAACTTATTTACAAAGCTATTACAACATTTATTATAACGTAAAATAAATATAGACAAAGTATAGATAACCTTAATTTATCGAGTACTGGTAATATAAATGTAAATATTGTTTTATACATAACAACAAAAATATAAACTAATTTCAAAAAAATTGCGCCTGTCACTTTTTTAAAGGCAATAACATGCGGCTTGGTATTGCAGAAGCGGGAGGAACAGGCCCCGGCGGAACAACAGGTCCAGGTCGACAAGCCAGAGGTCGTGCTTTAGAATTAGCCCAACAGTTGGCTTCGTCGCTTCAACATGCGATTCCTCCACCACCGAGACCAGATTTCACCACAGCAAGCGCGATACTTAGATGGCTACAGCAGAATAATAACTCCGTTGCACTCGTAAGTATTTGATTAATTATTAATTATTGAATATTTGTTAAAACATTGTTAGAAATAGAAAATGTTCCGACTGTCAGCGGATATAGGTGACGGACAGTATAGTTTTTTGTTCTATGAACTATGTATGAAATTGCTAATAATAATCAAGTGGCGCTACGAGTTACGGCCCTATTTGTGTCTTGGCGTCCGATTGCATTCGTTTCTTCGATTATTTATTTATTTCGTAATCCAACAACTAACAAAATTATATATAAAAACAAACAATTACACTAAAAATATAGCCAAAGATGGAATACACAAAAAGGTTCAAACATTTACTATCAAAATTATTCAATACATTTAACTAAGTAATACCTTATGTGACTGTGATGTGTGATGGTGTAAAAGTGACGGTATGTACGTGAAGGTGTGTGTGTGGGGTATGCTCATGATGAAGGTGCTTTTGCGCAAGGGATATTCTTAATACATCATATTAACCATATTCCGCGATAGCTTAAACAAGTCAAGGCTTAAATATTGGTCGTTGTATGTCCGGGCTGCGCGATACAAAACTGAGTTAGCTTTCTATGTCTGACATATGTCATCAATGATACATTATCAGTTTCATTATGTTTATTGCACGGGAAACGGGCAGGAGGCTCACCTGATGTCAAGTGATACCGCCCATAGACACTCACATTGCCAGAGGGCTCGCAGTGCATTGCCGACCCATCAGTAATTGGTACGCTCGTTTCTTGAAGGACTCTAAGTCGATTTGGTTTGGAAATATATCGGTCGGCAGCTGGTTCCACATATGTTATTATGATGTTTGCCTTCGCCGTAGGAGTAAGTGCTAAGACATAGGAAATTCAATTTAGCAGTGTTCGAATAGTGGCTTAAACTTGCGACACAGATTGTCGTGCGTTCGATACACGGCTGTATGAAATTTATAATAAATTGATATTGATACTGTTCGTAGAACTTACTTAGTTAATAATCGAAACTAGTTGTTCCTACTGTAATTTTATCACACACCATACCATACCGTACTGTACTGTACCATATCATATCATATAAATAATGTTATTGTTAGGAAGTTGCATGGATCTGGTTAGCGCTGCGCCTTAATAAGTTCTCATGTTATTTTCAAAAAATATTCTTTCTATAACATATATTCGTAAGTATCTGATTGTCATTTTAATGTGAGATTTTTGAGAGCAAAAAAAAAAAAATATCGAAATTTAAAAAACGAATAGTGTTTGGCACTCGCAGTAATTTACGTGTCGACGTTAAACGTAAAACCTTTATCGCTATTTCCATATAAATATTGGTAGATCTGACAAACGTTTTAAACAAGAGCGAGGTCCAAAATTCACGTTTTTAATTGCGTAGCGGTAACATAGCTGCAAGGCATGACCGCTGAAATAAATGCCTCGCTGAACACGGGCTCCATAACGTATAATAATGTTGCTATACAGTACAAGAATTACTAATAATACAACTTTCCGTGTTCCGTGTAGGACGCATACGTTTTAAATTTGTTGTATATACAATAATATTAGCCAAAGACCGCGCAATTAATGGCAGCGGGAAAAGAGTTATATGTGTGCTCCGTACGCACCACGTAAACATAGCCTTCACGGTCCACGGTCTCCATTTTGGTGAATTGTGTCCACTCTACACGAAAGAACGCGTCGAATGCGCGCTTTGAGAAAAAACATTACAAAAAAAAACCATCCTTGATTCGGATTATATATCATGCTAAAATTTTAGCTCGATCGGTGCAGAACTTTTTGAGTTTTTGAAGCGTACACAAACCAACATAACATTTATATATATATATATATATATATATAGCTTGTAACGTATACTCTAGATAGAACATTGATGATGAACATATGATGTGGTGAACCTAAGTAAATAAATAAATATATAATATATGTCATAAACTCTGTTCGACTATTCATTTCCATTATTTTCTTATTTAGGTGAAGGATGTAAAAATGAAACAAAAACATATTTTGCTCTATTTAATCCTTTCTCATATACAAAAGTATTAATATAGCCCCGAAATCAGATCGCATTCTAGGAATGTGCAATTTTTCTCTGCGATATTAAAATTTTAGCAGCACATAGTTGAAAGCCTTTGAAAGCACGGAAGTGAACTAATTGCACTCTGTGAGTTCTAGGCACGAGCCTGGAACGGCAACTTTACCATATTCAATGGTATTTGGTTATTCCAAACATGTTGACCTAGTAAGATAATTAATTTGCATTATATTTATTTACACTTTGTTGCTTTATGATATAAAAATTTAACAAAATACTTGAAAGACAAATAAAGGAAAGGCAACTGGCGGCCTTATCGCTTTCGAGCGATCTCTTCCAGGCAACCACTGTGAGAAAAAAAAAAGAAAATGTATTAAATTACATAAGGTAGGCAAAAAGTGCAAAAATACATTATATATAATCAGCGCGTACATAATTCTTCGATTCTAATGATATGATGAAGAACTCTAAGATTTTGGATTTTAATTTTCAATTTTTTTTTTTTAATTTTTTAATTTTCAACACTAGCGGCCCGTCCCGGCTTCGCACTGGTGGACATTTATTTTTTAAACATTATATTATATAATGATAATATTATATCAAAATTAAGTAAATAAGTAAAATTCCTTTAAAGATAAATTAGCACGCCATTGTGTGTGCCAGAATATGCGATCTTTGTACCACCTTTCACATTTTTAAAATATTTTTTTTTAAATATATTCTTGCAATATATTTTTTTAAATATATTCTTGCAATATATTTTTCTAAAATAAATGTGGCTTCAGTGTGCTACTCTCTTACCTGAGGTCGAAGGATCGATCCCCGGCTGTGCACCAATGGACTTTCTTTCTATGTGCGCATTTCATTTATTTAACATTTGCTCGAACGGTGAAGGAAAACATCGTGAGGAAACCGACATGTCTTAGACCCAAAAAGTCGACGACGTGTGTCAGGCACTGGAGGCTGATCACCTACTTGCCTATTAGATTAAAAAATGATCATGAAATAGCTTCATAAATCTGAGGCCAAGACCTAAAGAGGTTGTAGCGCCACTGATTTATTTATTGATTTATATAATATAATCCTTTTCATTGGTAAACTTGTATCTAAATCGTCCATTGCTTTTACCATTAAGAATGGAGTTTTTTTAGCAAAAGAGTGCCATTGTACGGTTTCAATAGGAATGGACGTGTTCTGTCTGAATTACAATGCTCACCGCGAACAATTCGCGACCTCGTGTTATTGATCCGTTGTCCCATGTCTGTAATGCTTTTAGATGAAGAGGCCTAGAAAGGAAATTCATATAGAAAGAGATTTTTTATTCTATGATGTGAATGGTCTTTTGTTCAATAGCTACTCAGCCAGTGTATCTTCTGAACCGGCACCAATTCTATTTCACCTGATGTTTGAAATACGGGAAGTAACGTTATATTTGAGAAACCGTAACTCTTTATTGGAGAGAATTTTCAATTTTACCTGATGGGAATTGCGTACTATATTTGTGTGTATCTTAGTTTTGAAGTTATACTTCTTTTGAGGCGTTAGGGAAAAATGATGAGAGTAAATTTTTACGATGCGCGCGCACACCGTCACAAAAACCGACACCCGCACACCGTCACAAAAATACGACACCCTGAATATCTGTTCAAACGTCGGTAAAACAGTCTGGGCCGCTAGTTGGCGCTTGCTGTTTTATCGACAAGTTGCATTGTCTGTCATGGCGTAGTGTTTTTCAGAGTCGTGTTTAATTAAACCAAAATAATGATTTCTATACAAGAAAACTCGTTGCAATGTGATAAAAACATAGTGTTTATTGTAAAATATCATGATTTATTATATCGTTTCGATTGGAAGTGACCATTATAATGGAATTCCTAGTGGGAAACATCACTCTAAAGTGCTCGAAGAAAATTATTACGCCAAAGAAGTATAACTTCTAAGTTCTAACGCATGTACATAAGTACACAAACGTTTTTTTATATTACAAACTGGGGGCAAATAGGTGGCTCTCTTGATGTTAGTGATACCGACATGAGCCATATACATAAGCGCGTGAACTTTAGTTTTGTGGTTACTACGTTATATAAAAAAATCCTCAATAAGTCTTAATAAGCTGGACATTTTGTTTAATGGAACAGCTGTTTGTTGGCGGAGATCTACCATCGACCATCGTTATAGAAGTTAGTGCAAGTTCGAGATGCAATTTTGTATTTGCCTCAACTACAAAGTTTGCAGACTTGTTGGCGAGCGTTTATCGATACATAATACAATAAGAAAACATTTAAAGCTTGATGTTCTTGTTCTAGATATTAATATTTTGGGTCCCTGTCACCTCACAAACCGACCCACGTTGCCCAGGCGCGGGGTTTTGTAAATTTATTTCCCAAAAATAAAAAATATGGTTATTTGGTGTACGACAACAAACAACTTATAGGCCTGCTATAAAAAAAACATATAGCATTGGTGTTACTATCCAAAAAATTATAGTTTAGTACGCTCGGCTTCAGGAGGTAGGCGTTCTACTTAAGGAAACTTTTGGTTAGCAATTACTATATAGTATCACACCGAAACTTTAACTGAGAATCAAAATGTTCAGACCCTTTACTAAACCACTGCCACGAGAACCAATTGAATTTATATGTAACCAAACGGCATGCGCGCTCTGATTTATATCAGATATATATATCTGGTTCTAACCTAACCTAACCGTTTAGCATCTTACGAATGAATATCCGTTAGTTTATAAATTTACCTCGAGACGTCGCAAATTGATAAATTTACCAAAATATGGTCGAGAAACAAACGAGAGATAAATTGTATTAATTTACATAAATTTTATCTCTCGTTTAGAATCCTACGAAAGTTTCTGCATTTTCTAGGAAATTTATAAACTTTTGGATTTTGTTATATATACACATAGGTTTCGTCCAAATAGAATTCTTGGAGGCTTCTATGTTCAAATTGCAATGAAACATGTTGCAATG